GGGGTTGAGAACTTCACAAGTGGCTCAGCAACTGCCAACCCACAGGCACTTCAGCAAATGAAAAGCTCTCGTAGACGTTACTAATTGCTGCCAAACTTATTCAAGCAGCTTAGGACATCGTGTAACGCCGGAGGCAATAAAGTCAAGAATAAAATCGAATTGATTTGATGTGAAGGTTCGATATGCAGGCTTCTTTGGAAGCTTTCCAAATTCGTCAAAAGTTTTTGATACTCAACATTCTTCCCTCTTTTCGGCCTGTGGCATCTTGGCCTTGATCTTCCATGGAACATCTTTGACGTATAGTACGGAATAAATTCGCAGATATTGCCGGGGAGACTTTAACAAGAGGATTGATTAGCTCGAGTTACCCACATGTACCCAAGAAGGTAAACTGAACAACTCACCGGCAGAGCTTGTCCGCAAAGCCACCGCAGTTCTGAACGCAGTCTGTCGTGCTTTGGCAACTCTCTTGTGCCAAGGCCTGTTGCGAGAAGAAGGCCAGGGCGGTCACGGCGACGGAGATGACGTTGAAGCGCATGTTGGGCGGATTGTTGGAGTATACGGAGTAGTAGACGGATCTTGGTTACTTGGGTAGGGAAGGAAAGATTCTCTGTGTGATCAGAAGTGGTTACCTGATAACTTATATACCATCAGTCCGACCGAGTTATGTTACGTCGTCTCTCCACACTTTCATACGCGGCTACTCAAACGTCACAAAGGGATGCGAATGGGGCTTTTATTGTTGACTTAAGAGACTACACTGCTATTGCAGGACGCTTAAAGGCTCTGAGACATGTTGAACGTATGTGCATACGCTGGGATGATTGCCTCTATCGGTTTGTGCCAAAGACGCGTATACTTACTCTACAAAAAGCAGTTGTGACTAAACTTCAGTCGTCACACAATAGTAGTAAGAACCTAACAGCAAGCCCTACAACCTAGTCGTACGAGGTTTTGCCCCTTGTGGTTTCCCTTGCGGCGGTATTACCTATTACGATATACTCCGGACGGTTACTGGAACGGTGTGTAAACCAGAAGCCTGCGGGCTCTGGGTCGAAGGATAGGAGATACTGGCGGAATTGCGTTCTAGGGACGACCATAGCACTGTCTCGGGCAAGCCAGCGGCACCCAGAGACAGGTTAAACACATAGTTGCCTTTGGGCACGATTTGGAGGACGAGCTGGACTGTATCTAGTGATAGCTATAGGCCTACGGCCCTCCACGCCATATACCCTTCGGGAGGTCTGCCGCAAGGGCGGCTGCGCCCTTGCCGCTACGGCATTAAAATACAACAACAACAACAACACAAAGGTAGTAGACTATTTGCTCTTCCCTGAACTCTAGCTTTGGCAACATACATCTTCCGAAAAGCTACGGCTTGAGTGCAATACTTCTGACGTATTCTTTTTTGTTTCAGTTGTATTGGCGTGTCTTCTAATTAATCTTGGTTGTTCCTCGAGTCGATATTATTGTATCTGTTTGCACACGTGGTAAGAGTATTGAATCAGACTGAACTATGGCTCATCGACGGATGGTCGGAAATTCAATATCGGAACCTACAAGTACTCTGTACATGTACTTTATTGATATACTAGTAAGGCCGAAACGCTGTAGGTTGAGAAAATACCCCGATTCTTAGTAAACCCTAGTTGAGATAAAGTCCCACACTTGTGAAGTCCCTGGTTGGCGAGCCTAAGTGCTTACTAGATTGATCACGACATGCCGATACGCGATGGCGTAGTTTGAACCCCGTTATTGCAGCTCGGTATTTCCCAATTGATTCATAGCAACTGTCAGTCATTGAAGGCTGTATTCACTGCTTTACCTGGGTAATATTCTGAAGCTCATTTGGCTGTGTACTCATTTGATTTGCGAATGATGGTCCTATGCGATCTTCTCGTTCTTCCTTCCGACATGACGTGGGACGGAGGAAAATGGAAATATGGCTTTAGCAAGAAAATTTCAAGTGTTATTCCGGAGACTGTATCAAATGGCTCATTGGCAATGTGGTTATCCGGAATCGGAAAATTGTTCATGTTTAAACGGGCTGGTCACCGTTATCGGCTCTGCGCCAGCATCAAGACGCCGGGAACCTCCCATCACGTCATGCAGGACCAGTCTCCAGCAGGTAAGGATTAAAGTATTCCTGCAAGATCAATGAGAGCAGCACTATCATAAGACTCTTGAAGTCTCTTTCGCAGAAGATAATACCCCTGCCATCTTCATTCTGCTCTTCTTGAACATACCGCTGTGGTAAATCCGAGACGGACATCCTCACCGACTATGGCCGCAATCAAAGTAGAAAACCCCTCCACAACTCATTTGAGAGGTTCAGAAGAAGGGTCTTATGACCACATCACGTCGACTCTGCCGCCTTTTGAGGCCTTTGACGTCCCCGGTCACCAGAGCACTGCCGATTTTGGGCTGTCGTGGTCGGCAAGCTTTCCTCTCGGACTCAAACTTACCAAGCCCATCGATCTCTCCGAAAGCATCGATGCCCTCCAAAACCTCGCCCGTTTGGGGACTCTGAGCCGTTTGATCAAAAAGCATGGAGGTGCTATTCTCATTCGTGGTCTCCCGATCGAGACACCTCGCGATTATAGCAAAGTCGCCCACGCATTTGGCTTTCGTCCTCATATTGAAGTTGGACGTCCGCCACTCCGGACCGTTCTGGCTCCTAACGTCAAAACTGCAAATGAAGGGTAAGTAAAACGATTCGTACAGGCTGTAAAAGGGCAGCTCCTCATCATGGCTCAGGGCCAGACGTTTTGTTTGAATTCCAAGGGAGTCGTGAGTGCTGACGCATCGTGCCCAGTCCACCAGAGTTGCCCATATGGCCCCATAGTGAATATGGGTGGTCTACGATTAATCCGTCGTGGTTGACTTTCAGTGCACTCCAAATTCCAGAGTCCGGTATGCTCTGAAGCATAACACAACTATCATGTGAACTACGGCACTAATCATGAGGCAGACGGCGCAACACCCATCACCTCAGCTATCTACATTGCCCATGAGCTGTCACGCCTCAGGCCTGACTTTCTCTCTACCCTTCTGAATAAGGGTGTAAAATACGTATACCGTTACACAACTAAGCCACTCGTCTCCAACACCGGGACGAGCGTTCGTGGCGCTTACGGTCAGGAGGTCAGGGACGAAGATGACGAGGCCACGGCCCGGAGCAAGATCGAGGCTGAAGTCCGACGCCACAGCAACCGATTCGAGTGGCACGACGATGGAAGCTTGAGCGTGACGCACATTGTCCCTGGTGAGTTGAGTAGAAGTTTTCCCGGCTTCCGTGGATTCTAGGCTCGGAGCCTGGATAGATCTCAGGCTGACACGATGGCGAAGCCGTTCGCATCCACGATCCTACAGGGGCAACCGTGTTCTTTGGTAATGTCACCTCCGCCTGGGGCCGTAGCCGCCACCATGGTGCGACGCGACCTCCCTTCCGCGGTGATGACGGATCGTACCATCCTCCGCCGACGTACGGCGACGGAACGCCTATCGATGTCGATGACTTGGACCTGCTGCTGAAACTCGCGGAAGAGGGTGCCATCGACGTTGACTGGCAGAAGGGAGATCTGGTACTTCTTGACGTGAGTATCTGCCTCTGGGATTTGTGACGCTAGCACGATGTGGCTGACACGAGAGGCACTTTCCTCAGAACTACGCCGTGATGCACTCCCGTAACCCATGGAAGGGGCAGCGCCAGGTCCTCGCTGCTCTGTGGGATGATGACGGGAGGATCAGAGATTTTCCAGAAGGCTTGGAGTTGCTGAAGAGTAGTCCTAGGGTCCCTCGGACTGAGTCTGATGAGGTTGAAGGACATTGATTATCGGCCGCTTGAGGTCCTGATTGGATGAAGTGTGTAGTTTCACGAATATCATCCCCGTGCGAGGACGATCGTAGCCGCGACGTGACTAGTCAACAATTGGCCAAGCACACTACTCCGTTCATTTGATATGAAGTGGCAGATCTGGGGCTCACGCTTGGACGGCATGTACAAAGAGTTATGCACAGCTTCGTTCCTCGGAGTTTTTCAACTTGAATAAATCTTCAATGGAATGGATTACTACTCACGTGCTACTTCTTAGATCCTAGCTCAGACACTCTTACAGGCTATATCAAGGCTTACCTCCCTAATCATCAAGATGGGCAGGTTGCCCTCTTGACCCTCTTGGCGCTAGTTTCCGAGAGCTCCGCCAATCCAAACCAGCCACACGCGGAATCGAAGAGAGCGTCGAAGTTGTTGTAGAACATCCTGCCAGTGTTGATGAAAGGTAGCTTCGGTGCCACGGGTGCGCCCTCCAGAACGAATCCTGACGGCTGCATCGTCGCAGGATTGGGCTTGCCCGCACCCTGGGCGGTGACATTGTAAGTCGCAATCGGGTTCTTTTCGTTGGGAATGTGAACCACCACGACGCTTCCCTTAGCAGCAACCTGCGGGTGTGTCTTGATATACTTGGAAGTGACGTTCTTGACGTGCGATCTAACGTTTTTGTTGACCGCAACAAATGCCTGGGGAATGCCGGTATCAAAGAGGGCCTGGCCCTGGTCGTAGGGTGAGCTGTTGATACTGATTGCCATGTTCACCATGTTCCAGTCGATGGGGGACTTGGATCCGGATCGGACGTCGAGCTTCGTCTTGCAGGATCCCTCCGTGTTTTCGCTCGTAAGACCGACCTCGACACCATCTTTTTCCAGAATGTAGCCCTGGTGGATATCCGCCACAGGTCGACCCCCGATGGACACGATGTTGTCAGGGACACCTTGTCAGGCAGAGCATCGGGCTGCTCGGTACTCCATCTACCGAAGCCGACGCCCATGTAGTGGATATCTTTGGGGTACATTGTGATGTTGGACTTCTGCGCTTCCGTGCAGGAGCCCTGGGTTTTCCAGGCGCGGCAGATGCTGGCCTCAGTGACCACCATGATAGGCACGGAGGCGACAACGTCTTCGCCGGTTCCGCGCTCGTCCGTCTTTGCGGGAAAGGTGATGTTCGCATCGATCCAGTAACCTTGCCACAGTCTGCCGCTAGAGAAGAGATATTCGTTTCCCGGGTGAAATTTGTCGAATGTCGTTTTCTCGTCAAAACCGAGGACGCCGGCATCCATCATGACGCCGGCGGAGCCGGTGTCCATGCCGGCAGAGGGAATATTGATCGGCTTCTTCTCGATGTTGTATTTTGTCAGGACGGTGAATGTGAGCGAAGGCGTGGTGTCAATGAGAGGGAACTTGTTGATGAAGGGGATGAAAGCGGTGTTGCTTTCTGTGGCCTTGGGATATGTCGGGGGTCCCGAGGCCGGGCATGATGCCGCTGCAGCAAGCTCCATGAGAGCCGAGATGGCTAGGGTCGTAGAGAAGTGCATTTTGGATGAAGAAGATAGACCTGATGAGCTTGACTGAGAGATGTCGAGACGAAGATACCCGGAGGCCCTGGCCGGTGTTTAACAATTTGGATCTGCGAAACTTCAAGCGAGATAATCTCCTTCGAAAACTGTTGGTATTCCTTTCACAGGGAATTTGGTTCGAACCGTAGGGTCCTGGGGTGACGAAGTATCAATATCTCTGTATTGATTGATTCTGCGTAAGGAGTAGAAGGGAGATTCCAACCGGAGGTTGGGTGGGTAGTCGAGGTCTAATTGTACTCCCTCGAGGTGGCCCATGCTCTGCCCTTACTCGCGGTCGAATTGGACTTCCAATCCGACAAAAACCTTGACATCGCATCTAGAATATGCCCTTCAGCTTAACATCGTCGCTGAGGCTCAGCTGAATGTCTAAGAAGTCTGTGGCACCAAGACTTCCGAAAACGTGGCATGCAGTTCCAAAGAGAACAGCTAGATCTAGATGGCATTCTGATGGAGAATGCATGGCCGAAAAGTGTGGTCGGCCCACAAGCCATGTGTGGGATGCCGGAACCGGCGATAGTCGGCATGGTGTTGGTCTGGACCTCCACATCTCCGCAAACTATACTGAGACAAGGCATTTGCATCCCCAACTTTAAGCCATGCTAATTCCAGCGGACAAGCAACTAGGAAATTTCCCCACGGTGGTCTTTATTCTTAGATAAAAGCATCTACAGTCGTATATCATCCTCTGATCAGGAAGAAGACGTCCTTGGGAGGCTCGTAAACCATTCGACGCCAACGAGCTGGAGTACGCCTAGCTTCTTTGCGTACTTTACTCTGCGTACGAGATTTAAACCTCAATCCAATCGAAAATCCCGTGTTCTATCAATGTCCAGTGTCTTCGGTGGAATGCGACGCCACTGAAAGTCAATGGCAAACCCGGCAACTCTCTCCCGGGTTGACTGCACTTGACTACTCAAACCTCTTCAGCCATTTGTCTGCCTTGATCCATTCCTCAACAAGATGTCGCTGTCGTCCCTCGCCACGGACTTTGAAGCTGACATCGAAAGGCTTTGGACCAGTGAGGATCGCATCTTTGAAGGCAGTCTGCATCGAAGTATCCAGCATCGTATTCCCCGGTACAACATCAAAGCACCAAAGGAGCTTTGACATGGTCATCAACATGCTATTCTCAGCCATTCGCTGACCGGCGCAAATTCTTCTCCCAGCTCCGAAGCTGTGTGTAGGCCGGCGCGACTGATCTTCGATTGCCCCCTTGGATTCCTGATCGCGACTCTTGACACCCAGTGGATTCTTCATGAATCGTTCCGGCTCAAAAGTGTCCGGATCCTCGTACTCATCTGCGTCGTGATTGATGGCCCAGATGTTCATGAGAATTGTGGTTTCGGCGGGGATATTGTAGCCCTTGTAAATATCGTCGCGAGTTGTTGCGTGAGGAATAGCCATGGGGAATCCTGGTCGCCACCTGAGAGTCTTCAGAGCAAGTTAGACTACCAGAAGTCATACACAGGCAACGTCCATGCAAGAAATACTGACCTCAAGAAAGCAAGCCTTGATATAAGGTAATGTTTCTGCAGTTAGGCGTTCACCACGAACACCACTTTCGCCAAACACCGCATCAACTTCTGCTTGCGCTCTTTTCTGGATGTCTGGATATGCAGCCACGGCCAACACAAAAGTTTCGAAAGCACTGGCAGTTGTGTCCGAGCCTCCTTCCATCAGAAAGCCGGCGATGTACTCCAGCTCAATATCGCTGTAACCTTCTTTTTCGTTATCGCGCAAGAGTCCCGCCACGAAACTATCTTCGGCCTTCCCCTGACCAATCCGTGCTTTTGCGTCCTCGAACAAGTCATGATACAATCCGTTCTGTTTCAACTTGAGGTCTGCGGCTCTCAGCTTCCAACCTCGCCAGGGCGTTAGGAAATCCGGGACGTATCGCAAGAATGGTAGTACATCGAAAGGGGGAACGGCGCCCTGATCCAGCATGCCTGCCCACTCTGCTTGACATTCAAAGAACTTCTTGATCTTGCCCTCGTCGCTAAAATCCTTTCCGCGGGTGCCAAAGACGCTTGACATGATGATGGCGCCAAAGTACCTCAGAATGTGCTCGTGGTATCCAGCAGGCTCACAAAGCAACTCATGCATCATTTGCGACGACTCGGCGTCTTGCAGCAACACAAGCTTGTCAACCTCTTCGTCCTTCAGAAAGTCTGTGATCGTCTTTCTCTCTTTCCTCCACTTGGGCCCGTACCGCATAAAGACGAGATGAATGTCACCTGGCGGGGGTAGCACGTACTCCACGATAGGCACGTACGGTCGGGACGAGTAGAGGGCCCCGCGCTGGTCGAGGAGATCGCGCACGGATTGCCAGGTATTGAGGACGACGGCTTTGTTGCTGGGTCCGAGTGACAGGCCGACGAGGCCGTGCGATCCGTACGTGCGGCTCCATGCTGCAAACTGGATGAAGGGTTTTGTCAATGGGATTTGATGGAGGTTTCCGAGGAATGGTATGGTAGGAGGCCCTGAAGGAAAGTTGATGTTGGACTTGGAGCTCTGGAGGCGAGGGCGTATGAACAGATACACTAGAAGTGCGCCTGCAACGCTCAGTGCAAGTGTCAAGATCGCCATTTTGGAAGTCAGAGATAACCCAGAGTGAACCTGCTTCACCTCGATTCCAAGAATGCCACTCAATTAAATACCCAAACATTGTTGAATTGACCTCCGCACTTATCCTGGCTTCTCGCAAATAAGAGTCATCTCATTGGCTCGCAGACGTTGGGATGAGTAACGGCACGCATATGCGTGTAACGCTCTGCTTACGCTGTCCGGCATGATTTTATCATTTCATTGCTGGAAAATCAAGTCTCAGGCAGCATTGAAGACAGATTGGAGATGATCTACTGTATAAGACATGGTGCTAAGGAGTACATAGGCAAATCGGACTGTTGGCAGTTCAACTCATACATCCAGGCGGTTGGAGTCCATCCGTCGCTGACATGTCAACGGCATTCTCCAAATAAAGAGAATAGCCTAGCAAAGGAGAGATTTACATGTCAGTATTTACATCGGCCTTCACATCTCGCCCATTTCTTGATTGTTCAGGAGAGCTTGAGATTGTAATTGAGAGCGAGTTTGCGAGCCAGTGCCGTTGTGCAGAACATCGCAATAGATACGGTTAGCGGCGGCAACATGTCAGACAGAACTACGCGCAAACATATGGGAACAGCACTCATACTAGGAAAAGGAACAGCCAAGGAGCGGGAAGAAACGTCAATCTTTTGACATAGGCACTGACATTATCCAAGTCCACTTGACCAAAGACAGGAATCACCAAATAAGGTCGGGTTGATATGAAAGTAAGCTTGAGTGGACCGCAGCAGGATTCATCGCGTAAATACGAGCAAACCGAATCCAACTCAAGATTCCTTGTGCTCGCAAGACAGTCCTTTCTGAGACTAAGATGATGGCTGCCCCATAGAAAGAGACTGAAGACGGGCGCCACTCGATCGACACATGAAGGGTTCTGAGGGCAGAGTATGCTCCGCTTCACAACCCACCGCACGCCACGCCTACCGCCCTTGACAGTCTGTCAGGTGTACTGTCAGGTCAGAGTAAATGTTGTGTCACCGCGATAACTAACAGGGACTGCGGCCGAACCCTCGACTTCTCGAAGGGAGCTAAGGCCCTGGAGTGGTCACTACCATGAGTGAGAAGACGGGATGATGTGCGGACACGGATGGGATGAACACTCCATGTCCGCATCGCATCATCTGTGCGTCCAGGGGGGGTGATCAGGAAGACATATGCAGATGCACATGTGAAATGCAAGATTACGGATGTTTTTTACTCCCTGCAGCGGGATCTTGTATGCTTAGGATTTAGCTGAGACAGAAACAAACATAAGCATATCAAATCTCTTTCAAGTTTCTTCAACGTCGGGACGCACCACCACTTGGTGGTCAAGACGCGTCGATCGTGTCTCTGAATACCAAGACATCTTACCCCCTTTCAACTCTTTTCCGACTCAAGACGTATGAAGGAGGTGGAAATTCCATCAGACTTATCAAATGAAGACCTTTTGTCGAGCCCACAAGGGAATAGGCACCACAGCCGCATGGACAATTGGCGTCGATTAGCGCTTCTCGTCCTCAGCAAACAACAAACGCCACTCTTCCGATGTAACCGCTAGCTGTATCATAGGAGGCCGCCGCGTCTCGCAGCCGATTGCGCTAGCTTCGAGGCCGCCTACCCGCCAGCCGCAGAAAAGAAACTGGCGGGAGCGTTCCTGGGTGATGGGGTAAAAGTCCGTAGCTTTGACGGTGGAAACTCTTGGAGCTGTGCCTTTTTCAGTCTAGAAGAGGCGAGTGAACGACAAGGCTCGGACCTCCTCATCACAGCTAGTGCAATCCTCATATCCGCATTGACCTCGAACCTCTCCCTTCCCCTACGGCCTAGGGGACGAGGGGTGGCTGTCTCTAATACCCTCACTCTCGCAATTGTCTGCGGGCTGAGAGGCTTCTGATCCTACTCGTTGTGTTCTTCCCTACCTCTCACTCCAGTCATTCGTTCGTGATCGGGGCCTTCCTTCGTTTGAGGTGCTTCTTTTTTAATTCTAGCTTTACTTACACAGCTGCATGACAGGAGCATTCGAGACTTCAAGCTGGCGTTTGCTAACCGTCGCTTGAAGAAACAACTGCATATCAACATACGACCTTACAACATATAGACATTACACATATACAACAGAACAGCAGGACCTGGATAATAATGCACCATGGTTGATCAAGGAATCCACCGGAGATGGTACGAAATCGCGGGGAAGCTTTTCAACCGGGGCCTAATTGGAGACATTCTCAACACACCCGGCGCCATCGTCAGTCAAGTATTGTCGTCGCCGGCGACGACAACACAGGAGAACGTTCAGGCAGAGGGTACACCAGCGGCAGCGGCAACGACACAGGCCGCTGCTGCACCGGCTGCAACAACACAAGCAGCCGTTGCTCCTGTAGCCGCGACGACATCACCGGCCGCACAACAACCTGCTGCATCGCCGGCGGCGACGACGAAGCAGGAGCAACAGCAAGCTGCCACAACACCAGTCGCTCAGGCGCCAGCAGCGGCAGCGACCACATCACAGCAGGCAGCCCAGGCATCACCAACAACAGTTGCGGCAGCAGATCCTCCGGCAGCTTCAACTACCTCTTCGAAGGTTGCAGCTGCTGCTTCATCAACGCCAGCTGCAGCTGCTACAACTGTCCCGGCAGCCGCTGAGAATGCAGCCTCATCACCAGTGCTATCACCAGCAGCTACATCACAGGGGACGGGAACAAGCGTGGCCGGGGTTGGAGCTGCGGGTACCTCAAGTACGAGATCTGGTGGGACCAATGCTACACAAACACCATCACCGAACTACGAGAATACATCACCATCAAACAACCAGGGACCCTTGGTTGCCACTGGAGTCGTACGTAAGTGCATCTCCGCAATTTCGCTTTATAGCTGCGTTTATACTAATCGATATGCAGTGGGTATCGTAGTGCTCATGGGACTCTCCCTTTTGATATTCTGGTGCTACCGCCGGAGAAGAGCAGCCCAACATTGTCATGAAGCCGTTGCCCCCGAGAGTCCTAGCAACGAGTACGGTCCAGCCTCGCCTTTCCGCGACCACGTCGATCAGAGTTTTACTGAAATGACTGAGACTCGTACGGTCTCCAGCGAAGATGACTTCACCATTCGACACCCCGAACCCGGGTACCAGCCCCCGTCTCAGCCGCCGATGTCGCCTCAAACACAAGATACAACAAGAACAAACCCATACGCAGCAAGTCCTTTCTCATACGCTCAAGCACAACAATACGTTCAATCGCTCGCAGGCACAGGGAATTTCGGCTTCCCACCACCACCTCCTATCCCGGAGCCATCACCTATCCGCATCTTCAGATGGCCAACTCGCTCATCCCGCAGCGGCAACTCTACACCCAGCGTCCTTTCCGCGTTCCGCACACCAAAGACGCCTACTCGTACTCTCTCTCGGGCGTCTCGAAGTACCGTGTCATCGATGCTATGGCACGGCCGCAGAGACGTCGCCCGGAGGACCATAATCCGTGCTCCCGGATCTCAAAAGTCGGCTAAGTCGCGTACCAACGGCTCTTCTCATAGCCCCGAGAGCACAATGCCAGAGGGCCTACATACTCCCATCCTTGATTGGCTTCACTGGATCCGCGGCCATCAACAAGTAGAGCCCGACCCGGAGATGAACCATCGAAAGAGCTTCGCCAGCACCACGGAGAGCTCCATTTCCGAAACAAGCGTTGCAAGCACGGCCAGTAGCGGTGTCTTCTCGCCCACACTCCTTTCATACCACCCCCCGGCCAACACGCCGAGTATCGCAACCGATACCATCCAATTTCTACCTCTGCCTCTGTTCAAAAAGAGGGCTAGTGACGTCAATAGTGAGGTCACGATGGAACCGTCCGGGACCGTCCGCATCTCAAGTTTTGGATGACGACGGAAAACAAAACCTAATCAATCCCATTTTTGGGCCACAGTCGCTCATTGCATGGCTCAGGTGTTCTGATTTAGCAAATACTCTATTTTCATTCAGTAAATATTAAGTCTAAACAAACTACTCAAACACAATGTGCCCAAGTCTCAACTCGCAAATGTGCTTCAACTGGACTAACTCAAGGTTCTGTGCCATCGATGATCACTTCTCGCTCCATACCTTTCTTGTTCCACCCAGGATAAAAGCATGCATAAAAGGCGCACCCTGACACGAATCCAACAATGCCCAGCGAGCCATACATCCAAACGAGGTAAGGGTCCTGCGAAACAGGCGCAAGCGCAATGCAAATGGCGGCGGCTATGCCAATAGTCAACCAAAACAGGGCGGACACAACCGAACGAAGACTGAAGTTAAATGACGTTGTCAGCAATGGAATCTTGTTGAGACCCCTGACTCCTGAGTCCAGAAGTATATACCGGTAAGCTTACTTCTTTGGGGCCTGGGTGAAGGCTAGCTCCAGCCCGGTGACGATGATGAACGCCTCGGAAAACGCCACGAGTATGTAAGCGGGTGCCTGTATCCAGACGTGGATACTTTTCGGCGGAGAGTTGTAGATGTAGTGCTGCAGGACACTGGCGTAGACCATTGATACGGAGGCGAATAAGAAGCCTACGAAGATTCGGGTGACGGGATCAAAGTCGATGCGATATTTACGGAACATGGGATACACAATCACTAGGAGGGTTCGTCAGTATTGACACGGCGGAACCAGCAGAAACCGTGGAAGCAATCACTCACCGTCTAAGAAAGGGATGAAGATGCACAGGGCGATGGGATCCAGATTCTGCAGCAGATCATTTGGAGTCCCATGCAAGGCCATCTCACCCGCTTGAGAAATGAGATTATTCCAGATTTGGATCCAGCAAATGAAGTAAAGGGGGAAGAACAAGAACATCTAGAAATTGAGTTGGAAGGTCAGCTTTGCACTCATCTCATGCCGACTTAAATGGAAGAGGAGCATCTGTGGACTTATTACCTTGCAACTCTTTAGACCTCGCATAACATCCATCACGTAGGCATCAGTGTATCTAGCCTCACTTGCGATCACGTAGTCTCCATCATGTCCGGACTCTCTCAGAGCCGAAGGAGTCGCGTTGTTGAACCCCTTTTCTTTGATAGCGATGCGAGTCACTTGGAGAGCATCGATTATGGCAGAGCCTTCTGGAGGAACCTTGACGTATTTCTTCTGTCCGGAGATAATAATGGCAGCAGAAATGATGATGGCACTGTGGCTGTCAGCGATCGCAAATGCCATTAGACTTTCTGGCTCTTACATGAGTGGGATAAGGTATGCCAGCCAGAACGAATGGTGTGCCTCGACGTTGACAGTGATCAATGGCGACAATGCCCCAATGTTGACAACCCAGTAGAACCTGTACAAGTGTTAAGAACTCTAGGACATTTACGTAAAATACGGTGCGGAGACGCTTACCACATGAAAAGTCTCTGGACTGTTAGTTCAGGGTCGACCAACACTTCTTCGCCTGACTTCAAAGTTCTGACCACCGGGTGTGTGTTCTGGTATTGCTCTGCACACATCGGTGTCACGTTGGCCTTGATACCACCTGTGCCAAGTCCAATCGTAATCATAGCTGCAATCAAACCGCCAAATCCCGCACCGTTTGTGATTGAAGATGGTGTAGAAGTTGCGACGAGAATGACGAGGCCGACGATGTACACGGCACAGGCCGCAAGAATCGCCTTGAATTTTCCAAGGTACTGGTCTACCATCCTCAATGTTAGCGGTACTGATTCAAAACAAGAGTCAAAGCGAGACCGAGAGTGAATCCCAACTTACCGGCGATGATGGCCCCAATCACGGTGGATGCGTAGGCCCAGAACTTGAAAAAGTTACCCAATGCCGTAGCTACTGCTTGACCCCGGCCGAGGGCCCCAGGAAGATCGGATGTAGGATCATAGGGATTGCTATCGATTATCAGAGTCATTCAATTTTTCAAACACGCGTACTTCTTTGACATCGGGTTCTTGCTGTCCTCACTTGATGTAGTTTTGAATTGGACCGCTAAGTCCAAAGTACGTGAACCTCTCTCCGAGCTGTGAACCTGTGTTAGATCTTGAAATGCTACTAAGCCCTGGGATCCAGATACGTACCTCAACAACTAGGATCAACAGGGCGACAGTTGGGAGTTTATCCGGGACTCTTTGCAAACCTTGCCATTGTTGTGCAGGCAACTTGAGAGGCCCATCGGGTTGCACCTGTGCCTCTTCTGGGCCGGTAATGCGATCCTTAGTATCGGCCATTGTGGATGCTCAGCAATAGTGCATATGGAATCTGAAAAAGGTAATGGTCATTGATAATCGAACGAAATGATCCAACAGGGTGGCATATCCTGAAGTCATATACATGACCTTGATTCTCATCCCGATTATTGACGCTCCGAGTCTTGGTTCCCTAGTTCCTTGACTCGATCCGGCGCGGAGGATAAAGCGGGGTCTCCCGGACATGGACAAGCATCATCAGATACCATGAAAGATAACGCTGGGGCATTTTTGCAAATTCTGATTGGTGGCGTTCTCTGGCCTATCATTGACCATACACCAGGAAGAACGCCGCCAATGAAGTCCATCACCGTCATCAAAATGGGGATTTCGGCCGTGGTCTCCACCAAGATCGGCCATTTGAACGCCCCCAATGGGGTGTAAAGTCGGCGGCAGACGGGAATGAGGATGAAGAAAGGTCCTCCGGTCCGGAGATAGAGGCCCGATTGAGAGATAACGTGGATTGATATCAAAATGATTGTTTCTTCAATGCCCTCGCTGTCAATATTCGCTGACAGAGTTTCAACCTACCAAATCTAGATTTCCGTAAGTCGATTAGACTTGTTCGACTATGACTGTTGCAAGGAAACTCAGAGAGTCACAGCAGACGCCAGAGCCAGCCGCTGGTAGACTTACTTTTTCCGCAACCCACTACCCCGGTATCGACCCTCAATGGGTTCAACTATGGAACGAGCACGGCGGATCAATGGTGAGAGCGGACGAAGTTGCACTTGAGGAATATCGAATGGACCCAGCCAAGTACAGTTTTACCTATCCAACATACAAAGGTCCGTTTCTTTTCATTGCAAAAGCGTATTGAGAGTGATACTAAAAAGTAAACTCATAGGCCCAGAAGTCTTCCATGTGGAAGATCGAAAGGTCCCAGTGACTACACCTGCTGGGAAGGTATCCGTAAGAATATACTCTCCTGAGGGCCCCGGGCCTTTTCCAGTACATCTCAATTTTCATGGAGGTAAGAGAAAGTCCGGGTGATCTGACTATACTGTGCTCATATTATACTCACAGGTGGCTGGGTACTGGGCGGGCTCCAGAGCGAGGCTGCATGGTGCCGCCATATTTGCAACAAGTCTAACATCAAGGTCATTGATGTAGACTACCGTATGGGACCAGAGCATAAGTTTCCGACAGCCATCTACGACTGTTGGGACGTGGTTAAATGGGTTAGTACTGCCTCGAGCCGGGTCTCACAACTTTTCAACTGATATACAGTGATACAGGCCATCAAAAACGCGGATGGGTTAGACATTGATCCCACAAGTGTTTCTTTCGGCGGGCTTTCGGCAGGTGGCCAGATGTCAGCGGTACTTGCTCATTTTGCAAGAGACGAGGCCATCGCAATCAAGTTGCATCTCATGATTGTTCCAGCAACCGACATGAGATACTGCCACAGAAGCATCAGGCAGCTCAACAAGTCAAATTGCCCATATGAGAGCGCTCGTTTATACCGAGATCTTCCTTGGGGGCCTATTGGCCGAGAACAATGGTTTTTGAAGTATTGGCTCGGGGAAGATGATGGTGAGGATACAATGAAAGACTTTATTTCTGGAAGCACGCGCTAATTCCATGAACACAGATGAACAAGCACGATTGCTCAACGATTGGATCCTGACGCCGGTACTCGCGCCAAACTTTGCTGGCTTGCCACCTGCCCATATCGTCACTGCAGAATTTGATTTGGAAAGGGACGAGGGAGAGTATTACGGGAAGTTACTACAAGATGCAGGGAACGAGGTTTCGATGAAACGGTACACAGGGGTTCCTCATGCATTTGCTCACTACAACCATCCAGAGCGGGGTCTTTCTAAGAGCTTTGATTTCATCGACGATACGGTTGAGCTACTTAGGGCAGTGCATTATGAGAGCTGAGAGTTGAGATCTATAAACTAGAAAAGACTGTTGAGACTTGCTGTTCTTAAGACTTCATTGCATCGGGCAAGTGCCTGAGATCCAAGCTCCTAAATATTGGGTCTGCGTTCTCTCGCCCGGATGCTAGGGTTGTTTTCAACTGTACTGGCAACAGCTCAAAAGACCTGCCAGGTGTTGAGGATTCCAAACGTTATCCGACCAGAGGCCAAATCGTGTTGGCCAAGGCCGCTCATGTGCAGAAAAATATTATGCGACATGGCAGAAACTATAAGACGTACATCATTCCAAGACCCTGGTCAAACGGAAATGTAGTTCTCGGAGGATATATGCAGAAGGGTGTTGGGTGACTCTCTTTCCTTGACTCGAATCTCGGCCTTGAGGACTTCTATCGCTAACATCCGCTGTAGAACGAGTGACACTTTTGCATACGAGACCGAGTCCATTCTGCAACGAACATCTGCTCTTCAAGTTAGCAGCGAGCTTACCGAAGCCGAGCCAGAGGTGCTCGCTAGCTTTTCCGGTCTTCGGCCTTCGCGCGAGGGTGGTGCCAGAGTCGAGCTGGTCGAGCTGATTGTCGATGGCCAGACGCGTGTTCTTGTCCACAACTACGGGGCGAGCGGCACGGGCTTCCAGGCCGGATATGGCATTGCGTTGGAGGCTGTCGAAGCCATTGAAGATGTTCTGCAAGGCATTGCGCAGAATCATACTGGAGCTAAACTTCGACGTTTCGATATCAATTCGAGTTGATAGTCACTGTAGAACAAGCCCAGAGAAAGGACATTCATTCATGCAGAATCCGCGGCTTTGAATGCTGCTTCGATGTGCGCCTCGAGATGGAAGACGTTGGCAAGCCCGCGCCAAAAAAGAGCGTCGATCCTCAGTAACCCCAGGCGGAGGAACGAGAATGACGCTACTTTCAATCGAAGACTCTTCCGTGTCGACTGCAAATCAGTAATCCAATCGGAGGCTTCTTGATAAGTATGTGAGGAGATAGCCATTGTCATTTGAGTGAAGCAAATCGAGGAAACTATGAGCTGAGTCCAAGATGACCAGAAGACGTTATCTGTGTCTGAGCTTAAGCTCTTCACGACATCGGAGAGACCGCGAGTGCAGTCTCTCATGGCTTCTCTTTGCTCTTCCATTGGATTCGCCCTCTCGTCAGATGCGTTGTAGCCTGTTGAGCCTTGGACCAGTACTGGACGAAGTCCAGCCCGCAAGATTATCATGCGAACGTAGAGGTAGGCAAGACGTTGAGAGTTTGTTGTCGAGCCAGCCAGGACTGAGACAGAGGAAAGACTTTGAAGTAAGGGTTTCGTCAAGACAGTAGTCTTATCATTGCTCTTGGCCAAGTCATTAACAGCGCGGGCTGAACTGTTGGAAACATTAGCATTGTGGGGGGTAAAATCAAAACAGATGCACCTCTTACTAAAGGCTGGTGAGTGCCGAGTTGAGAATTTCAGTTACGGCGGAGAAGTGTAATAGCTGCGTCTCGTCTTGATCCCGCATTCCGGAACCAATAGAACTTGCATGTTCGACCGCGGCAATGAGCCAGTTATCTCGGTGAATCAGTGTCGGTGACCCCTGAACGCAGGCTGTCCATGTATCGACGGCAAAGATGCAAAACGATAGCCTCTGCCGTTGACCCTTTTGCCAATCTGGCATCGACCACCCCGAGGGATCCAGATGGAGACCTAGTGTAGTTGCGCAGGCAACCAGTCTCCCCAAAATGTCCCGTCTGTATACCGTATCTGCGACGAGAGGATCTGCAGATGGGCGTAAAGCAAGGAGCAAGAGAGTCTGAGCAACCGCTATGCTTGGCGAGTGGACTTCGAAGATGAGAGCCTTGTTGATGATTTGGGCCAAGGCAGGATAAGGAGGCTTGTCATATGCAACGTCGACACTTAGCTTATCGTCATGAAGCGCAAAAGGTAAAGTGATAGAGTAGATAGCAGCAAGGAGATGTGGAGGTGATGAAGATGGTTCTACAGGTTGTGCTGTCGACAAAATGGGCCACCAGGGCTGGATGAAGTCCCAGAAGAGTTTGATGAGACGCTGACCGACAGCGACTGGAATGATATCTTCTAGTTCCTGTCCGTTCACAATATCTTCTGGATGGTTGGAGCCAGCCTCTTGTCTACGACGAGAGAAGATGGATTGCTGCGAGACGAGAAACTGACAAGGCACTGGTTGGTCTTGCACCGAGTGAATAGCAAGCTCCTTGAATCCGAACATGCCGCGGTCATCAAATCGATAATGACGCAGGAGAAGAGGGTCCATGTCACCGCTGAGACCTAGCAATTGCGGGTTGGCACCAGGAGGATACTCGGCCTCTTCCTTCGAGCTTGATTGACGAGATGTACTCCTCATCCACACGGCTGAAGGTGTGCTTGGAGCTTGCGGGCTTCGGAACATGGCCTCGAATTCGGATTGGATTGTGGTAAAATTGAAGTCTCCAGTATAATTCAACTGATCAAGCTCCTTGTCTGGAAACTGCGTGAAAATTTGTGATGGGCTTGGCATTGTCGTCGCTGATGCAGGTATTCGTGAACCAACATGAGATGAGCTCGACCCGTCGCCTGTATTAGGGCCGTCATCGGACGTCAACAGCCTCTTCCTTGGCACAGCAGCCTCGACGAAAGTACACCGTCGGTTGTGTGATACGCATAGGCGGCATGGCGGCGCTTGTTCAATCCGACAGGCGGTCTTGCGGGAGCGGCAGAAGTCACACGGGCGCTGGCGCTTGCTCATATATCTTCGCTGTTGACCAGACATGCTGCTGAGATGACGCTCAACGCGTCGTGGCTTTTCAACAGCAAGCAACTCGTTGATTAGGCTGCCTGGGAGCTTGCTTACAAACCATCTACAAGGACGCGATGTACAAGCAGCGAGTTGGTATCAAGGTCATTGCTGGACAAGATGAAGGCGAGGCAGAGCATGTGATTGATGTCTCCCCTGGCCTGAGTGGTGGGGTGTGACAGGAAGAAGATGCTACTCGAGTCAAGAACGCGCGTGGATCACGGGTAAGCCAAATTTGATCGCGCGGCTGGCACCGGCTGGCGAGCTGTCCATCCGAAAGCATTTTGGTAAGAACATGAAGACATTGAACCTTACAACTAAACGCAACACCAAGCGGAACACTGAAATCCTGTTTCAACTTAGAGTGACCGGATCCAATCTCATTCGGATCTTTCTCAAGCTCATCTATCAAGAAAGTCCGGTGCATTCAAAAGACAAGCTTAGACCAAGGCCTCCAAGTCACCATCCAAACTCTTTGACCAAGGAACTAAGCACATTGATAATAATACGGTGCCGATACACCCTGGCAAGTTGAACCGGACTGGAGGCCGTAGGTAGTTGTTAGTTTCAAACATGTAGGAACGGGACTCAAATGTGACAAGATGAGCAACTTACGGCGCAGATGGTGCATCCCGTCCAACCCTGACCACCACATTGCGCATACTTCTGGACAGTACACGACGGCGGGCTTCCAGTCCCAGGAGACGTGCCTCCTCCATTTACAGGTGAGACTGGAAGTGCCGTGCCAACAGGCCCCTTGGCTGCGTCGCACGTTGAAGCGCAACCATTGCATCCAGAACCTGCCGTCTTCGTGGTTCCGATCGAAGCAACGGCAGGACCGGGGACCGTATATCCAGACAGCTTTGCATGAATGTTGACAGCGATACCGGGGTCGCTCGCCTTGTAAGCCCCGGGGAAGCTAACCGTTGCGGGCTTCGCCGTTCCCGTGCCGCCCGAGACGAGAAGCTGGAAGCAGGTCATGTAGAGCTGCGCTCCGCCCGACGCACCGGCCGCATGGAGCGCGATAACTTCCGCGCGAAGAAGGTAGTCGCCATCAGCAATGTCTCTGCTGATGGGAACGTCCATCTTGCCGCAGCAGGTGTTGAGGTCTTTGGTGCCCCAATTATCGTCGTCGCCGGAGCCGGCGCCGGACTTAGCGGACCAGCCGTCTTGGAAGATCTTGAACCAGCCCGAGGAACCGTCAGCTGTGGCGGCGTTGTCGACTTTGCTGAGATAGACTATGACCGGACCGTAGTGTGCGCCGCCAATGGCTTCGTTGTTGCAGCTTCTGTCGCCGTTTTGCTGTTAGAGCCCTGTATCAGTGTTGATCTTTCTGTGACCATGGAGAATCAAAAGCATTACCTGATGCATCTCAATGGTGACTGTCCCACCGGCCTTGACAGGGCATTTGGCATTTACGCCGCTTGTTCCGCCGACGTTGCATCTGATTTCACTACCAGCAACATTGGTCACAGGGGAGTTGCTCTGAGGCAATCTTGCACACTGCGAGCCTTGAAAGGGGGTTAGCCTCTTGGTCTTTCTTGTCACATAGAAAAGAGCTGAACGTATCATATCAACGCCGTCAATCCAAAGTTGTTGGAAAGTTGCATGGGCGGCAGTTTGTTTCGTAGCGAATACTGCGAGAGATACGAGGATACTTGACTTCATGTTGACTCAACTCAAAGGCAGAATTTATCTATAGCAAGCGAAACGGCTTAGGTGAATCTCAGTAAAACAGCGAATATAGGAGACAGAGGATTTAAGCGAATTTATAGCAGCGAAGAAATCAGCCACACGACACATACAGGGCCTTGATTAATACTAAGTAAAGAATCTCATCGGCGGCGAAGCGCACATCATACTTCAATGCCTCACACCATTGTCACTTTTCCCATTCTTCTGCCGCTAACGAAACTTCGGTTAACCTAAAGTTGTCCTTCGGGGCCATACCGGGACTTCCTTCTAATACGGGAAAAAACCCAATAGATTGCTTCTCTCGACCAGGCTGGCTCGGCATGTCCATCGACCCAAACTGAGGAGTAAGCAGCCCCACGGAAGCAATGCTGACACGCGCAAGGATTGGTCACCGCTAAAGCAGTTCCAAAAATCCAGAGTAGCGTGGCACCTCAGCATCAAGTGATCAACCGAGGTGACCCAAGGATCCAGGTCCATTTTAACCGGACTATAGGCAGAAACCGCCGGAGAAGAAAGCTCCGTAGCCGCCGTAACTGCGTGAAAGTTGAAAGTAAGTTCAGGCTATTATCACGTACCTTAACGTAGCGAAGCCAGGCCCAGGCCATGACGCTGATTCTGGCTCTTCATCTGTAAACAGTATAGACGAGGCATGAGCTTTCAAGCTTCTGAATCATTAATGAGACGCCTAGAAATTGTCATCGGAGTTAACGGATTAATTTGGGTACTCAGTGGCTGCCCCTTCCTACCAGCCTAGGCATGAGCTTAGAAGCGGACTTTTATTAGTTGCTTTGGGAGTTTCGGACTTGAGTACAAGCAATCACGCCGTGAAATATTACGGTGCCCTATTTTTGACATATTTATATATAAAGTATAACTATATTTATATATGGGAATTGATATAGAGGCATGTGTCGTGGATAATCGTGATTATATTATTGTCTATGTTGTGTGTTCTCCTTTCCAGATGCAGCCAGGAATATCCCTCATCTGAGGCACCTGGATTCCTGCATTTGTATTGGTTAAGTTAGTCTTACCCGGGTTATTATGGGCCTAGATTGCTCGTTCTGGTCCGAGTATACCTGCTTAATTCTACTTCCGTACTTTAATATACCCCTTTAGATCGTGGCTTTTATTTCTTCTATTACCGTAATCTGGCCAATTCTACTTAAGTACTCTTTTTACCTCCTTAGTTCCCTTCTAGTATAGGCTTCTTAGAGAGGTTTAGTTAGCGGACGAAGTCTTTGTGTTTTTACCTTAAGAGACTCTTTGTTAGTCTATCTATTATTATCTTAGCCGTTGGTATATATTTAATATTAATGAGTCTTTTAGAGATAGACTATCTAAGCTAGTGGTAGTGTATATTTACGTAGCGAAGCTTTGTCTATAGCTTAAGTAGCTCTTTCTTCACTAGTCTGATAGTCTAGGTGTTGTTGCATTAGATTGATATCTTTAGTGGTTTTCCTCCTAGTGCTTTAATTAATCTGCTGGCGAAGATTGCTTCCTTTCCTGCTTGTGATAGAGCTAGTAACTCAGTTTTAGTTATAGAGGTTGTAATAGTTGCTTGCTTGTTAGCCTTTTAGCCTATCATTCCTCTAGATAGCTTTATTATAATGTTACGGCCAGCTAGTCGTAGGGGTAGTTTGCAGAAGTTGAGGCTGAGGAACTGGTAACAGTAATCGTAGTCGGGGATAGCTTCAGGGAAGCTATGTCTGTCAATCGTAAGGGTAGGTAAGTGTTGGTATTCCTCTCACAGGGAATTTGGTTCGAACCGTAGGGTCCTGGGGGTGACGAAGTATCAATATCTCTGTATTGATTGATTCTGCGTGAGGAGTAGAAGGGAGATTCCAACCGGAGGTTGGGTGGGTAGTCGAGGTCTAAGTGTACCCCCTCGAGGTGGCCCATGCTCTTCCCCTACTCGCGGCCGAATTGGACTTCCAATCCGACAGTAAGGCTTCGGTGATCAATCGTAGTCTTGTCAAGGTAGTAGCTGAAAGCGGATGTTAATCCTGATACGAAGTTAATTGCTGAAGAAGCTATGGGAAGTCTGTCCTAGAGCCCGGCTCGAGTCCATCCTATATACAAGTCCTGATCCTGAACATATCCTTTGTTGCCTGATCACCATGTTCGTTGGTGATCACTAAGTGGATACTGGTGAGCGCTCACTTTGGGTGATGATGATGATGATGATGTATTTAACGTCTGGTAACAAAAAGACGTGCCGGGCGCTATGCCGACATGGTCTATGCTAATCTAAACTATGTTACAGGCTACCGTCTTCACCTAACGTTCCTGTTCAATGACTCGGGCAAATTTCGGAAAAGAAATTGGTCTCCTCTATCTATTCGCATAGAAGAGAGGCTCCCTTAGCAGAACTTAACAAGAAATCAATGCTTGCTTTGGCCATACGTTGGCGGAGGTAGCGCGGTGTAGCCTTGCGTCCACGCTTGCAGAAGTAGAAATGGACTGGTGTCTTGGGTTTCCCACAGCTGCAGTTGAGCAACGCATCTTGATGAGCGAATCTCTCGTGGTATGCTGCAAAGTCTCCATGATGGGATCTTGCTGCGTATAGCCTTCCTAGTAAGTGCCGAGGGAGGCGGAGTTCGGGCGGCTTGGGGTGAAGAATTATCTCGAGGTCGGCATATTGCCGAGGGCATTGGGACAGCCATTTTCTGGCAAAGGCTTGGAAGGCAGCTGCTTTAGCTTGCCTTTCTAGGTGCGCTAATGAGGGCTGTGGTTGTGATTTTGGGATTAGTTTGCAGGCTTCCTTGGCTAGAGCATCCGCTTCTTCATTTCCTGGTACTCCCGTGTGCCCAGGGCACCACCAAACATAAACCCTGCCGGGGGTTGTCCAGCTCTCTCTTTGTCTCCGAGTCCAGGAGGAAGAGAGCCTATTGAAGGCCCTAAATCTAGCCTGGCTGCTTCCTGTGCTCTGGGAGTATAGTCTAGCCGCGACTGCGAGGTTGTCGAGGCAGATGTGGACGTTATCGCTCACTTTGGGTGATGATGATGATGTCATCATCATCATCATCATCAACACCGGATTCTCTGCGTATATCAGGTAGATAGCCGCCGCAGGCCTGTGGGGCGGGCCCCCTGGCCTTGTTATGCATGTTGGGTTGTAACACTATATAGGCGGGCTTGTCTATATCTTGCCCTGTGTCTTGATCTATTTCTTCTTTACTTAGGTTCTCCCCTTCGTTATAGAGTAGAATAGGGTTATTTATTATGTCGTTTACTTCTTCCTCTTTAGCCGTAAGTTATTAGTTATTTAGTAAGGTATTAGTAACGTGGTTCATCAGTCAGCCGGCCGGACCAGTCAGCCGGACGTTTTTTCTAAACACACTTATGTCCAAACCACTTAAACCTTTGACGCGTAAAATCTCAACAACCATAATGCCAATCTATACCCAAGAAGATAAAGTCATTCTTGCGATTGAAGCGATCCGATCGATACGCGCTGCAGGTAGTAACTTGAGCATTTCGCGTGCCGCAAAGACCTACGGTATCCTGAAGAGCACCTTAGCCGATAGAATGAACAACCGACCGCGACGCGAACAAACTCAACCCCAACGACATAAACTCGATCCGATCGAAGAGAAAACACTTCTCCAATACGTTATTGAACAGGATTCCAGAGGATTTCCTTTGCGCCTTGGCGGTGTGGAAGATATGGCCAATCTCCTGCTGCGAGCGCGTAATGCCGAGCCTGTTGGCAAGCGATGGGCCAGGCGGTTTATGGACTCACAGCCTGCTCTGAAAACAAAGTTTAATCGTCTATAAGATTATCAAAGGGCTCTTCAAGAAGACCCAGAGGTTATTTCAAAGTGGTTTGTGTTGTTACGCAACATGATGACCAAGTATGGAATCCAAGAGGAGGACCTATACAATTTCGACGAGACTGGCTTCATGATGGGCATGATCACCGCGTCAATAGTGGTAACACACGCCGATCGACGCGGCAAAGCAAAGTCTGTCCAGCCGGGTAACCGTGAATGGGCTACAGTCATTGAATGTATCAATTCGGGCGGGTAGTGCATCCCTCCGTTCGTGATCGTCAAGGGCGCATATCACCTTGCCAGTTGGACCACGGAATCAGGTTTTCCGGGCAACTGGGTCATCAAGCCCACTGCTAATGGATGGACGGATAATCAGACGGGTCTTGACTGGATTAAACACTTCGACAAACATACTAAGAACCGAACTAAGGGCGTCTACCGGATGCTCATTATCGACGGCCATGAAAGCCATTTATCGGCCGAATTCGACGATTACTGCAAGCAGAACAATATTGTAACGGTCAGTATGCCTGCACATTCGTCGCATCTATTACAGCCATTGGATATTGCGCTTTATTCGCCTTTGAAACGCGCATACGGTGATGAAATCAACCTATTTATCAGAGCCTCCATAAATCACATTACCAAGTCTGAGTTCTTTATTGCCTTCCACCAGGCCCACAACAAGGTTTTTAATGAGGAAAACATCAGATCTGCTTTCCAAGGCGCTGGAACTTCACCATGGGACCCAGACTATGTCATCAAAAAGCTTGATGTGCATTTACGGACGCCTACACCTCCTATGGCCAACCCTTCAACACCACCACCTTGGCAGTCGCAAACGCCCTCTAACCCACAACAAGCCGTCTCGCAGTCCAACTTTATCAAAAGCCGGATCTCTGCTCATAAAGGAAGCTCACCGACACCAATTATTGCTGTAGTTGAGCAATTGTCAAAGGGTGCGCAGGCAATGGCGCACTCAATCACTATTTTGACTAATCGGCTTCGTACCCTTGAGGATGCGAATGTAGCACTTGCTAAGCGTCGGAGGGCTAAAAGGTCGTGTGTGCAGCTTGGAGGGGCACTTAGTATAGAGGAATCTCAGGGTTTGCTGGAAGAGAAACAAAAAGGTAAACGTCCAGCACCTCGAGAGGATGAGGAGGGGGGTCCATCAAAGAGAGCCCAGCCGACTCGGAGACGCTGTGGTGCGTGTGGTAAGACTGGGCATAATGCACGAACCTGTTCCAAAGATGTCGAATCATCAGGAGATTCTGATAGCGATAACCAATAATTGACTTAATGCGTTGTGGTTGAGAAATACTAGATGTTGTTGTGGACGTGGGAAAAAACGTCCGGCTGACTGGTCCGGCCGGCTGACTGATGAACCACGTTAGCTATTCTAATTAGTTCATCTAGTTACTCCTATGTTACGAGCTGGACAAGGCAACCAACTGTGGCACAAAGCAAAAGCTTCGATAATGATGACTCCGCATCATTGTCCCTTGTTCTGCATTATATAGCTACGCGCCCACAGTGACAAGTTGCGGCGGGCGTAACATCCTAGTCTACTTTCTTAAGGTTATCTTTTAGTTATTATATATCCCTAAAGAACGTTATAATCTTATTAAATATTATATCCCTCGTCGAGATAACTTAGTTTAAATATAGGATCTATATTCTATCCCATCGAGTGCTGTTGGGCTACAGATACATTGTTCCACTCTTTTACCCACTCTTAACCCCTCACATCAGGAATACATGACAGTACGTCATTTACCCCTAGGAATCCCTGGCTTCCCTTCACCACCAAAATCGCCTATCTACACATGCCAATTCGTCACGATGGCCTCGAGCGACGATAGTGACTCTGAAGGGTCTGTAAATTCCTGTATCAACGTTGCGATACTTCCTGAAGACCTCGCAAGCGCCTGTACAGCTGACTGTACGCCCGAGAAGTGTGATAGCGCGACTGTACGCCCACATGAACCACCTTCGCTGGAACGAGGCATACTTGTTAATAGCTTCTTTCTCCAGCTCTGGGGCGAGCCGGAATGGGCTCGGGCCAACTCTCAGTACGAATGGCGAAGGACCCTTTCCACCCAGCTAATTCAGCGCTTTTGACCATTAGTTCATGGGAGGCAACGGGCCCGGCCCCAGAGGGCCACTGATACAAGAGAGAATTCCATTCCATGGCAACAACATACGAGGGTATCACGGAAGCCCTCTGCTTGCTTGTCTTGTAACAACAAACGAATAGCATTAGGCGAAGTCACACGGAACTTGCGAAGAGATGGGAGAAAAAAGACGAGGTCAGGATGCAAGCAGTGTGGGGTTGCGATTTGTAACTCTGATGATTGCTGGTACCTCTATCACACTCAAAATGTATAGGCAACCGAAGTACCTTTCAAATAGGGCCATTGATTGGTCGAGAAAACTCTTGGCTGCCCCTGAATGGTCAGGATCCCTTCTGTGAATGTATCTGTAGCCCAACAGCACTCGATGGGATAGATCCCTAAGGAGGTATTGTTGAAGTGCGGAAGTGGAATTGGGCGGGTATGCTCGGACCAGAACGAGCAATCTGGACCCATAATAATCTGGGTGTGACCAACCAATAAAAATGCAGGAATCCAGGTGCCTCAGATAAGGGATACTCCTGGCTGCATCTGGAAAGGAGAGAACACAACATAGACAAGAAAAATGATCACGATAATCCACGACAAGAGACGACTCCGGAGGGGGTCCAGAGCCTCGGTCAGGGCCGGCCGAGGAGGCTAGCAATCGTCCAGAGCCCACCGGAGGCTGTGAGGCCATCGCGGGAGGGCGCCGGAGGAGAGAGGTGAAGGGTTTTCAGCTGTTAAGGATATTGGTGGCAGCCCACCTATTGTACTAACAGTAGATGCCAAGAGAAAATTAGGCGAGGGGGAAGTTGTGAATCTCTAGTTATTGACTAATACTTTGTATTGTAGTAAAACGCGCTTTATGTCTATTGGAAAGAAGGATTACTTAATTAAATTTATCAGAATTTGTGGCTTTAGGTATTACTTCATAGTAGGGTATATAGAATACTCACGCATCTCAGTGCAGCCGCGTGCTACCTACTGCAGCGCGCTGCAACGCAATACCAACGCCCTCAAAAACAGACATAAGCAGGGCACAACCAATAGCATTGTTCCTTGCAGCCTTGTAGCCGTTGCGCAGGGCCAGCGACCCTCCCGTCAGCAGGCCTGCGGCAATGCTGTTCCACGGGTCCTCCTTTCGACGGAGCCCAGAGAGAGCACAAGTATACAGGCCAAGAAGACCACCAAAGGCGGCAAAATTACCGCTCAACACGGGGACCCGCGCCTTGATAGCTGTTACGGCGCCGATGCGCCGTTCACCGGCCGGCGAGTTGCGCGCACCTTTGACGCCGTGCCATACCGTGCCGCCAATTGCCTATATAGAGTAACGTGTGTCAGAGGGCGTGGATCGCTCGAATGCATCGGTAGGAAGGGAGGTGGCGTACGCCCATGCTGAATGCACCCCCAGCATCCGTGATAATAACCCAGGGGCAGGGCTCACGTCCGGTATCCATTACGATGGACGGGGAAGTGTATCGAACGACAAAGTGAAAGTTTTGAACATCAATAGTTACGACAATTTAGCATCCATTAACCCTTTCTGGGTGGTTTTCATCGCTGTTATATAGAATGCCTACCAGAGGTGGCCGCCGAGTGCGTCCGACGCTGACATACTAGCATGGTGGCAAACCGTTATAATTCTTGTCTCGAGCTTGACAGTAAGCTCGCAGCCTGTTCCGCTCTTGGACAGTAATACATTACTGCAGGTGATTTGTGCGGCAAACATTGGGTGGGGCACTGTTGGCGTATGGTAAAACCAGCGTTGGCGATTTATTGTCATGCCTCATTCCCGTCTTTGAGCACAGCCATTTCAATATCGTCAATGACTGGCCTCCCGCAAATCAATTCGCACCATTTCCGCCCTGAATCACCCACTTTAATCGACATGGCAGCCCCAAGACCCATCAGCTCCTACAGCTGCCTTACGTTCGACTGCTTCGGCACTCTGGTCGATTGGGAGTCGGGCATGTATGCCGCCCTCTCTGAGCTGACGGGCCAGCTGGACCCCTTCCATACGCTATACGACAACCGAGCCGGCACCATTGAGCTCTTCGCTAAACATGAGGGACGCCGAGTTCGGGAGCAGCCGGCTGAGATCTACCAGCGGATCCTGGAAGATGTCTACGGCGATGTCGCTCAAGAGCTCGGTCTTGAGGCGTCTACCGAGGCCAAGAAGAGGTTCGGTGCCGGTATCGCAGAATGGGCTGCCTTCCCCGACACCGTGGCTGCACTCAAGCGCCTCAGGAAGCATTTCAAACTCGTGATACTATCCAACGTGGATAGAACCTCCTTCTCAGGGACACTTTCGGGCCCCCTGAGAGAGGTCGAGTTCGACGCCATCTACACTGCGCAGGACATCGGCTCATACAAGCCCGACCCTCGCAACTTTGACTATCTAGTCGAGCATGTCGCTGAAGATCTAGGGTTCAGCAAGGACGGCATTATCCACACCGCCTACAGTTTCCCCCACGACCTCGTGCCCGCTAAAAAGCTCGGCATTGTAGGTGCCTGGATCGAGCGCGGCGAGGAGGTACCGACGGTCATGGGAGGGAAGTTGGAGGATGTCCCGGACCATCTGAGACCCTCGTGGCAGTTCAAGTCACTGCGCGACATGGCAGATGCCGTGGATTTTGACGCTGCGAACAAAGAGTAGCAGTAGGAAAGCTTTGGTTGCTGACGGGGGTTATCAAATGCGTTCATGAGTTATACAAAGTCGATGCCTTCCATTTGGGTTGTGGCTGGTTGACAGTGAAATCTTATACCTTCATGCCTGTTAGAAATGTGAAAAGAACTATAATATCTATTGATACTTGTGTGATTGTGTTTCATTAAACTCTTAGTATAGTAATAGTCCTATGAGTGCTGACTGACCCACAACTCTCTGCAACTAACCTAGAGCAGAGGCTGCGACGAATGACTTGAGATCTCTTTGTGGGACGTTATGAATGCTCTTCTGTGAGCTGCCTTGCTGTTTGATGTTGTAGGACTTGGGCGAAGTTGACACACCAGCGAGATAACCTTGACGTACGATGGTCTGGGGAGCTACAGAAAATGGTTCTTGGGATAGATCAGATCCCCATTGTAGGCCCGCCAGCCTTCCGCTCACGACTCTGGCTTACTGTCGATCTTATGTCAGTCACACTGCAAGCTGTGATCGCACCCCCTTCTTCAAAGAAAGCTGCCTGTTGCGGCTCCGAGACCCGATTGTCAGACGGAGGGATTACCCATTTTGGCGGAAATCCATTCAAAAGCCCCCTGATGAGGATTGTGGTCGGTTGCTTACCAAGTATCTCTTACATCCGCAAGAAAATCTAGATGCCTTGTTGGAATATGGCCTCGGTCTCGATTGACCCTTGAGTGTACTCGATCGGTGTGTGTGTCACCACCATTGTATCCTTGATGACTCGAATAAGACAAAATCGTATAGTATCTGACAAATTGTCAACACAAGACCAAATCAGACGTAATGGCTCAAAGTGAACATGAGAGAATTGAATAAAACAGCGTAGTCCACCGGGCATACCTCACTGAGCGGAATGTGGCAAATATCTACTCCTTCTCTATCTCTCCATCCCCGTATGGTTAAAAGCGCCTTGGGTCAAAGATTCAATCGTCGTATTGATCCGAAAGACACTCTTTACAAATTCCGCTAGCCATTCGAATCCTCCATCGAGATGTCTTTCAAACCTCCAGCTTTCGTCCCCCCCCTGCCCTACGACCCACCAGACACGGTCGCCGTCCATGAATTTCTCTTCGGGGACGAGGATGACTACGGACGCCGCCCAAAAGCCGAATCGAAGCCCCCGTTCACCTGCGGTGTGACGGGCAAAGCGTACTCTGCGTTCGAGGTCAAGGAGCGAATCGAGCTGCTTGCGCGAGCTCTTGCCTCGGATCTGGGCTGGCGGGTGAATGAGGGAAGCGAAATGGAAAAAGTGATTGGAATCTACAGTCTCAATACCGTAATGACAATATTCTCAATACAGCCGTGGTTGGTTAGGTACTAATGGCGTACAGATCGATACTTTGACCGTCTCGTGGGCAACTCATCGCCTCTCTGGCGTGTCCTGCCCCATCAGTTCGGCCTATTCAGAACTCGAGCTCACAAACCTCTTGACATCTGTGAACTGTAAAGCTCTGTTTACCTGCAAGCCTCTCCTTGACCAGGCTCTCAGTGCCGCGGCGGCAGTGGGTATTCCCAGTCGTCATGTGTATCTGCTCGACTTGCCTTCTCAGTCCGCAAATGACTCTCAATTGCCTTTCAGCGCAAAATCAGTCGATCGGCTGATTAAAGAGGCACGGAGCATGACGTCGCTTCCAAGATTGCAATGGAGCAAGGGTCAAGGCGCTCGCCAGACAGCCTTCATGTGTACATCCAGCGGCACATCTGGGTTACCGGTAAGCTACAGAGGACCCCAAGCTATCGCCGGGGAATGGGAGTCTATCTGACAAGCCGCTGAAATAGAAATGCGTTAAAATGTCTCACAAGAATGTGATTGCAAACATTCTCCAAGTCTCGACTTTTGACAGTATCAGCAATCATACCGAGGCGGAAATGGGCCTCGGGGTTCTCCCCCTGAGCCATGGCTATGCTTTGAACATGATATCCCTCAACAGTGTCTACCGAGGCGACAGCATTGTCATTCTACAGGCCTTTGACCTCTTCCAAACTCTGGAAGTGGTAGAAAAGTATTCCTTGCGGCGTTTATGGCTGGTGAGTACGGCATTCCTCACTATGGAATCCACTTGCTAAAGACTCGATTTGTGCAGATTCCCTCGATGATCACAGCAATCACCAAAGCCATTTCCTTGGTCAAAAGATACGACCTCAGCAGTGTGAGGACAGTCGTGACTGCGGCTTCTCCATTGGACCAGGAAACCTCAGTACTCTTTAGTGGGCTGTTTCCCAACTGCAAGCTGATTCAAGCTTATGGCCTCACCGAGGCGTCAGTCATTCTCACCATGGTGGACCAGAACGACATCATGCATGGTTCCAGCGGAAGCCTGCTTCCTGCTGTCCAGGCGCGGCTTATTGACAGCAACGGCCAAGATATCAATGAACACGATCGCGCAGGCGAGCTATGGGTTCGATCGTCTGGGGTAATGCTCGGTTACCACAACAATGAGGCAGCGACTCGAGAGATGATCACTGAAGACGGTTGGTTGCGCACCGGTGACTTGGTGGAGTTCAGGCAAAGTCCCAAGGGAAACGACCAAATCTTCATTGTCGACCGCATCAAAGAGCTTATTAAAGTCAGGGTGAGTCGATGCTCGTTGTGCTCAACTAATGCAAGTAGTTGATGGTTTCTAACAACTTTCCTGCGCCATAGGGCATGCAAGTTGCACCAGCCGAGCTGGAGAGCTTTCTTCTGCTGCACCCTGCCATCATCGATGTCGCGGTTGTCCCAGTGCCCAGTGAGTCCGCCGGTGAGTTGCCGATGGCTTACGTGGTGAAGTCACCGCTGGCGAAGGATCGTGACGAGTTGGCACTCCAGGAGGAGTTATACAATCACGTGAAAAAGTCACTGTCCCAGTACAAACACCTCGATGGTGGTATCGAGTTCATAGACTCGATTCCAAAGACGATCAGCGGCAAAACGAGGAGAGCTATTCTTAAGGAGAGGGCCAAGGCGCTTGTTAGGGATAGAAAGATACTGGCCCAGATTGCGACCGAATGGCAGGAAAAGGCAGAATACGATGAATCCGCGATAATTCAAGTCATTGAGTTTGACTCGGAGGAGGATGAGGATTACTGAAAGTGCGGCCTATTCTTCTTGAGTAATAGACTCTTGTGTTTTCCTTACTCGCCTGCTATCATGATGTTATACACCACTTTATAGCTTCACTGTCAAATATACGGAATAAGTAAATGAAAGTTTTGTGCTATGTCGAAGCCAGGGACGTGCCTTGGCTGCGTATGTATATATATCTCAAGGTCCGGTCAGACTCTGTATGTTTGCACGGCGGCTGGATTTGCTGTGATTTAAATAGGTTTGTAATTCTACCTAGCCACACATATGCCTCGTGAATGAATGCAAGAATTTGTGCATTTATGCGCTCTAATTTGCATTCTCATAACATGGCCTCAACAGACTCCTGAACTCTGAAATTTTGTTTCTTTGGCCGATGGCGTAGATGTTACGGCCAGCTAGTCGTAGGGGTAGTTTGCAGAAGTTGAGGCTGCGGAACTGGTAACAGTAATCGTAGTCGGGGATAGCTTCAGGGAAGCTATGTCTCTAAGTCGTAAGGGTGGGTAAGGCTTCGGTGATCAATCGTAGTCTTGTCAAGGTAGTAGCTGAAAGCGGATGTTAATCCTGATACGAAGTTAATTGCTGAAGAGCTATGGAAAGTCTGTCCTAGAGTCCGGCTCGAGTCCCTCCTATATACAAGTCCTGGTCCTGAACATATCCCTCGTCAATGATCAGTTCCTCTGATCGGGTGAGCGCTCATTGTTCGGCATGAGCGCTCATTACTTGGCATGAGCGCTCATGGCCCCACCATGGCCGCTCATGTCTTATCTTATCATCACGTGACTTGTACCATAGTTCTTCCGTTCCGTGAGAGGGTGCCTAGTGTCCCTTGTCTCCTGCATATGTGGTGTGTTGTAACCGCCGCGAGCCTGCGGGGCAGGTCCTGTTCTTGGTCATGCATGTTGGGTCGTAACAGTAGGATAGATAAGATCCTCATTGCCAAGAAAGCAACTAAAGGACAAGATATCCCTTAAGGTAAGATATATTATATTTTTATTTTAAGTAGGAAGGTATAATATTATAAACTAGTTAACTAGTTAGTTATCTTTTAAGAATTTTTATATTAATTAGTTCTTCTAGGTTAACTAGTTTACTTAGAAAGTGTCGTATGGTCACAATGTGGGCATCGAGATGTTTAATAGAGAACGGTTATCCATTGAAAGTAGAGAATAGGTACGAGGCTCGCTCTAAAATAGGTGATGCGAGCGAGTGTGGGCCTCGGTGATTATGTAACCGAGGTCACGTGACGGGTAGTGAGGCCACAGATGGTTGAAGCCATCACGACAGAAAGATAATAATATTATACTCTTCTTGATAACGGTCTTTTAAAAAGGCCAGGATGTTATTTAGAGCCGGTGCCGACCGGCCGGAAATACTATTATAAAGCGGGCTACCTAGAAAGTCTTTGGCGCCGACGTCTAGAAGAACCTGCTAGTACTAGTACTAGTAGATAAGTATAATTATAATGTTACGGCCAGCTAGTCGTAGGGGTAGTTTGCAGAAGTTGAGGCTGCGGAACTGGTAACAGTAATCGTAGTCGGGGATAGCTTCAGGGAAGCTATGTCTGTCAATCGTAAGGGTAGGTAAGGCTTCGGTGATCAATCGTAGTCTTGTCAAGGTAGTAGCTGAAAGCGGATGTTAATCCTGATACGAAGTTAATTGCTGAAGAAGCTATGGAAAGTCTGTCCTAGAGCCCAGCTCGAGTCCATCCTTATATACAAGTCCGATCCTAACTGAGCAGTGCTGAACAGTCCACTTTGTCTGGATATGTTGGATATGCCGAATATCCAACATATCCTTGACTCGGTTGGATATGTCGCATATCCAACATATCCTTATCCCTTATCATATCTCTTATCATCACGTGACTTGTACCATAGTTCTTCCGTTCCTGGGGTTTCCCCAATGTTCCGTCCCGTCCTGCATATATGATGCGCCGTAGCCGCTAGGCGTCAGCGGGGCACGCCCTGGTCTTCATGTTGGGTCGTAACATATAAGATGAATAGCGTTAATATTAATAACTAGATAAGGTCCTATTATTAATAAGGCGCGAGGGGGATGGTAGGTAATTACTTAAGAGTTTTTATTAAAAGTAATAATCATGAATAGCTATCTATTATAGCTCTAAGGTAAGCCTAGTTAATAATCTATTAGAAAGTAGTATTAATAGCGGTAACTGCTTCTAACCTAGCTTATTTAGTAGTGTGACATTTCCTATCAGCACACTTGGTGCTACGGTCACGTGATAAGCGTGGCCTCTGTACTTAAGACGGTCTGACCGTGACCCTCCACATAAGGGGGTCAACCTTGAAGACACACATCACCCATGACCTACCATTGACGTTCACTTGCTCTTTCGCTTTGCTCTTTCGCTTGCTCTTCTGCGCGTGCTTCAATCGCTTTGCTCATTTCGCACTCTCCTGCCCGTAACTACACAGTCAGGCCACAGTCTTACCCCCTCTGTCAGAGACGGCCCTGTCAGAGAGACTGTGTCAAGTAGTTTGGACTATTGGTAAGAGGTCGGTAAAGATTATGACCTAAATAAATAAGAGATAAAAGAAATACCTTTATTCCTTGGTAGTACTATCGTAAGGGATCAAGAAAATCCTGTTCGCCTGACTCCTATTATAATAATATAATAATATTACGATCCCGCTAGGCTCGAGGCGAGATATCTGGTAATAACCTTAGAAAGCTACAAAGGTATGTTCGAAAAGGCTACTTAGATTATAATATATTATTATAGTTAGTTATACCGACCGAGATTACTAGTACCTTTCGTATAACCTAAATATATAGACAATATAAGTACCTTAAAACGTGCCTAATTATTGGCTGACACAGATGAGCCTGTATGCCCTTATTGGCTGTACCCCGCACAAGGGCTCCGCTGACGTTAAGCAGCAGTCAATGGGATAAGCACTAGATCAGTATGTAACCCAAAAGAACGGACACTGTCCCATTGTCTCGCACCTCGAACGCAATCAGTGACACGTAAGCTGCATGAGGCACTTAACATGTCCTGGCATTGGTAAAATAATCTGACTCAGGAGGATGGCCTGGGTGCTTTCGCTGATGCGGTCCCTATACGCTGCTTAGTGGCGTTTTTGTTCCTCCTTGGATTCACTGATGCTCGTGGATACTGAGCACTGCCTAGAATGTAGCCGGAAATGGGCAGATATGAACATTTCTAACCTGGACAAGCCTATGATTGTCTCTCGTAAGAAGGTGGGGTGGGGAAAAGTACTCCTATAGAGCCAGTTGTTAGAAAATCAACTATTGAAATCCTTGACCAATACAGCAACGGCACCAACAGAGTCTTACTATCAATAAAGTGTAATAAACAGGCAATGAAACCAAGCCTCTCCTCTCATTGAAGACTGGTCTATTATCGGATCTTCACCTTCGGTTAACCTCATTGCAAAGTAAAGTGGAACTCTAGACTACGGGAACCCCGTCGCCATATTCCCTCTAGTTGACTACGTAGCACCGAGGGGATTCGTGGACCAAAGCTCAATCATTTCCCGTTGGATTTGTATCCTGGTTTGGGTTTCCGCGCTTTACTCGAAGCACTACTTGTGTCAAGCACTCTACAGCCTACCTCATTCACAAGTTATTTGCAAGCAGCCCTCGGTATTTCGTCTGCTCATCTACGAGTCAACCACATGAACCATTGCTAAGCATTACATCGATAACATACACCACTATGTTCGCGCCATCCGTCAAGACTTACGAGGTGACCAGACGTATGGATGAATTTGACGGAGAAGAATTCGACGAAGACTCAGGAAATACAGAGTCCGGCCCCTCTATAACTTCCTCGGGCGCCATTGGCATGAGCAATGAAACACCAGCCACCCCGAATAGTGAGGCCATCCTTGAAACACACCTGGAGCCGATCGCTATTGTTGGCATCGGCTTGAGATTACCCGGCAACGTCTCCACGACTGAAGACTTTTGGGATCTTTTGGTCAACAAGAAAAGCACCAGATGCCGAGTACCCGAGAGCCGCTTCAATGTAGACGCATTCTACAGCCATTTCGGAAAGCCGGGCACCGTGAATAGCAAGTACGGCCACTACCTCGACTGCGACATCGAAAGAATGGATGCTTCCTTCTTTTCCATGAGTAAGGCCGAAGTTGAGAAGCTCGATCCCCATCAGAGACTTCTCCTCGAGGTCGTTTGGGAATGCATGGAGAATAGCGGCCAGAGGAACTGGCGTGGCGCGAACATTGGCTGTTACGTTGGTGTCTACGGCGATGACTGGTTAGATCTCTCTGCAAAAGATCCTCAGCGTTTGGGAATGTACCGAATTACCAGCTCTGCAGAGTTCGGCGTTGCGAATCGGTTATCGTACGAATTTGACCTCAAGGGGCCGAGGTAAGACCCGTCAGGCTTGATGCACACAACAATACCTTTTTTCGCTAGGAAACATCAAGAACCAGACCAGCCAAAACTAACAATGCTTCTCTCACAGTATGACAATTCGCACTGCATGCTCTTCCTCGCTGGTGGGATTACACGAAGCATGTCAAGCTATCTACTCAGGATCATGCGACTCTGCCGTGGTGGCCGGTGCAAACATTATCGTCTCTCCGACCCTCGCCGTTACACTGACTGAGCAAGGCGTCATCTCGCCTTCGGGTTTATGTCGATCATTTGATGGCAAGGCCGATGGATACGTCCGAGGCGAGGCGGTCAACGCAGTCTACGTAAAGAAACTGAGCGATGCCCTGCGAGACGGCGATCCTATCCGTGGCGTGATTAGGGCCACCGGTACCAACTTTGACGGCAAAACGAGCGGCATCACGAACCCTAGCAGAGAAAGCCAAGAAGAACTCATTCGAAGGACATATCGCGCGGCGAACATCCCGAACCCTGGGGATACGGGCTTCGTGGAATGCCACGGGACCGGCACGACGGTGGGTGACCCCTTGGAGACGACCGCTGTTGGGAGAGTATTTGGCGGACGAGGCGATGTCCTAATCGGCTCTGTAAGTTGATTCGATTCACCATGTTTCGAAAATGATATCATTGCTGACATACGCTATCCACAGGTCAAACCAAATGTTGGGCATTCCGAGGGGGCATCAGGACTCACCAGCCTGATCAAGGCCGTCTTGGGGCTGGAGAAGGAAACGATTCCGCCAAACATCAACTTTTCTGATCCAAACCCAAATAGTAGGTTCATCTTATGGTCTCAGGTGTCTCTTGAATTATTCTTGATCATGTGCTCATGTGATTATTCAACTTATAGTAAGATGGCAAGAGTTTGGCCTCCGAGTGCCAACAGAGGCTTTACCATGGCCTACAGGCCGTGTAGCTCGCGTGTCAGTGAACAATTTTGGAATTGGCGGCACAAATGCACACGTAAGAACATCTTTGCTATCCAGTAGTGTTGACGACTTGGACTCATATTGTTCCAGGTAATTTTAGATTCAGCGAAGCTGTTCCAGAGGGAGAACGCAAAAACCGCAGCGCACCGACATCATCTCCTCTTGTTCTCTGCTCAAAATCCTGAATCTCTAAAGAGCCAGATCTCCCAGGTCGAGGAGTACGCCCGCAGGCATGAAGACCACATTGCGAACATCTCTTACACGCTGGGTGCCCGGCGTGAGCAGCTGGCCTATCGAACGTTCACGGTCACCCAAGATGGTTGTCCGTTTCAACCCTCCCCGGTAGTTCATAGCACGGAAAAGATTCCTAGATACGTCAACTTCGTCTTCACCGGTCAGGGCGCTCAATGGGCCAACATGGCCATTGATCTACTGGGCGACTTCCCCTCGTTCCTTGCCGATATCAAACACATGGACAGAATGCTCCAAGAGTTGCATCACGCACCACTATGGTCAATGGAGGGTAAGAATTGGACGATCAACGAGCAGCTGAGAGGTCTAAGCTAACCACTCAATATTCTGCAATAGAGGAACTCAAACGTCCCCAGCATCAGAGCAGAATTGACCAGCCAGAGTTTGCGCAACCCATCTGCACCGCTATCCAAATCGGAGTTGTTCATTTGCTAAGATCATGGAACGTTCGGCCAGTGGCTGTAGTAGGCCACTCGAGCGGCGAAATCGCTGCAGCATATGCCGCTGGTCTGCTGACCCTTGATGCAGCCATCGCCGCTGCATACTACCGTGGACAGGTTACAAAGGAGCAACTTCGCTCTGGGGCCATGGCTGCAGTTGGACTTGGTCCTTGCGCTGTGAAGGAGTATCTGGAAACAGGCGTTGTTGTTGCTTGCGAGAACAGCGGGACCAGCTCAACTCTCTCCGGCGATGCGGATGCCCTAGACTCGGTTCTCGAGAAGATCAAGCTTGGCAGACCTGGGTGCTTTGTACGCAAGCTTAAAGTCGACAAAGCCTATCACTCACACCATATGCAAGAAGTCGGCGATTTGTATGAGACGCTTCTCCAGAGCTCCATGGCGCATGATGTGCTGCCCGACGGCGACGACGGCGACAACGACCACAACAAGAAGTCGCCCATCGCCATGTTTTCATCAGTCACTGGTAATAGAGCCACGAAGTCACAGCTAGAGCCGTCATACTGGAGGATGAACCTCGAATCCCCCGTTTTGTTCTCCTCTGCAGTGCGGTCCATGTTGTTGTCTACAACAGAAGACGTTTTGTGCCTTGAAATCGGACCTCATTCTGCACTGTCGGGTCCTCTTCGCGATATAATTAAATCCGTCGACTTACAGAACTCGGTCATATACGTGCCCACTCTGCTCCGGAAACAGAACAGCACACAGTCACTGCTTTCTTGCTTGGGACAACTCTTCCAGCATTCCGTCTGCGTCGACATACCGACCACGCCGGAGAGCACTGTTCTCACCGACCTGCCCAATTACCCCTGGCAACGCGAGGAAACGTACTGGAACGAAAGCCGTGTATCGCGGGAATGGCGTCTGCGCAAGTTTCCTCCACACGAACTTCTCGGCATCCGTGTTCTTGAGAGCGACAGTACAAGGCCGACATGGAGGAACGTGCTGAAATTGAACGACGTCCCTTGGATCCCAGACCACCGAATCAAAGACGATATCGTGCTTCCAGCTGCCGCTTATCTGTCCATGGCCGGAGAAGCGGTTCGACAAATTGCAGACCGTCCTATGACCGATTTCTCTCTCCGACAAGTCAACATCAAAGCTGCGCTTGTCCTACAAGAAGCGGATGGTACGGAGATCATAACACATTTAGCCCCCGTGCGCCTCACATCGAGTCTGGATTCAGCCTGGTACGAATTCACCATTGTCTCTCAGCGTGGCACCGCCTGGGTCGAACACTGCAGCGGACAGGTCAAAGCTGGCAACGGAGTGCCCATCATCGTGGATGACATGGAAACTCCTCAACACCCTCGATTCGTGTCAAGCCAGGCACTATACAGAAGTATGAGAAGCGTTGGTCTCAACTACGGCCCTCGGTTTGAAGGACTGAAGGACATATCTGCAAAGCCAGGCTCGGGCTGTATCACCGCAAGCATTGACGATGATCACGACCCAAGCGAAGACAGCTACCTGCTGCACCCGACGACAATAGACTTCTGTTTACAGCTACAAATCGTTGCAGCAGCAGAGGGACTCCCGCGTCAAATCAAGCACATCTGCATGCCTACATACATTGAAAAAATGTACGTAGGGCAAGGCTCCTCGGAGATGGTGATTACAGGACATGCCACCTCGTCTTTCGAGGGAACTATCCATGGCTCCGCGAAAGCAATAGGAGATGACGTTTTGGCATTGTCGATAACAAATGCACGCTTCAGCGTTCTCAATGACAGTGGCTTTGACCAAGATATAGATACGGTGGCGGCAGCACAGCTACAGTGGAAACCCGACGTGGAGTTCGAGTCCCCGGCTGATCTCATCCGTCCGCGCAAGTGCCTCCGGGAGGTGTTGGCGAAGCTCGAGAGACTCACCCTTCTATCCGTCATCAAGACTCTTCATCTTGTCAAGGACACGCAGATCACTGGTCATCTGTACCGATTCCGTTACTGGTTGGCAGATCAGCGTACAAGAGCCGCAAAGGGCCTATATCGCCATGTCAGCGATGCCAAGGCATTGACCTGTCTTACTGAGCCCGAACTATCTGCGGAGATCGAGGCCACAATGGAAGGCGTGCGTAGAACGAGTGGCTTGGAGGTTGCTGAACTCATTGAGAGAGCCATGTCAAACGCCCTAAGGATTTTCAACGGCGATGTCAAACCAATCGAGGTTCTGATGGAGAATGACGGCCTTGGAAACATCTATAAGTTCATCCAGTCCCTCTGTGACGGGACGCCCTTTTTCGAGCTTTTAAGTCACGCTAACCCGGGAATGAAGGTGCTGGAGATCGGCGCCGGGACTGGAGGCACCACGGCGGAGATCCTCCGTGGCTTCACCAGCGATGTGGGCGAGCGCATGTATGCGCAGTACGACTTCACAGATATCTCCACTGGCTTCTTCGCGGCAGCGCAAGAGCGGTTCAAAGACTACAGCAATATCGAATGCAAGGTGCTTGATATCAGCAAGGACCCGATTGCGCAGGGCTTCGAGGCCGAATCTTACGATTTCATCATTGCGTCCAACGTCAGTAACTCATACAACCAAAGCATCAAGTTCATCTGACGTATCTTTAGGTCCTTCATGCCACTCCACGTATCCAGGCAACACTGAGGAACGTCCGCAAGCTAATCAAGCCGGGTGGCAGGCTCTTCCTTCAAGAGCTGAGTCCAGGTAAGACTGAGAGAGGTTAGTAGTCGGTCAAGGCATATTTTGGCTAACCATTACCAGAATGGCGTATGATCAATTTTATAATGGTATGAAAACCTCCACGAGACCATAGACGTACCACTGACAGAAAAAAGGGCTTCCTCCCTGGCTGGTGGCTAGGTGTATCGGACGACCGACCTGAACCATACATTTCTCCAGCTCGATGGGACTTGGAGCTGCGAGACGCCGGGTTTTCGGGGACTGATGCTGTGGTGTACGACGATGAGTATCCCTATCAGATCAACGCCAACATGATCTCGTCGACTATTGTTCCGGCCCTCCTACCCAAAGATGTTTCCATTCTTGCTGGGCCTGGCTCTGTTCTAGCCAGTCTCCTACGAGACACTCTAGCCATGCGGGGCTACACAGTGCACTTATCATCTCTTAACGACATTCCGAAACCCGACATGGATATCATTTCGCTTCTAGACCTGGAGTTGCCCTACTTCCATGACGTTTCGGAGGAGAGGTTGAAGAAGCTGCAAGCCTACTTGGGCGCGCTGTCCCCCGATACTGACATCTTGTGGGTCACTGGACACTCACAAGTCAGCTGCGACGACCCGCGGTACGCGATGTGTATCGGCGCCATCCGAACCGTTCGTTCGGAACTCTCGTTGGAGATTTCTACGTTGGAAATCGACGTTCGAAGTGCTCCTGACACTGAGAAGGTTGCTGATGTGTTCCTCAAAATAAGACGTCGGTCGTCGCCCTCGGGCTTGGATCCCGATCGAGAGTTCGCAGTGCTTGACGACAAGATCGTCATCCCGCGGTACAACTGGATTAACGTGCGGGAGAAGCGCGTTGGAAGTACCGAAAACAGCACAGTAAAGCTCGAAACAGGTCGTGCAGGACAGCTTCGAAGTCTGCAGTGGGTCCCCAAAGCCGTCGTTGACCTGTTCGACCACGAGATTGCAATCGAGCCCATTGCAGTGGGAATGAACTTCAAGGTAGCTTCTGCGGTTGATGGGACCTTTCACTATGGATACTGACATGAGGTAGGACATAATGGTGTCTATGAGGCTGATCGAGGCGGCCACACCCGACCTCGGTTTGGAATGCGCCGGTATAGTCCGCGAGACTGGACCCGGCGTTGAAGATTACAACGTGGGCGATCGAGTCATGGCATTTACTCACGGCTGCTTTGCCTCAAGGGTCGTTTGCTCCACAGATGAAGTGGTCACCATGCCGGAAACACTTTCCTTTGAGGAGGCTGCAACGGTGCCTTGTGTCTACTCAACCGTGATACACTCGTTGCTCACTATTGGAGGCCTTGAACGAGATCAGGTAAGGGCGCTTCAACACTGGATTGAGAGGCCACATGCTAATCGAATTGTTCTAGTCCGTATTGATCCATTCCGCAAGTGGCGGTGTCGGAATTGCCGCAATACAGATCTGCAAGATGATTGGAGCCAATGTATTTCGAACCCTGTCATCAACACCTTGTTGAGTTGTGCTAACATCAAAGTCCAGATATATGCCACAGTTGGTAGTCCTGCCAAGGTCCAGACTCTTGTCAGTGATTTCGGCATACCACGGAGTCACATCTTCAGCTCAAGAGACTCGTCCTTCTACTCGGGTGTTATGGCCTCAACCAATGGTTCGGGTGTTGATTTGGTGTTGAATTCCCTGTCAGGCGAGCTCCTACACCTCTCGTGGAAGTGTGTTGCCAAGTTCGGCAAGATGCTGGAGCTCGGAAAGCAAGACTTTCAAGGTCACGCGATGCTTGGGATGGATACCTTTGAGGCAAACCGAACCTTTTGCGGAATCGACCTTTCGCAGCTGGCTCTGGAGAGGCCAAAGGTCCTCAGAGGGTATGTAACACCACAGCCAGACTTGAGCTCGCTTCAGGTGTTGACGAACTACAGGTTACTCCAACGTTGCAAGAGCCTTCTTGAGGAAGGCAGTATCAAGCCTCTCAAGCCGATCACCAACTTCAAAGCACAGCACGTTGTCGAGGCCTTTAAGTATCTGCAAGCAGGAAGTCACATTGGGAAGGTAGTCGTCACAATGCCCGATGACATCAGCGAGCTACCGCTGGCGTCCGTTGCTCCCAATACCCGATTCCGCCACGATGCGTCGTACCTCCTGATCGGCGGTCTCGGTGGGCTCGGCCGCACTATCTCAACGTGGATGGTAGAGAACGGCGCTCGTCACATCGCCTATCTATCGAGGTCGGCGGGACAGTCGAACCAGGACAAGGCCTTTATCCACGAGTTGGAATCTCAGGGTTGCACAGTGCAGTGCTTCATTGGGAGGGTCGAGGACCCAGAGGCCGTGACGAGGGCAGTCCAGAACGCGTCCAAGCCGATAGCAGGAGTGCTTCATATGTCTTTGGTGTTGAGGGTACGGAACCCATCGCCCCTTCTGGTAAAACTGTGCAGAGAAGCTGACCATTAATGCAACGTATAGGACCGCAACATTCTGAATTACACCCACGAGGACTGGCACGCAGCTATCAAGCCAAAGGTGGACGGCGCATGGAACCTACACCATGCGTTAGCCGATACGAAACTGGACTTCTTTGTCCTTTTCAGTTCGATCTCCTATGTTATCGGCCAGGCAGGTCAGGCCAACTACGCTGCCGCAAATGGATTCCTCGCCGCTTTTGCCCAATACCGCCATGCGCGGGGCTTCCCGGCGTCTGTCTTGGACATTGGGATCATGGAGGGCGCCGGGTACATTTCAGAAAACTCGACTGTTCTTGAACACTTCAAGGCGCTGAACTACCTCACGCTGAAAGAGGAAGACCTTCTACAAGCCTTGGCATACTCGTTAACGCACCAAGGATCGCCGACGCCGGCATCCAATGGAAAATACGTCAACGTGGCCCAGATCGCAGTCGGCCTGGGCAGCAGCAAGGCTCTCGATGACCCAAGCAACCGGATCTCATGGAAGAGGGATGTCCGAATGACGGCAGCTCACATGAAGGACTCGGCATCCACGTCACAGACGGAGCCAGAAAGCCGGGGTCCAGGTCAGTTCTTGGGCGGGCTCGCTTCAAACCTAGCCGCGCTGGACACGACAGAGACGCGGGAGTTTCTGACGGCCCAAATCGGCGAGTCCATATATGGAATGATGATGAAGAAGAAAGAGGACCTTAACGTTGACATACCCCTCGCCGTCCTTGGGGTCGATTCGCTTGTCGCAATTGAGATTCGGGATTGGTGGCACCGCACCTTTGGCTTACATGTCAACGTATTGGAAATCATGGGAGCCAGAAGTATTCGGATGCTTGGGATTATGGCGGTGGATGGTATCAAGCAGGCTCGGCTTCGATCAATTATCGGGGACGCGAATGGGTAGTCCGGTTGTCTTTGCACATGCACGGACACTGGCGTGGAGGGACTAATAAGCTTTTGATGTCGTGTATATGTTTGGTTTCGTTTGTCATAATTATCGGTGAGATTGCCGATTCATGCTTGATACAAGACACAAACGAAATGTTTTCTTCACAGCGGAGTCATGGTTTCTACAGCCCTGAAGAAAAATTGGAGTTGGTGCTCTGGTGTGTAGCGATGAAATCAGCTTGCATTAGAGTAGCAAGTGGTTTACCGTGAGACCGTCGAGTGTGTGATCGTTTGCCATTGGAAGCACAGATTTGCATTTGCTACGGGGGGTATCATAGTAGTAGCTGCAATAGGAGGTGGAGGCAGGGTAATCTGCTCTCCAAAAGCATTGCTCAGGGGTATTGTTACAGGATCCATGCTGAATATTAACATCTTTTTTCCTAATACATTGATAAAGCTTTGATAATCAAGTTCTTTTCAGGCCATCCAATCCACCAAAAAGCCACATGTTACGTTGATAAAGGCTCAAGTCAGTCAAATCGCTTGACTTGAGACCTACTGTTAGATCATCAGTTAGAGGTCTAGATAGCTAGGATTGTCAGACTCAGGCAAGATGTAGAATTTACTGGCCAGTTCTATGCGAGAACAACAGCAGGAAATCACTATTGAATAAGTAACAATCAATCAAACGTACAAAGAATTGTTGTATGGCGAGAAAATGTATGTCTTTTCTCTTGCATTACTCTGTTAACCTAACAGCAATCCCTACAACCTATTCTTACGAGGTTTTGCCCCTTGTCGTTTCCCTTGTGGCGGTATTACCTATTACGATATACTCCGGACGGTTACTGGAACGTTGTGTAAACCAGAAGCCTGCGGGCTCTGGGTCGAAGGATAGGGGATACTGGCGGAATTGCGTTCTAGGGACGACCATAGCACTGTCTCGGGCAAGCCAGCGGCACCCAGAGACAGGTTAAACACATAGTTGCCTTTGGGCACGATTTGGAGGACGAGCTGGACTGTATCTAGTGATAGCTATAGGCCTACGGCCCTCCACGCCATATACCCTTCGGGAGGTCTGCCGCAAGGGCGGCTGCGCCCTTGCCACCACGGCGTTAAAAATACAACAACAACAACAACAAAATTGACTTCAAGGCGCCCAGGGGCCCGTATATTTTGGTGGGCTGCCTATTTTTTCCTTGGCGGTGCTTTGCACCCTTCTAAGCTGCAATGGACCATCGATGGCTACCTAGTACAAATTGAATCAGGCATCAGTGTTACCCACCTTCCATCTGAAAGGATTCCCTATACTGCTGTTGGATGAAGCAGGATCCGGCGATTCAGATTCTTCATGCCTGGTAGACGCGATGCAACCCTGAGTGGGACATTTCTGCTTTGGGATGAGGCAGCAAGCCAAGGGATCCGCGAAGGTGGGAAGCCCCTCGTCATGGTCGAATCGGGAAAACCTGTAAGACGAATATTACCAAATATTGCCAGAGAGGAGCTTCTGCCCTCCCTTTTGGACCGACCTTACTGACGTTTGGATGACTATTCGGCTTACTGTCCGCAGCGCCAACCCCAATCGGGCCACGGCCCCATCCGCCCTTCCGGGCCGCCCCCGACCCGCAGACTCCACTCCTCCGTCTCGGACCTGGCTCGGGTGGCTGCAAAACTCCAAGTTCTTGTCAGCTTTTGAAGCCGCTCTGCCTGTCAGGCGTCCCGAGGACAACCGTGATTGGATGTGTCAACGGCTAAACATACAATGGGAATAGACTAACAGGCCACAACCAGAACAATAGAGCACGCAGTGATCATGGCAGCATCCAAATCGGGCCTTTCTGGATCTATGGTGTGGATGGGATGATGAGACGATTTCGAGTCTGACAAGCACTTCTGTATCCGTCTTACTGTTTGTCGGCCCACAAGTTGCCACACTTCAGCCTTGCGTGAATGGTGGCAAGAATAGTATCCCATGTCATGACTACAGCGTCCAGGTGGACTTAGTAGAGCCCGTATTCATGCGCTTGCTCTTTCCCGCTGTTTCTGAGAACCAACACTTCTCAACATTGCGGTTCCTTCAGCTCTGAGTCCTATTCAAGACCAATCACTCAACAAGATAGACGCTTCTTTACTTTGGGAAATAGAGCAAGAAGGAGAAAAGTTAACACTTCACAACCAACCGCAGACGAGCCGCGCCAACTGTACGCACCTACACGAAAAAAAAAACCTAAGAGCAGTAATCAAAATGAGAATTCTGTCGCCGTTCGTCATCGAGCAGCAGCTGATTGGGGATGATGCTATCGATCAGGTCCGTGTTCTGCAGGTGCCTGCAATTGATGGGGCCGAAGCTCAACTGGCCGTTGCCGTCTCTTTGGCGAAATCCGGCGTTGGGGACGAGACAGAGGTTTCCATAATCAAGCGAGTCCGAAAGGACTTGGTAAAGAGGATGAAGGTAGCCGCCAACGGGGACTGGGTCGACAGAAGGGCGATCCCTAAAAAATGGATCATTCTAAAGGAACTCCCCGTAGACGCGGCTGGGCAAGTAGACAGCAACGCTCTCCGACAGCAGCTGAGTGCCAGGCAAGACGCCAGCGTGCCCTTGACCAAGAGACAAAAGTTGAGGCGCGCCATTGCGACCACCCTGCGTCTGCCTCTCTCCGACGTTGTTCCCTCGGCCTCCTTCATCCGTCTCGGCGGCGACTCCATCAGCGCCATCGAAGTCATGGCACGGGCCCTGGACGATCGGGTTGTGGTACGCGTGAGCGATATTATGCGCTGCGAGACCTTCCAAGAGCTCGTCGCAACGGCCACCGTCGAGGACGCCGTTGTCGCCCGCGGCGCCGCCGAGGCCCGGCCCTTCTCTCTCGTTTCCGAACTCGATCTCGACCCCTTCTTGGCCAGCGCTCGCGAGCAGTGTCACCTGTCCAGTGAGACTTCCATCGAGGATGCCTATCCCCTTACGAAACTTCAAGAGGGCTTTATGGCCCTGGCAACGAGACAAGAAGGCTCCTATATCAGCAAATATGCCTTTCCCCTGCCCAAGTACATCGACGCCGCCCGATTCCGGCGAGCCTGGCAGAGGACGCTGTTGCTGTGCACGAACCTGCGTACGCGAATGGTCTTTTTCGGCGGTTCATCTTACCAGGTTGTCGTCGAAGAACCTGTTGTCTGGGACGAGACCTTGGGAAGCACCGTGGGATCGGCTATCAACGCGATGAACACCGCCAAGATGACGTACGGCTCGAAGCTATGCCGCTACGGATTAGCCAAGGGCTCTGACGACCAGGACTATTTCATCTGGCTCATCCATCATTCCATCTACGATGGCTGGTCGATGCGCCTCATTGTTGAAACGCTCCATCGTCTGTACTATGGAGCCGAAATCCCGCCCATGTCCCCCTTTTCGGGAATCATCGATTACGTGCAGAACATGGACCTGGAATCCACTGGCGTTTATTGGAAAACCCAGCTCGCCGACGCGAAGAGACCGACTTTTCCTCTCATTCCGTCCGACATGACAACTTCGTCGACGAATAACGGCGCCGCGGGGACGGTGACACGGCTCGAGAACCACATGATTCCCCTACAAGACTCAACTGGAGTGGCATTGACCAAAGCAACTGTCATGCGCGCCGCGTGGGCTTTGCTACTGGCGCGATACTGTGATTCGGATGATGTTTGCTTCGGCACCACCGTCTCCGGTCGTCAAGCACCTGTCCGGGGCGTCCAGAGGATTCCTGGTCCGCTCATTGCCAGTGTCCCTGTTCGTATTCGGCTTGATCGCACGCAGTCTGTCGTCGCCTTTCTACAAGGCATCCAGGACCAAGCAAATGGGATGACCGCCCATGAGCAATATGGCCTGCAGAGTATCGCCAAGCTCAGTCCCGAAGCGCAGGATGTCTGCGACTTTTCTAGTCTGCTCGTTATCCAACCAGACAGGATTCTCGGCTACCCAGACGTTGCCGGCCTTCGCGTATTGCTTCCTTTGAACGAGGCAAACTTTGGCCCCGATCAGATGCTTGAGGGTTACTACAACTACCCTCTTGTCCTGCAGGTCCATCTGTTTGAAAATCAGGCAGAGCTCTCTGTGACCTACGACTCACGAGTCTTGTCTCAGACCCAGGTGCAAGCGCTGTGTTACCAGTACGACCACATCGTCCAGCAGCTGCTAAATTCCAAGGATATCGTGCTGGGAGATATTGCCCTGGCTGGACTGTGGGATATGGAGCAAGCTCTCGAATGGAACAGCGAAAAAGACCCGGAAATTGTTTCGTCCTGCGTCCATGAGCTCATCCACGAACACGCACAAGTCCGACCAAATGCGCCAGCGATTTCCGCCTGGGATGGTGAACTGTCGTATCGCCAGTTGGAAGAGGCGGCAGACAGGCTTGCTTTATACATGCTCGATAAATTTGGTCTCGTAGAGGACAGTCTCGTCCACGTGTGTTTTGAGAAATCTGTTTGGTTCTTTGTCTCGATACTGGCGATTAATAAGGCGGGCTGCGCCTGGGTTCCCCTCGATCCTGCGCATCCGCTCGATCGTCAAAAACAGGTGGTACATCAAACACAGGCAGGACTAGCATTGACATCCCCCACGACAAGAAGCATATGCGCAGACATAGTGCCTAACGTGCTGGTGGTCTCATCCAACTTGGATGCAATGCTTCAGGGGAACCCATCGCTCCGAATCGACACTACGACCTCGAGCCGCTCTCTTCCCAAGGTCAGCTCTCGCACGGCATCGTACGTGCTGTTCACATCTGGTAGTACGGGAACGCCAAAAGGCTTGGTGATGGAGCACCAGTCCGTCTGCACCAGTCAAAGATGCATTGGCCAAAGAGTAGGCATATCCCCTGCCACGCGGATGTTGCAGTTTGCATCATACGTGTTCGACGCCTGCATCGGAGAAGCAATCGGGACCCTTACAGCCGGTGGCTGCGTCTGCGTACCGTCCGATGAAGTACGCATGAACAACATCACCGACTTCATAACCCAAAACTCGATTAATACCGCCCTGCTCACACCGTCCTTTATCAGAACGATTCGACCTGCCGACGTGCCAACCTTGCGGGTCCTGATGCTCGCCGGTGAAGCTGTTGGACGAGATATTCTCGATACGTGGTTTCAACCCGGCAAGATCCGGCTGTTCAATGGTTGGGGCCCGGCAGAGACCTGCGTCTTTAGCACTCTCCACGAGTGGCAATCTGTGGACGAGTCTCCGCGCACCATTGGAAGGCCTGTCGCCGGCTTCTGCTGGATCGTCGATCCGTCAAACCCAGAGCGCCTAGCGCCAGTAGGCTGTCTGGGCGAAGTCGTCATCCAGGGCCCTACAATCCTGAGAGAATATCTGGCTGACCCGACTCGTACTGCGGAGAGCACATGGGCTTCACCGAGTTGGGCCCCGAGACGTGAGATGCCCCGCTGGAGTCGCATCTATCGATCCGGGGACTTGTGTTCCTACAACTCAAACGGCACGATTGAATTTTCCAGCCGAAAGGATACTCAGGTCAAGATACGTGGGCTCCGTGTCGAGCTCGGCGAGGTCGAGTTTTGCATCAGAGCTGCGCTGGACGGTGCTTGCCAAGTGGTTGTGGACGTGTTCAAGACGGACGCTGGTACCGTGAATCTCGCGGCTTACTTTTGCTTCACCAACGACACGAAAACCACGAACAAGTCTGGCAGCAACTGCAGCGACATGTTTCTCTCTCTTACGGAAGAGTTGGAACAGCAGATCAACCATGTAATCGGGGAGCTCACAGTCAAGTTACCTCGGTACATGGTCCCGTCCCTCTTCATTCACTGTCGCTACATGCCGGTCATCACCTCCACCAAGATCGATCGTAACATGCTGAAACGACACAGCTCCTCGCTTTTGAGGGAGGAACTGTCCAAGTATTCTTTGCAGGGAAGCAAGAAACGTGCCCCGGAGACCGCCATCGACCTCAAACTGCAGCGACTCTGGGCGGACGTTCTTCAGATTCCGGTTGATTCCATCGGCTTGGACGACAGCTTCTTGCGTATCGGCGGTGACTCAGTCGCAGCTATTCGCCTTGTTGCTTTGGCCCGAGGCGCCGGGATCAAGCTCACGGTCAAAGACATCTTCGATGACCCCAGGCTTCTTGGCATGGGCAAGCGGGCTTCGGCCGGAGTGCACGATGAGTGGCACGCTGATAAGGCAGAAATTCTGCCGTTCAGCCTCTTGTCTAAGCCCCTGCGAAAGGCCATCAACCAAGTAGAGTCAACCGTCGGCGCCCATCATTCTGCTTTGGTCAACGCTACAATCCTGAAGCAGTGCTCGTTTTCGAGCAACCAAGACATCGAGGATGCCTATCCTTGTACCAAGCTCCAGGAGGGATTCGCTGCACTCGCTATCAAGCAGACGGGGTCCTACAAGGGAAAGTACGTATACAGGATACCGCCACATGTCGACATTGCCCGGTTCAAGGAATCTTGGGCACGCACCGTTGCCCTTTGCCGGAATTTACGGACGAGGATCACCTTTGCAGCGGGACCTTCGGTCCAGGTAGTTGTCAAGAATGAGTTTGCCTGGGACACGACCGAGAATTGCAACCTCCTCGACGCAATTAGTGTCCTAAGCGGAATTGAGATGACAGAAGGGTCGAGAATGTGTCGGTATGGCTTGGCCAAGGACAGCAACGATGAATTGTACTTCATCTTGGTAATTCACCACGCTGTCTACGATGGCTGGACGATGCGTCTGGTCATCAATACCGTGAACCAGGTCTATACAAACGACAAGAGCCCGAATCTTACGCCGTATAACCACTTCATCAAATACGTAACTGCCATGGACGATGAAAGCAGCGCCGAATATTGGAAGAAGCAACTCGAGAATGCCAAACAAGCAACATTCCCACCCATTCCCGGGTCTCTCTCATCCCGAACAGGGGGGAATGTGACTCGGGTTCTGCGGAAGACCATTCAACTCTACCGACCTCCCGACTCATCATCCTCCATAACCAAGGCAACGATCCTTCGCGCTGCATGGGCGATGCTCCTGGCACGGTGCTGCGACACCGACGATATCTGCTTTGGGACTTCGGTATCCGGTCGGCAGGCGCCTGTGCATGGCATCGAAGCCATAGCCGGGCCTCTCGTCGCCACGGTGCCGGTTCGAGTGCGTCTGGAATCTTCCAAACAGGTCTCCAAATTTCTTCAAGAAGTGCAGCAACAGTCAACAGAAATGACAGCTCACGAACAGTTCGGTCTGCAGAACATCCTCAAGGTCAGCACCGATGCCCGTGACGCTTGCGAGTTCTCCAGTCTCCTGGTCGTTCAACCGGCGCAGCTGGTCAAGTTCTCCGAGGATGACTCCGAGAACCCCGTCTTGGAGAACGTGAGCTCGGAATACTTTGGACAGGAAGAACTCCTGGAAGGCTACTTCAATTACCCGCTTGTCGTCCAGGGTCTTGTGCACGAGACGTGCGTGGAGCTTATGATGGTCTACGACTGTCGCAGCATCTCCGAACCCCGGGCCAAGGCACTCTCACGCCAGCTCGACCAAGTTGTTCAACAGATGAATGCAGAGAAAAGCATCCTGGGTGACATCACCATCGCCGGGAGGTGGGATCTGGAGCAGGCCACCGCATGGAACAACCACGACGGGGCAGGCCCCAAGATCATCAATGCCTGTGTTCATGACTTTCTCCAGCAGCACGCAGCCAAAACTCCGGATGCTCTCGCTGTCAGAGCCTGGGATATGCAGCTCACTTATGCCCAGCTCGACAGCGCCGCCAACAGACTGGCACACCACCTTGTTGACCAGTATAACGTCAAGGAGGACGAGTTCATCCACGTTTGCTTCGAGAAAACAGCCTGGTTCTTCGTTGCCATCCTCGCCATCAACAAAGCCGGTGGTGCTTGGGTCCCGTTGGAGCCATCCCATCCCGAACAACGCCAGGTGCAGGTCGCCCAACAGACCGGAGCCCGGTTGGCCTTGGCCTCCCCCGCCAATGTTGCTATATGTCGTCGTCTGGTTGACGACGTGGTCCAAGTCTCTATTGATCTCGATCACGAGTTGAGCAGCACCCTTGGGGAGTGTAGCCTCCAACCACCACAGCGTAATATCACACCGTCCAACGCCGCCTATGTTCTATTCACGTCAGGAAGTACAGGAGTCCCCAAGGGCCTGGTCATGGAACATGAGTCTGTATGCACCAGTCAAATCGCCATCGGGAAGCGCGTTGGCATACACAGGGGCGCTCGTATGCTCCAATTCGCTTCATACGTCTTCGATGCTTGCATTGGGGAGACTATTGGCTCGTTCATCGCCGGCGCCTGTGTGTGCGTGCCGTCTGACGAGATGCGGATGGACACTTGCCGCCTCACGGAATTCATTCGAGAGACGGATGTCACTTGGGCGCTGCTCACCCCAGCTTTCATTCGTACCATCCAGCCCCACGAGGTCCCCAGCTTGCAAGTACTCATGCTAGCTGGTGAGGCCGTGGGCCGAGACACCCTAGAGACGTGGTTCGGCAAGGTCCATCGCCTGTTCAACGGCTGGGGCCCTGCGGAGACATGCGTGTTCAGCACATTGCATGAATGGAGCTCCTCTGGCGAATCCCCCTTGACCGTAGGCCGACCAGTCGGCGGGTTCTGCTGGATCGTGGATCCAAATGACAGCAGCCGTCTCGCACCAACGGGCTGCATCGGCGAGATCGTGATCCAGGGCCCTACAATCCTCCGCGAGTACCTCTCTAGCCCCGAACAGACAGCCAAGTTTGTCGTCGATACACTTCCCGAATGGGCTCCGCGAAGCTCCCTGTCCCGATGGAACCGTTTTTACAAGTCAGGAGACTTGGGTTACTATAATGCGGATGGAAGTATTGAGTTTTCCAGCCGAAAGGATACGCAAGTCAAGATCCGCGGCCTCCGTGTGGAGCTAGGAGAAGTCGAGCAGCACATCCGAGAACTTCTGCAGCCTGTACAGCACGTTATCGTCGACGTCTACAGAGCGAATGGAATGGCCAACCTCGTCGCTTTCTTCACCTTCGATGAGGGAGAACAGCCGCAGTCGTCAGGAGAAGACAGTCTCTTTATGCCACTAACACCGGAATTGGAGCAACGCATGACGACTCTCCACGGACAACTCAGCGTTCGACTCCCTCGTTATATGGTCCCCACCCTGCTTATTCCCTGTCGATTCATGCCAGTCATCACGTCGACGAAGATTGACCGGAAGAAATTGATACAGCTGAGTGCCCAACTTGACGAGAAAGCGCTAACCGCCTACTCACTTAGCAACAGTAAGAAGAACCCACCACAGACTCCCAATGAGGTCTGTCTCCAAGGCATCTGGGCCCGCATCCTCAAGGTCAAGTCCGAGTCCATCGGCCGCGATGATAGCTTTTTGCGTATTGGCGGCGACTCCATCGCGGCGATCCGCTTGGCATCTCTGGCACGCGAGGCCGGCCTTGAGGTCAAAGTCCAGCATGTATTTGACGATCCTCGACTGAGCGCCGTCAGCGAGCGGGCCGTGCCATTGGGAGAACAGGATGACGATACCAGCGCACCGATCACGCCGTTCAGTCTGCTCGAGCAGCCTCACAGGTCAGCCATCGAGGCCCAGGCCGTGGCACACCATGAAGGGTCGAACGGATATGCATCGCTCCGCGTCCAATGTGGCCTACCCGACGATATCGTTATCGAGGACGCCTATCCCTGTTCCAAGCTTCAGGAGGGTCTCATGGCTATTTCCGAAAAGGATCCTGGCACTTACATCGCGAGATACGTCTACAAGGTTCCGACATATGTAGACGTGGTCAAGCTCAAAGCCGCTTGGGAGCAGATACTGTCTATTTGCGGTAACCTTCGTACCCGCATTGTCTTCTACGAGAACAGGCATATCCAGCTTGTTGTGCAGAACGACACAGAATGGGATTCATCAATTGGCTCCGACCTCTCCAGCGCTGTCCATATTTCTCGGACTGCCAAGATGTCGTACGGCTCGAAACTCTGCCGCTACTCTCTCACCACGGCCGACGACGGCAGCCATTACTTCGTATGGACGTTCCATCACGCCATCAATGACGGATGGACTATGCGCTTAGTGATGGACTTGCTCCATCAGACCTACCACGACAACGTCTCACTGAGTAGACCCCAGCCATATTCGCACTTCATCCGTTATGTGAACAACATGGAACAAGACACCGGCTTGATCAACTACTGGAGAGAACAGCTACGCGGCGCCAGTCGTGCCAGCTTTCCGTCCCAGTTGGCCGTCCACCAGGATCGCTCGGTCCATTCTTTCAAGAAAGCCATCGACTTCCCCCCTTCCAACCACTTCTCATCCGCTACAAAAGCCACCATCCTTCGTGCAGCCTGGGCAGTAGTCCTTGCACGCTACTGCGAAACTGACGACGTGTGCTTCGGGACGACCGTGTCAGGAAGACAAGCTTCTATCCGCAACGCAGAAGCCATTACTGGTCCCCTCGTAGCAACCGTGCCGGTCAGGATCCGCCTCGACAAAGAGCAGTCCGTGGCCGACTATCTGCGGTCGGTTCAGCATCAGGCGTCCGACATGGTTGCCTATGAGCAATTTGGCCTACAATCCATCTCGAAGCTGGGTCCCGAATTCGAAGCCGTGTGCAACCTCTCGAGTCTTTTCGCAGTCCAGCCAGCCGAGCAGCTTGCTGACCCTGGAGACGGTACGGAGCCAATCGTGGTACCTGCGAACGCCGAGGTATTCGGCTCCCACGAACTTTTGCAAGGTTACTTCAACTACCCACTTGTTGTTCAGGGTCTTGTGTACAGTGACCGGGCTGAGGTCCTCCTCATCTATGATACGGGCTTCCTTAGCGGGGACCAAGCCTTTGCGCTATCGAACCAGATCAACCATGTTGTAGGACAGCTCCTATCTCAGGGGGACGCTCGTCTCGGTTCTATCTCAGTGGCCGGACCATGGGACCTTGAAAAGGCACTAACCTGGAACGTTGAGACTCCAGAGCCTGTTCAGGACACTCTTCACGGTCTGTTCCGGCGACAGGTTGAGCGAACTCCAGAGAGAGAAGCTGTCTGGTCATGGGACGGCAGCCTCTCCTATGCCACTTTGGACGACCTCTCTACACGTCTGGGCGTCTATCTTGCCAACCTCGGCATCCAGCCCAGCACATCGATCCCGATCTGCTTCGAAAAGTCCACGTGGGCCATTGTGGCAATGTTGGGAATTCTCAAAGCAGGGTGTGCATTCGTACCTCTCGACGGTGACCATCCTGCACGGCGCCGGAAAGCAGTGGTTGAAGACCTGAAGCCCTCTGTTATTGTTGCATCCGCAGCGATGGCGCAGTCGAACATAGGCTTTGGATGCCAGGTCGTGAGCGTCTCCCCGGAGTTTATCGCAACGCTGCCTGTCTCGAGCCATGTTCTTCACTCCGCCAACAGCACCTCTCCAGAACTCGCCTACACCATCTTCACCTCTGGATCAACGGGAAAACCCAAGGGCATTGTTGTAGACCATCAAAGCATCTGCACTAGTGTCATGGCCCAGGGAAGAATTCTTCAACTCGCCGAGGAAGGCGATTACCGCTTCCTGCAGTTCGGCAACTACGTATTCGACGCTTGTATCACAGAGATTTTCACATGCCTTGCGTTCGGCGGCACCACCTGCGTTCCATCCGACACTGAACGCCTCCAGGATATTACCGGATTCATGACGAGAGCCCGAGTTACTGTCGCCCTATTGACACCCTCGTTTGCTGGAACGTTCGGTCCGGCGGACGTTCCGGCCTTGAAGACACTGCTTCTCGGCAGCGAACCGGCGACTAAGAACATCATCAAGACATGGCATGGCCATGTGAAGCTGATGAATCTCTACGGCCCCACGGAGACCTGTGTCTTTTGTACCGCCTATGAGTATCCATCGCCAGATGCTTCACCGGTCAACATTGGCCGGGGCTTCAGCAACCGTTGCTGGGTTATAGAGCCGGAAGGGAATACTTTGGCACCCATCGGATGTGTTGGCGAGCTAGTTGTAGAAGGGCACGCTCTTGCTCGTGGCTATCTCAACGACGCTACGCGGACACAAGAAGCGTTCCCAGAGACCGGCGACCTGACCTGGCTGCCCGACGGCACCCACAACGCTTCTTCTATCGGACGCCGCGCCTACAGAACCGGCGATCTGGTGAGGCATGAAACCGACGGATCACTGCTATATATCGGCCGCAAAGACATCCAGGTTAAACTGCGAGGTCATCGCATGGAGCTTGGCGAGATTGAGAACCATATAAAGGATCTTTGCCCCGACGTGGGTCAAGTTGCAGCCAACGTTGTTCGACAGGAATCAGGAGATGTCCTGGTGGCGTTTCTGTCTTTCGAACAAGACAACATGCCAACAGAGTCACAGTCAGAGGATATCGAGCACGAGGTCGTTCCCATGACAGACGACTTAAGGCGACAACTCGCCACTTTGTCCGAGGACTTACATGGCAGACTGCCAAGCTACATGGTCCCGGCGTTATTCATCCCCTTACGCCGGTTTCCCATGTTCTTGGCCTCGATGAAGATTGACCGCAACAAGCTTAATGCCCTAGGCCGCAGCCTTTCCTCAAGTCTGATTGTGAGCTTATCCCTCGGAAACCGAATCAAGACTGAACCCCAAACGGATATGGAGTTCCAAATCCGTGATGTTTGGGCCCGGCTACTGGGCGTCGATGCTGGCGACATCGGCCGGAACGATAGTTTCCTTCGTATCGGAGGCGACTCACTCGGCGCCATCAGACTTGTTTCCGTTCTGCGACAGTCCGGCATAGCGCTGACAGTTGCAGCCATCTTCCAAGATTCGAGACTGTCACACATGGCCTCGATCGCCACCGTGGAAGAGGAGACCGAAGAAGACACACGCCCGCAGCCGTTCAGCCTGCTTTCTGCCGGAGACCATACACGTCTCATCTCAGAAGCTTTGAAGGCCTGCGAACTGCCAGAGAGTACTGTCATCGAGGACATCTACCCATGCACCCAGCTACAAGAGGGCCTAATCGCTCTCTCTGTCAAACAGACAGGCTCATACAGGGCCAAGTTCACATACCAGCTATCAGAGTTCGTTCACCAGGCTCGCTTTATGCGAGCCTGGGAAGCTACTCTGGCTTGTTGCGACAACCTCCGCACACGCATTGTATTTGCAGCCGGCTCTTCTTATCAGGTTGTGCTCCAACAAGACGTCAGTTGGGACTCGGCAGAGACGACCAACAGCATTGCGCACGATGAAATGACCTATGGCTCCAGACTCTGTCGCTATGCGCTCGTAAGCGGCAATGGCGGCTCCACGTACTTTGTCTTGACCCTCCACCATGCAATCTACGATGGCTGGGCCATGGAACTGATGACGGAAACGCTGAAAAGCCATTATTACGGAAGTTTCTCACAGGATCTGCCAGCCTACTCTCGCTTTGTCCGTCTCACGACCACCGAACTCGATCACGCAGCAAGTCAGAGGTTCTGGGAAGAACAGCTGCGCGAAGCGAAGAGGGCGACTTTCCCACTGCCGGCCGTCTCGTCCACTCGGAAACATGAGGTCCTATCCAAACCGCATACGGAGTCTCTCCGCAGGATAATGAGCTTCCCGCGCTCAACAGCATCCAAAATCACCAAGGCAACTATCATCCGCGCGGCCTGGGCGATGCTGCTGGCCCGCTACTGCGACTCTGACGATGTCTGCTTCGCCACAACAGTCTCGGGACGCCAAGCAGCCGTTGAAGGCATCGACAGGATAGTTGGACCTACACTCGCCACCGTACCTATTTATGCGCAGGTCGGCGGCGACAGGTCAGTCGAGCAGTACTTAAACGAGGTGCAAGACCGGGCAACGGCAACAATACCACATGAGCAGTTCGGCTTGCAGAACATCTCAAGAATCAGCAGCGACATCAAAGATGTGTGCGATTTCACCAGTCTACTCGTCATCCAGCCGGGCCGGACCATGGCGTTTGCCAGCAGCGAAGGCGACGCTATCTTGATCGAGGCCAACGACGAGGAGGACCCCGCAGCATCCCAGACCGTTGACGGGCACTTTAACTACCCTCTGGTGATGCAGGGGCAAATCTACGATGAAGAGGTGCATTTACTGGCCGTTTACGACTCGTCCGTTCTTACCAAGTCGCAGATTGGATTGCTTTGCGAACAGCTCAACCACGTGGCACAGCAACTTGTCAAGCATCAGGGTCATACTCGGCTCCAGGATATAACCATCGCCGGACCCGCCGACTTGCAAAAGGTGCTTGCATGGAACACCGAGGAGACGGAGGTCTACGATGCTTGCCTGCACCAGCTCTTTGAAAAGCAGGCTCACTTGACGCCCGATGCGCCAGCCGTCCATTCTTGGGACGGGACCTTTACTTACAGCGAGCTCAACGGCGCGGCAAACAGGTTGGCTCACCACCTTGCCGCGTTTGAGGTACAGCTAGACGAGTTCGTTCATGTCTACTTTGAAAAATCGGCATGGTACGTCGTCGCCATTCTCGCCATCAACAAGGCCGGCGGAACGTGGGTGCCCTTGGACCCCTCGCACCCTGACGAGCGGCAGCTTCAGATTGTCTCGCAGACTGGCGCCCGGCTGGTCTTGACATCACCACACCATTCGGCAACCTGTCAGAGACTAGTAGAGAGCGTCATTGAGATCTCGCCGGCTCTTGACGAGAACCTCCTCAGATTCGCGCCGTCTTCCAACACCACCCTCTCTGGCCCCAAGAATCTCGTCTGCCCCAGTAATGCGGCCTACGTGCTCTTCACGTCGGGAAGCACTGGCGTGCCAAAAGGCCTCGTTATGGAACACGGTTCGGTATGTACGAGTCAAACTGCCATCGGAAGAAGGCTGCGTATTAGTCCAGATGTGCGTATGCTTCAGTTTGCCTCGTACGTGTTCGACCTCTCCATCGGGGAGATTTTTTGTCCGTTATTACACGGCGCGTCTGTTTGTATTCCCTCTGAGGATTCCAAGATGGGTGATCTCTCTGCATTTGTCCAGAAGATGAACGTCAATTGGGCCATCTTGACGCCCTCCTACATTCGGACCACACGGCCAGATCGGCTCCCTGGCCTGGAGCTGCTTGTCTTGGCCGGCGAAGCCGTGGGACGCGATAATCTAGACACCTGGTTTGGAAAGGTGCGTCTCGTCAATGGTTGGGGGCCTGCCGAGACCTGCGTCTTCAGCGCAATCCACGAATACAGTTCGCTCGATGACTCGCCGCTGACCGTAGGACGTCCGGTTGGAGGGTACGGATACATCGTTGACCCCGTCAACGCCCACCAACTTGCCCCGGTTGGTTGTCTTGGGGAGCTTGTGATCCAGGGTCCCACCATACTGCGCGAGTACTTGTCGGATGCTGAGCGAACTGCCGCAGCTACTGTCCCGGCCGCAGACTGGTCGTCTCACGGCACCTCACCGAAATGGTCTCGGTTCTACATGTCGGGCGATCTTTGTCGATACAACGCCGAAGGATCTATCGAGTTCGTTGCCAGGAAAGATACGCAGGTCAAGGTGCGAGGTCTGCGTGTTGAATTGGGCGAGGTCGAGCACAACATCAGGACTTATTTGGAAGGGGTCGAACAAGTTGCCGTCGACGTGCTTCAAACTCATGGCGCTGTTCACCTCGCAGCTTTCTTCACCGTGGTGGGCAAGGTGGAAAAGCCAAAACCCCTCACCACTGAACAGAGCATGTTCTTGTCGCTCTCGGTGGACCTGGAACGCCGCGTCAAGGATCTCATCGGCGTGTTGGGCGTCAAACTTCCCCGATACATGATCCCCACCCTATTCATCCCGTGCCGCTACATGCCTTTCATCACGTCCACGAAACTTGACCGCAACCTCCTCCGACGCTTTGCCCTCGAGCTCGACCATGACAGGATCTCGCGATACGGTCTGTCCAATAGGGAAAAGCGTGCCCCAGAAACACTCATAGAGGTGAAGCTGCAGAAGATATGGGCCGAGGTCCTTGGATTACCCGTGGAGGCCATCGGCCGGGACGACAGCTTCCTCAGGATTGGTGGAGATTCCATCAGAGCGATCCGACTGGTAACACTCGCGCGGGAGTCCGGTCTTGGACTGACCGTCAGAGACGTCTTTGCCGACCCACGTTTGTGCGGGATGAGTGCAACGGCCGTGGAAATCGACATACATGCCATCGAGCAGAGCGCCGGCACACGGTATGAGAAGAATGACATTATTCCCTTCCAATTCCTGAGGGAGGATCTCCGAGATATGGTAAAATGCCGGCCCCCCAACGATCGCCTACGCGACTTGTGCGGGCTATCAGAGTCTGATGTCGAGGATGCGTATCCCTGCACCAAGCTTCAAGAAGGCCTTTTGGCCGTCGGAGAGCATCAGACCGGCTCCTACGTCCTCAAGGCCGTCTACCGCCTCCCAGCACTCATTGATCTAGACAAGTTCAAGACCGCCTGGGAACATGTCGTATCAGTCTGCGCAAACCTACGGACAAGGGTGGCCATTGTCAACGGAGAGGCAATTCAACTCATTGTCAAAGACGACATCGTTTGGGAGGCAGACGTAAACACCGGTGCCGATCTACGGTCTGTACTCTCAGACATGAGAAAATCCCGCATGACATACGGAACACGCCTGTGCCGTTATGCCGTGGCCGTGGCCGAGGGTAACCATTACTTCGTGTTATTCCAACACCACTCGATCAGTGATGGCTGGACGATGAGGATTATGATGGAAGCCCTCCAGAATGCGTACTACAATGTCGAAATACCGCCTCTGCAATCATTCGCCGAGTTTGTCGACTATGCAAACAATCTCGACACGGAAGATGAGGCTCGATACTGGAAGAATCAACTGCAGCATGCCCAGCGGGCCGCTTTCCCGTCTCCTGTGGCGCCGTCGACGACTTCAACGCCCAGAAGCCGGAACGTCACCAAGTCGCTGAGGTCCGCGATTGACTTTTCGACTTCCAAGTCAGCATCCGTCACCAAGGCCACCATCTTTCGTGCTGCGTGGGCTGTCGTTCTGGCTCGGTATAGCGACACTGACGATATCACCTTCGGATCAACAGTCTCCGGTCGCCAAGCACCAATGCCGGGGCTGGAGAGGATGGCGGGAGCCGCCGTGGCGACCGTGCCTGTCCGGCTCAAGATTGACAAGACCAAGTCCATCTCCCAGTTCCTACACGGGGTTCAGAATCAAGCTATGGAAATGATTGCGCACGAACAGTTCGGTCTCCGTCAGATCTCCGAGACAGCCCCCGAAGCAAAAGATGCCTGCAACTTCTCCAGCTTGATTGTTGTTCAGCCGATGGAGGAGTTTGACCCAGCTGCTGGACTAGAGAATCCTGTCCTGACCCCGGTGGATCTCGCCCATCTGACTGGAGAGTCGGACGCTGCATTCCAGGACTATTTTAACTACCCCATCGTGGTACAGGGGCAGATCTCCGACAACCGCGCCGAGCTGGTTCTTGTATATGACTCCGGGCATCTTGAAGATGCTCGAATGGAAGCCCTCTCGTCTCATTTCAACAATGTAGTCCAGCAACTGCTTACAGAAGATGAGATGCCAGGTTCGCTCGGCAAAGTTTCCGTGTCTGGCCCATGGGACTCTCAGAAGGTCATGTCGTGGAATGGATCTGCTCCCACGCTTGTTGATACCACCATCCACAAACTCATTTCAACACAGGCGGCCGCGCACCCAGAGAAAGAGGCAATCAACAGTTGGGATGGGAAAGCCACATACAGCCAGCTCGAGGCCATGTCAACGGCCTTTGCGAAGCACCTCGTCCGCAACGGCCTGAAGCCCGGAGGCATGGTGCCTGTTTGTTTTAGGAAGTCTGTCTGGACAGCTGTTGCGATGTTGGGTGTCCTGAAAGCGAGGGGTACATTTGTCCCCATCGATCCATCTCATCCCGAGGCTCGGTATCGAGAGGTCATTGAACAGACAGATGCGCAGCTCCTTGTGGCATCGGCTTCTGTAATACAGGCATTTAGCCAGTTACCGCTACGTGTCGTCACCCTATCGGAGCAGGAGATGGAAGGAGTCAGTGCACAGGAGGCTGAGAGCAACGACGAGATCACTCTCCCCGATGCTCGTGGCAGCGATTCTGCCTACGTCTTATTCACTTCCGGCTCTACGGGCAAGCCCAAAGGAATTGTCGTCCAACACCACGCGATATGCTCGAGTCTTACGGGTCAAGGCAAGATACTTGGCCTGTCTGAGTCTAGTCGGGTTCTCCAATTCAGCAACCACGTTTTCGACGCAGTGATAACCGAGATCTTTGGTACTCTGATCTTCGGTGGGACCGTCTGCACGCCGTCAGACGCAGCACGTTTGCAGGATATTCCGGCTTACATGAGAGAAGCAAACGTCAGCCTGGCCCTGCTGACGCCCTCGTTTGTAGAAACATTCACCCCGGCAAGCGTTCCACATCTCGAAACCCTCGTCCTGGTGGGCGAGGCTCCAGCACCGGACTCGATCAGTACCTGGTATCCTCACCTACGACTTCTCAACGGGTACGGTCCAACTGAAACATGCGTCATATGTATGTTTCATGAATATCCGTCGCCCAAGGCGTCCCCGAGGACTATCGGCCGGGGATTCAACAACCTATGCTGGATCGTTGAGCCCGACGACCACAGCTGCCTCGCTCCCGTGGGGTGCACTGGCGAGCTTGTGGTCCAGGGTTACGCCTTAGCCCAGTGTTACTTGAACGACGAAGCTCGAACCAACGAGTCCTTTGTCACCAACAAGGCCGATGACCTGAGGCTATACAAGACTGGCGATTTTGCACAGTACAACTCCGATGGCACGATTGAATACGTGGGGAGGCGCGACAGTCAGGTGAAGTTCCACGGCCAGCGTATTGAGTTGGGCGAGATCGAGCACAGAATCAGAGAGGCGAGCCACCAGGTGGAACACGTCGCCGTAGATGTTGTTACACGCGACTCTGCGACGCTTCTCCTCACATTCGTGTCATTTGCCGACCTTCGCCACATCGATGCTACCGATTTGAGCGGTTCTTCCGGTATCTCGAGCCACGGCAGCCGTCTTTTGCCCATGGACCCGTCACTGCAGTCCCGTGTGGCAGCTGTTCAGGAACACCTTCGATCCAAGCTGCCATCGTACATGGTTCCCAACGTCCTCTTGGTTCTGAGCGAGATGCCGTTCAATTCCTCCATGAAGCTGGACCGCAAAAGCCTCCGCGCGCTGGCTGCCGGACTGAATACGGACGAACTCAAAACATACACCCTCACCCGCAAGCACATGGTAGAGCCAAAGAGCGCCATGGAATTCCGGATGAGGGAGCTCTGGGCCCAAGTCCTGGGAATATCTGCCGAGGAAATCTGCAGGACCGACAGCTTCCTCGCCATTGGCGGGGATTCGATTTCTGCAATAAAGCTGGTGACCATCGCCCGCGAGACCAGCAATATCGACATCACTGTCACGTCCATCTTCAAGAATTCGCGTCTCGACAGTATGGCTGCTGCCGCTGGTGTCATCGAAGGCAACCTGGAGGCCATGGCGGAAACCCAGCCGTTTTCTCTCCTGCCAACAAAGCAAGTGGCTAGTCTCGTCTCTGAGGCCGAGGAGCAATGTGGATTGACCGACCCGGGCCTCATCGAGGACATTTACCCCTGCACAAGCCTCCAGGAGGGTCTGATTTCACTGTCTGTCAAGCAGCCCGGGTCCTACATCAGCAATTTCGTTTACCGGATCTCAGACGGTGTCGATATGGCCCGTCTCATTGACTCATGGGAACATACCCTCTCAATCTGCAAGATCTTGCGGACGAGGATTGCACTCCTTGATGAAAGGGCCGTGCAGGTCGTCGTCGCAGAGGAAGCCCACTGGGAGACCTTCAGTCACGACCACGGCCCATCAACACTCCAGGAGACCCTTTCTGCAATGTCCAAGATGGATGTGGGATATGGCTCAAAGCTGTGCCGGTACGCACTCGCCAAGGGAGAGGATGGGACGAATTACCTCGTCTGGGCCCTTCACCATGCCGTGTTCGACGGCTGGACCATACGACTGATTGTCGAGACATTCCACCGGGCATACTACAACAATTACGGTGCTGACCTGATCACCTCGCCTGCGTATGCCAAATTTATTCGTTATACTATGTCTCTCAATACGAAGGCCTGCAGCGAGTACTGGAGAAACCAGCTGCAGGAGGCTACGCCTGCAACCTTTCCCCCGACGAACAGGGGGAGACCTGGAAATGTGAGCCGAATATACCATCACCGTCTTGCCATGCCGAACTCGACCGGAACAAGCATTACAAAGCCAACTATTCTTCGAGCCGCGTGGGCTATAGTGCTGGCTCGCTACTGCTCTTCGGATGATGTCTGCTTCGGTGCCACCATCTCCGGCCGCAACGCCCCTGTCCCCGGGGTTGACGGCATGGCTGGTCCTGCCATTGCAACCATTCCTCTGAGGGTGCAGGTCGACAAGCAGACGGGCACAATAAGCTCGCTTCTCAACGGCATCCAAGATAAGGCCATGGAAATGGTCCCGTTCGAACAGTTCGGCCTTCAGAACATAGCCAAGGTCAGCCGGGAGGCTCAAGAGGTGTGCGACTTCACCAGTCTTTTGGTCGTCCAACCGGTCGCCGACCTCTTGTACGCCGACAACCCAACGAAGCCCGTCATCGAGCATGTCGATGTCGATGAGCTGACCGATCATACCATGGATGGCTTCTTCAACTACCCGCTTGTTGTTCAGGGTCTGGTCCATCGCGATAGGGTTGAATTAGCGCTCGTCTATAACCCAGACGTCTTATCCAGCGCTCAGATTGACTCCCTTGCACATCAATATGACCACGTCGTGCAGCAACTGCTTCGACAGGACGAGACGCCCCTCGCTGATGTGGCCGTCACCAGCGCTCTGGATGTAGAAAAGGCCGTGGAGTGGAACAGCCGCGAGATACCAGACATTATGTCGACTTGCGTCCACACACTCTTCGAAGAGCAGGCGCGTCAGCGACCAGAAGCGCCAGCGGTTTACGCGTGGGACGCGCAGCTGAACTACCACGAGCTTGATATCGCCGCCAACAAGCTCGCCCATCATCTCGTCACCGAATACGGGGCTCGATGTGACGATATAATCCACGTGTGCTTCGAGAAGTCCGCATGGTTCATCGTTGCCATTCTCGCCATCAACAAGGCGGGCGCCGCGTGGTCAGCACTCGATCCAACGCATCCGTCAGATCGTCATCGTCAAATCACCCAGCAGACGAGCTCGAGGATCACGCTCGCATCACCAACCACCTATAAGCAGTGTGCAGGACTCATGGCCAGCGTCGTGGTAGTCTCTGCGGAACTCGACTACACACTGGATGCGTCTCTTGGCCTCCATGCCCCAGAAACTTCGGTTTCACCTGATAACGCGGCCTATGTCTTGTTCACTTCTGGCAGCACTGGAGTTCCCAAGGGCTTTGTGATGGAGCACGAATCAGTTTGCACCAGTCAGACCGCGATCATCAAGAGACTGGGCATGGGATCAGATGCCCGCATGCTGCAGTTTGCATCCTATGTCTTTGATGCCGTGATCCTTGAGGCAATCGGCACCTTGATTGCGGGAGCTTGTATCTGCATTCCATCAGGCCACATGCGGATGAACAATCTGACGGAGTTTTTGCAGGATGCTCAAGCTACCTGGTCACTCCTGACGCCTTCGTATCTACGCACGCTTACGCCGGATGACATACCAAGCCTCAAGGTGTTGATAGCCACAGGAGAGGCCGTGGGCAAGGACATCATTGACGCATGGCATGGTCGGGTGCGTCTCTTCAACGGCTGGGGACCTGCCGAGACATGCGTGTTCAGCACTCTCCATGAATACGGCCCTACCGACACTTCCCTTACCATCGGTCGCCCGGTTGGTGGATGCTGTTGGATCGTTGACCCCAAAGACCCGCAACGTCTCGCGCCCACAGGCTGCGTTGGTGAGATTGTCATTCAAGGACCGACCCTCTTGCGCGAATACCTAGGGAACCAACAGCTCACTGAACAGAGCATGGTTCGGTCGCTACCCAGCTGGTCGCCCCGCCGTGATGAAACGCGCTTCAACCGGTTCTACAAGTCCGGCGACCTTGCCGTCTACAACAAGGCCGATGGCACCATTGAGTTCGCAGGTCGAAAGGATACCCAGGTCAAGATCCGCGGCCTGCGCGTGGAGCTGAGCGAAGTCGAACATCACGTCCGTGAAGCGCTTGAGGAGGCCTGCCAAGTCGCCGTGGATGTCTTCAAGACCGACGCCGGGTCACATCTGGTGGCCTACTTTTGCTTCACCAACGACATGCAGGCTGATGGCCCGCTTATCGGCCCCAATGGTCCCTTCATGTCCATAACAAGCAGGCTCAAGAGAACCATTGCAACGATGGCTGGGCAGCTCGCCGTTCGCTTGCCCCAGTACATGGTGCCCACACTTTTCATCCCTTGTCGGTACATGCCCGTCATCACCTCCACCAAGTTGGACAGGAAGAAGCTCCGGAGTGCAACGGCCGCCCTCGACCGACAAGAGACTGCCCTGTACTCGCTCGCGGATGGAAAGCATCGCCAGCCCGGGACTGAAGCCGAAGTCCGCATGCAAAAGCTTTGGTCCGATCTCCTGGGTCTGCCGCTAGAGATGATCGGCCGCGATGACAGCTTCCTACGCATCGGAGGCGATTCCATCTCGGCCATCCGTCTAGTTTCCGCCGGTCGTCGGGCAGGTTTCTCCTTTTCGGTCAAGAACATCTTTGATGACCCGAGACTCTTGAGTCTGAGTCTCATGGTGAAAGCTGCAGAAGACGGCCGCAGCGAGCACGACGACCAGCTCACCAAGCGCTACCTTCCGTTCAGTTTACTGGCACAGCCCCTGCAGGATATCGTGAAGCATCAATCCCATTCGTGCAGCAGCAGCTTTGTCGAGGGCGAGATTCCGTCCCCGTCTAAGCCAACGGTTTCGAGCCCCTCTTTACACGAGATCTGTCACTTGCCGGAAGATGCAGTCATTGAGGATACATACCCCTGCAGCACACTGCAAGAAGGCTTGATGGCGATCGCCACTAGGCAAGCTGGCTCCTACGTGGCGAAGCATGTCTACAGATTGGAAAATGCCGACATGGGCCGCTTCAAGACCGCATGGGAGACAACAGTTGACTTGTGTGCGAACCTGCGCACGAGGATTGCGCTTTTCCAGGGCGAGTCCATCCAAGTAGTCGTCAAGGATGACATTGCCTGGGATACAGACGATCAGTCTGAAAGCGACGCCAGCTTCATGGGCTACGGCTCGAGGTTGTGTCGCTACAGAATCACCCAAGGGGCCGATGGCGCCAAGTACTTTGTTTGGAAGATCCACCACGCCATCAATGACGGCTGGACGGGCCGTATCGTCATGGAAACACTCGACAAAGCCTATCGCCACCCCGAAGTGAACGTCCGGGCACCGGCCCCATATTCTGACTTCATCCGATACATTCTCGGCCTGAACCGCGAGCATAGTGCTGCGTACTGGACCGATCAACTGCGCGATGCCAAGCGGACACAGTTCCCGGCAGTATCACGGTCCTCGGCGCTGACGACTACCGATCGCACCGAGGACAGGAAGACGCGCATTCTGAAGACCAGCATCGACTTCCCAGCGTCTACTGATACCCGTGTGACTGCGGCTACCGTCCTTCGTGCAGCCTGGGCTCTGGTCCTCTCCCGACACACTGAATCAGAGGATGTCTGCTTCGGAACTACCGTGTCCGGTCGGCACGCCCCGATGGAGGGCATCGAGGATGTAGTAGGACCTGTCGTTGCTACAGTTCCTGTCCGAGTCCAGATCGACCGACAGCAATCCGTCTCCAGCTTCTTGGACCAGATACAAAGCCAAGCGACCAGCATGGTGATACATGAGCACTTCGGCCTGCAGAATATCGCCAAACTGAGTTCCGAGGCTAGAGACGCCTGTGATCTGTCGAGCCTGTTCATCATCCAACCCGCACAGCAACTTGAATTTGCGGGTATGGACTCCTCATCACCGATCATGGAGGCTGCGACAGAAGTCGAGGATATGTCCAACACCTTTGAGGGCTCAAGCTATGTCAATTATCCCTTCGTTCTACAGGCACACACCTACACCGGCCGCATCGACCTTGTAGCCTTTTACGATGCGTCTGTCATTCAAGAGTCCCAGGTCCAGATGATTGCGCACCATTACGAGGCCGCGGTACAAAGTCTCCTGGCACAAAACGACAACGACGCGTTGCTCGACAGTCTTAGTCTTACGGGCGTTCAGGATATCTCACAAATCATGCTGTGGAACAGCAACTCTCCTCGCCTTGAGAACGCTTGCCTGCAGGATCTATTCGAAAGGACACGCGCCAACAACCCTGATAGAGACGCGATTTGCTCTTGGGACGGAACTCTTACGTACGGAGAACTGTATCGTCTGTCGACAGAGCTCGGTAAACACCTCGCAGGGCTTGGAGTTGGGCCCGAAACAGTTGTGCCGTTTTGCTTCGAAAAGTCCCTTTGGGCAATCGTGGCCATTATGGGTATCGTGAAGAGCGGCGGTGCGTTCGTGCCCCTTGACCCTTCACACCCCTCATCGCGACACGAGGCGATTATGCGTCAAGTTGGTGCCAAAATTGTCCTCACTTCTCCCAGCTTAGAGGCGTTATTCCTGGACAGGGTCGCCACGGTCTTGTCTCTCTCGGACGATTTCTTTCCCGAACCCCATGTTCTCGGCCAACCATCCCGTTCTGAGGCCGAGAGCAACATCATCAACCCCGCCAGTCCGCATAACGCCGCGTATGTCATCTTCACGTCTGGATCAACGGGAACCCCTAAGGGCATCGTAGTTGAGCACGCTGCCCTTTGCACTAGCATCCTCGGCCTCAAGAACGAGTTTGGAGACAGCCTCAGCTCTCGCGTGCTGCAATTCTCAAGTCACGTCTTTGATGCCTCGATCATCGAGATTCTGGGAACGCTTGTTTTCGGAGGGACGGTCTGCGTGCCCTCTGAGGCGCAAAGACTTCAGGACATCGCAGGTTTTCTCACTGAGGCCCAAGTCAACACGGCCATAGTCACCCCGTCGTTCGCGAGCACTATTCATCCCAACACGGCGCCATCAGTCCGAACTTTGGTACTTGTTGGAGAAGCGCCCGACGAGGACGTTGTACGAACCTGGACACAGCCAGGAGTGCGTCTTCACAACGGATACGGGCTATCGGAGACCTGCGTTGTGTGTATGACTTACGACTTTGGGACCAGTACCAATGCCAGTCTCGCTGCCACCACTATTGGCCGGCCGTTTAACGCCCGCTGCTGGATTGTCGAGCCTGATAACCATGATGTTCTGACGCCTCTGGGATGCATCGGCGAGCTTGTCGTTGAGAGTTATGCTCTCGCGCGCGGCTACCTTAGTGACGAGCAGCGAACAAACGAGATGTTCCTCGAGCACACTGCCTGGTCGTGGACCGCAACAGAGACCAACAGACCGAGATTGTACCGCACAGGAGACTTGGTGCGTTACAATCCAGATGGCACCATGGCATACGTCGGCCGAGCCGACACGCAGGTCAAGCTTCGCGGCCAGCGGATTGAGCTGACGGAAATCGAACACCACATCAAGAGCTCCTGTGTGGAGATCAGTCACACAGTCGTTGATGTGGTCCATGGCGATTCCAGCGAAACTCTCGTAGCCTTCCTCTCCTTCGACGACATTGACGGCTCCGCCAGCCCCGAAGATGCCAGCATCAAGCTACTAGCCGTGGAAGGGCTTGTTCAAGCTCGCCTCGCCAAGATTCTGAGCGACCTTCAGGCCGACCTGCCAAGATACATGGTTCCGGGGCTTTTCCTTCCACTTAACATAATGCCTTTCGGCCAGTCGATGAAGTTGGACAAGAAGCAATTGCAAGCTATTGCGGCAGAAATCTCACAGGAGGAGCGTGCTATGATTGCGAGCTTGATCAGCCACCGCGACAGAGTGGCCCCTTCGACAGAGATGGAGGTCAAGCTACGCGACCTCTGGGCGCAGGTGCTGAACATCAATCCCGAAAACATCAGCCGCCACGACAGTTTCCTTCGCATTGGAGGGGATTCGATCACAACCATCAAGCTGACTACTCAGGCACGTCTCCTCGGGATCGGTATCACAGTGGCATCCGTGTTCAAGGACTCCCAGCTCGACATCATGGCGGCCAACGCTACAACCTTGGAAGACGAGGTTGCTTCAAACGCCGAACCATTCAGCTTGCTCCCCGTTTCCGAGATTGATGTTGCTCTCTCACATGCTGCCGAACAATGCGGCCTTCCGGTCGAGGCTATTGAGGATGTTTATCCCTGCACGAAGCTTCAGGAAGGACTTATGGCGTTAGCCGTCAAACAGGCCAGAACATATATCGCCCGTTTCTCCTTCCGACTTGCGGACCATGCTGACGTTGCCCGTTTTAAAGCCGCGTGGGAGCGCACCGTCTCGCTCTGCGGTGTTTTGAGAACCAGAATCGTCTTCTACAAGGGCTCTTTCTACCAAGTTTTGGTTAAGGAGGACGTGGATTGGACTACGCTGGGCTCCCATGATCTCTACTCTTCGGCAATTTCTAAAAATGCTCGAGAAGTCGAGATGACGAGCGGCTCGAGGTTATGCCACTATGCCTTGGCCAAAAGCAACGACGGATCTACCCACTTCACATGGGTCATTCACCATGCCGTCTACGATGGTTGGTCAATCCGGCTTATCACGGAGGCTCTCTATCGTGTGTACTACGGCACCGAGACAATCGAGTCCGCTCCTCGACCGTATTCAGACTTTATCCGATACGTCAACGGCCTCGATCGTGAAGCCGGAGCCGAATACTGGACAACTCAGTTGCAGGACGCCAAGCGTGCCAACTTCCCTTTGCCGAGCCCATCTTCAGCTCTCGCATCAGGGAGTGATACTAGCCGCTCGCTCCATCAGACGATACAACTGCCTCCTACCACAGGAATGCATTCTTCCGTCACAAAGGCCACGATTCTCCGTGCGGCATGGGCGCTTCTCCTATCGAGCTACTCCGACAGCGACGATGTCTGCTTCGGCACGACCATTTCCGGTAGACAAGCCCCGGTTGCGGGCATCGAATCCATCACCGGGCCCATCATCGCTACGGTTCCCTTGCGGGTACGCCTCGATGGACGCCAACAGAGGACCGTATCGGACTACCTTGTCGATGTCCAGAACCAGGGCATCGACATGGTGCCGTACGAGCAGTTCGGCCTCCAGGCCATCGCCAAGCTTAGCCGCGATGCCAAGGAGGCATGCGATTTCAGCAGTCTGCTCGTCATCCAACCCATTTCCCACCTCGCATACTCGGACGACTCCTCCGGTGCGCTTTTGGAGTCGTCGCGGTCCAAGGAAGAAGCCACGAAAGAGCTCCAGGGATACTTCAACTACCCCCTCGTGGCTCAGGGACACGTTCACGACGACCATGCCAAACTCGTGCTCATCTACGACTCTCGCGTCTTGTCCGAGGACCAAGTCGCCACCCTTTCGCACCAGTTTGCCCATCTCGTGCAGCAACTGGGCGATGCGCACAAGGATGAGCCTCTCGCGGATATCAACATGGCCGGCCCATGGGACCTACAGCAGGCAGTAGAACGGAATAACAACCAGCCCGAAGTCGTCGAAGACTGCGTACACCACTTTATTGAACGCCATGCTCGCAATGCACCCGGGTCACTCGCCGTCAGCGCATGGGACGGCGAGCTCACCTATAGCCAGCTCGACGCCGCCAGCGACAGGCTGGCAGCCCATCTTGTGAGCGATCTCAGCGTTGCCAACGACCACGTGGTGCATGTCTGCTTCGAAAAGTCCGTTTGGTTTTTTGTATCCATTGTCGCACTGAACAAGGCCGGATGTGCTTGGGTTCCTCTCGACCCGTCTCACCCACTTACACGCCAACGCGACGTGGCCCGTCAAACGGCGGCAAAGCTCGCGCTGAGCTCGCCTTCAAATGCGTCAATGTGCGCCGAGTTGGTGCCGCACGTACTCGAAGTATCTTCAGCGCTTGACGACATGCTCCGTCGGTCTGGCCCCGGCCTGTCGTGCTTATCGGGCCGTGGCGTCACACCAAGAAATGCCTCGTACGTCCTGTTCACCTCGGGCAGTACAGGAACGCCCAAAGGTCTGGTCATGGAGCATCGATCTGTTTGCACGGCCCTGGTGGCTATTGGCAAACGGGTGGGTATTCATTCCGGTGCCCGAATGCTTCAGTTCGCGTCCTACGTTTTCGACGCGTGTATCGGCGAGGCCCTCGGTGCCTTCATAGCTGGGGCATCCATCCACGTTCCCTCCGAGGAGATGCGAATGAATTCCCTGCGGGAGTTCATCAGAGACCAGGAAGTGACTTGGGCTCTTTTGACGCCCGCCTTCATTCGAACACTAGCGCCTGATGACGTGCCCTCGCTCAAGACTCTGATGTTGGCTGGTGAGGCCGTCGGCCGAGACATTCTGAGGCAGTGGTTCGGAAAGGTTCGTCTCTTCAATGGCTGGGGACCGGCCGAAACGTGTGTTTTCAGTACACTTCATAAGTGGGAATCGGCAACGGACTCACCTCTGACAATCGGCAAACCCGTCGGTGGCTGCGTTTGGCTTGTTGACCCGGAGAATCCTCAACGGCTTGCCCCCATTGGGTGTGTTGGAGAAGCCGTAGTCCAAGGCCCGACGATTCTGAGAGAATACCTCTCCAACCCCGAAAAGACAATGGATTCGACCGTCACATCCCTGCCTCAGTGGGCGCCGCGCCAGGACCAACCAGGATGGGACCGGTTCTTCAAGACCGGAGACCTGGCGTGCTACAATTCTGACGGCACCATCGAGTTCGTCAGTCGCAAGGACACGCAAGTCAAGATACGTGGATTCAGAGTCGAACTAGAAGAAGTAGAAGGCGCTGTCCGCGACACTCTCGAAGGAGTGGGACAAGTGGCAGTGGATGTCTTCCGCGGAGGGAGCGCCGGCGTCCATCTCGTCCTGTACTTCTGCTCCAGCCATGCTACTCACACGACCGGCACCAAGGGCGGAGATGAAGAGCAAGATGTCTTTCTTCCCTTTACAACGGATCTCAAGCAACAGATCTCGGCTATGGTTTCTGCCCTGAGTAGCAAACTGCCTCCCTACATGGTTCCGACAATGTTCATCCCCTGCCGGTCAATGCCGGTCATCTCATCGACCAAGCTCGACAGGAAAACACTCCGGTCCCTGACGTCGTCGCTTGCAAAGGAACATTTGGCCTCATATTCACTCGTGGACGCCGAGAAACGCCTACCCGAGACTCTGCTAGAGTCCCGTCTGCAGTCGATCTGGGCAGAGGCCCTGGGCATCCCTGCCAAGAGGATCGGTCTCGACGACAGCTTCATCGCGCTAGGCGGCGACTCTATTGTGGCCATCTCTGTAACTACAACAGCTCGCGAGCAAGGCATCTTACTGGCCGTCGCCGACATTTTCAATGACCCCCGCCTCTGTGCCGTGGCAGCGAAAGCCAGGCTGGTGTCGGCCGATCTGTCGACGGACGAGGTAGAGCCCTGGAGCCTGCTACCCGCAAGTGAGCATAATCACGTCAAGGAGACTGCCATGGAGCAGTGCAAGATCTCAGCCGCTCGCGTTGTCGACGCGTTCCCATGCACCGGCATCCAGGCAGGCCTCATCACTCTTGCCGAGAGGTACCCGGGGTCTTATATGGCTCGGTTCAACATCCCGCTTCCCAAGATCGTGGACCTTGAGCTGTTCAAAGAAGCTGTCACCTACATGGTGCGTGCCTGCGAGAACCTTCGCACCAGGTTCATCATGACCACACAGGGTCCACGCCAGATTATCGCGCACGAAGCAGTGACATGGCAGAACCGTGAGCCCCTGCCTCTAGCCGAAGTCTCTGCAAAGCCGCCCCCGTCGGTTGGGTACGGCAGTCGCTTGTCGTTCTATACTTTGGCACAAGAGAGGGATCAGCTGTACATGGTATGGGACTTACATCACTCAATCTTCGACGGCTGGACGATGGGTCGCATGACCCAGATCCTCCAAGATGCTTGCGCCGGCAGCAGGATCGTGCAACCCCTGTCTTACAACAAGTTTGTCAGATACACGGCCTCACAGACCCAAGACCAGGCACGCGACTACTGGATCTCTCAACTTGACGGCGCAGACCCCGTCGAGTTTCCGGCTGTCCCCGCCAACATCTCCGAAATCCGCTGCGACGGGGCTGTCTTGCGTAGCATCACAGTCCCGGAGCGGCCGGGCTCCAACATTACGACGGCCACCATCCTGCGGGCAGCCTGGGCCGTTATTGTGTCACGGTATAGTGGCAGCGGCGGGGTCGTCATCGGAAGCACCATCTCCGGTCGCGGGGTTCCGATCCCGGGGATCCAAGACATTCTTGGCCCGACCATCGGCACGGTCCCGGTGCACGTCAAAGTCAACGGGTCCGACCGCATTGTCGACTTCCTAGGTGACGTGCAGAGCCAAGCAAACGCCATGATACCCTTCGAGCATACTGGCTTGCAGACGATTGCAAAGCTTAGCCCCCTTGCCCGCGATGCGTGTGATTTCAAGAATCACCTAGTTATCCAGCCGGGCGGCAAGCCGGCCAATGCGCCCGAGACCTGCATCAAGATCAACGACATGACGGCTGGAAAAAATCAGAGCTACGACGTTTACCCATTGGTCTTCCAGTGTGTGGTGGGTGACAAGAGCGCGGTGGAAATCATGGCATCGCACGACACCCGCGTCATTCCGCCAGTGATGATGGACCGCATCTGCGACCAGTTCGCCCACGTTGCTATGCAGTTGTCCACCGCGGACCGGAGCCTTCGCCTCTCGGACATGGAGCTTTGTGGACCGCACGATATCAGACAGATCAGTCAGTGGAACATGACCAGGCCGCCAACCGCCGTTCGCGAGTGTGTCCACGACATGATCTCCAAGCGAGCCGCCTCCCAGCCGACACATCCTGCCGTGGACTCGTGGGACGGCCATTTGACCTACAGCGAGCTAGATCGTCTATCCGATGTCCTTGCTAACCACCTGCGCACCCTCGGCGTCTGTCCGAATACCCATGTTCCGATTTGCTTTGAAAAGTCCATGTGGGCAACGGTCGCAACGCTGGCTGTCCTCAAAGCCGGCGCAGCCTTCGTTCCCCTTGACCCTACCTATCCCGAGACACGCCGCCGCCACCTTGCAGAACAGGTTGAAGCCGAGGTCGTTCTTGCCTCTCCGACGACGTCGCCATCTTGTGTCGGTACAGCACCCACAATCGTTTCCGTTTCGGCAACTCTTCTATCACAGCTACCGAATGGAGAATCGACAACCGGTACAAGGACTACCTCCAACACGGCCCTCGCAAGCCCCGATACTGCTGCTTATGTCATTTTTACTTCCGGTTCCACAGGAAAGCCCAAGGGTGTAGTGGTTGATCACATAGCCCTCTGTTCCAGTATCATGGGCCACGGGACCGCTTACGGTCTGAGCCCGTCCTCGCGGGTTCTACAGTTCTCCAACTACGCGTTCGATGGCAGCCTGAGCGAGATCCTGACACCGTTGGTGCTTGGCGGAACCATTTGCGTTCCCTCGGATACGGATCGGCTGCAAGAGACAGCCAAGTTCATCCGCGACAACCATGTCAACGTGGCAATGTTAACCCCCTCCTTTGCAACCACACTGACCCCCGAGGAGGTACCTGGTCTCGAGACGCTTCTTTTGGGGGGCGAGGCCTTGACGATGGAGAACCTCGACACCTGGTTCGGCCACGTGAAGCTGATCAACGCATACGGACCCACAGAGGTGTGTGTTGACTGCGTCTCGCACATCTTCACCTCAGTGGACGAGTCGCCAACAACCATAGGCCTCAGTCAAAATGCAACATCGTGGATTGTAGATCCACAAGACCACGACCGCCTGGCACCGATAGGGTGCGTCGGAGAATTGCTCGTGCAGGGATACGCGCTGTCCCGTGGGTATCTCGACGATGCCGAGCAGACTGCCAAGGTCTTCATCAGCAATCCCGCCTGGCTCCAGCACTTCATGTCGAATCCTGGACCGCTGCAGAGATTCTACAAGACTGGTGACCTGGTCAAGTACAACGACGACGGCTCAATAGAGTACCTAGGTCGTCGGGACAACCAAGTCAAGCTGCGGGGTCAACGCATCGAGCTCGCCGAGATCGAACACCAGATGAAGAGAGCGTGTGCCGATGTTGAACATGCCGCTGTGGAGGTTGTCAAACGGGAGTCCGGGGCTACCTTGCTCGGCTTCGTGACCTTCCGGGCTAGTGGAGAAGAATCACCCGAAGCGTCATCTTCCTCAAGCCGAAGAGACCCGGATCTGGTCCTACTTCCTATGGACGAGACCTCGGAGGCGAGAGTTATCTCAATTCTTGCCAGTCTCAGAGCTGTGCTGCCGGACTACATGGTTCCTAAACACATTTTCCCCTTGCGGGATATGCCATTTGGTTCTTCCATGAAGCTCGATAGGAAGGCTCTCCGGGCATTCTCGAGTCATCTGACGCTCGAAAGCTTGTCGACCACGGCATTGGTGGGTGCTCGTGAGCCATCATTGTCCCTGCCAACTTCCAAGATGGAACTGAAGCTTCGCGATGTGTGGGCTCAGATCCTTCATATCTCTCCGTCGAGCATTGATCGAGAAGACAACTTCCTGCGAATTGGCGGTGACTCGATCACCGCTATCCAACTCGTCACCCTTGCCCGCAAGAACGACATCAACATCACAGTCAGCTCCATTTTCAAGGATGCCCGGCTCAGCAGCCTTGCATCAATGGCCACGGTTGCCGGCGGCAATGTCACGGACTTGGACGCCGTGCCTTTCAGTATGTTGAAGGTATCTTTGGTGGACAAAATCCTCAATCAGGCTGCTGAGCAATGTGGCCTCACGAGCTCTGGTGCCATCGAAGACGCATACCCCTGCTCCAAATTTCAGGAAGGACTCATGGCACTGACCGAAAAGATGAAGGGATCCTATGTGGCCAAGCTACTTTACAAGATTCCTAGCGACATCGACTTGGACAAGTTCAAAATGGCGTGGAAAAAGACAGTCGTTCTGTTCCACAATCTCCGCACCAGGATCGTATTCCTAGACGGAGCTACAATCCAGGTCGTTGTACGGGACCAGGAAGCTGTGTGGGACTCCTTTGGGGACGTCAGCGTCCATGACGCGTTGGATGGCAAACCTGAGATGACTTATGGCTCCCGTCTCTCTCGGTACGCCGTTGCCAAGGGGGAGGATGGCTCGAACTACTTCGTCTGGACGTTGCACCACGCCATCTACGACGGCTGGTCTCTGCGGATCATCATGGAAACCCTGCACAAGATATACTACGGCGATGACGACCACGAGATTGTTCCATACTCGCGGTTCATCAAATACATTGGCGAAGCTGACCACGAGGCGGGTAGTCGGTACTGGAGCCAACAGCTCCGGGATGCTAGGCCGGCAACCTTTCCACCTCCTGGCCGCGCAACGGGGCCTTTCAAAACCCGCGTCACCAGCACCATCATCAGCTCTCCGACTTCAGGCGGCTCTGCCGTAACCAAGGCCACGATCCTCCGTGCGGCCTGGGCCATACTACTCGCACGCTACTCCGAAGACACAGACGACATATGCTTTGCCACCTCTGCCTCAGGTAGACAAGCTCCGGTGCCAGGCTTGGAAGACATGGCCGGTCCAGTTGTTGCCACAGTCCCGCATCGAATCCGTCTTAACCGGGAACAACCTATCTCCCAGTTCCTCTGCGACGTCCAGGACCAGGCATCCGAGATGGTACCATTCGAACAATTCGGTCTGCAGGAGATTGCAAAGTTGAGCACCGAGGCGAAAGAGATCTGCGACTTCTCTAGCCTGTTCGTCATACAGCCGGGCCAGTCTGAAGACGAGGCTGCTGACGGAACACCTGGTCAGATTCTCGTCACAGCCAGCTCTGAACAGTTCCATGGAAGCGAGAACATCGAAGGCTACTTTAGCTACCCTCTCGTTGCACAAGCTCACGTTTTCGAAAACTTCGTTGAGCTCAGTCTCATCTACGACGCCAATATCTTACCCGAATCCCAGATGACGGCTTTTTCCAACCAGTTCGACAACATTGTGCAGCAGCTTCTCCCCCAAAATCAGAGCCCGCTGAGCAGCGTTTCCGTTGCCGGATCCTTCGACCTACAACAGTCAATGCAATGGAACAGCGAGTACAGCCCCATCGTCAATGCCTGTTTCCACCAACTCCTTGAGGAGCAGGCGGTCCGGAGACCGTCCGCACCCGCCATCATTGCGGCCGATGGAGAGCTTACTTATGCGGCCTTGAACCGAGCCGCGAACAGGCTCGCGCACCACCTCGTGAAGCTGGGCGTTGGGGTCGGCGAACTCGTGCACGTCTGCTTTGAAAAGTCGGTATGGTTTTTCGTGTCCATCTTGGCCATCAACAAGGCCGGCGCCGCCTGGGTCCCGCTAGATCCATCTCATCCCGAGCAGCACCAAGCACGAGTAACTCAACAGACCAAGGCAAAATTGGCGCTGGCATCGGTGATCAACACCCCGCGGGTTACTGGCCTCGTGTCGACCATAGTGGAAGTCTCCAAAGAACTCGATGACACGCTTCAACGGGACCTCAAGACGGACAACAGCAAGCGTGCACCGAAGGCGAGTGTCGGCCCTCGGGACATTTGTTACGTCCTCTTTACATCTGGCAGCACGGGAACGCCCAAAGGTGTTGTCCTGGAGCATAGATCCGTCTGTACGATGCAGACGGCCGCTGGCAAGAGGCTCAAAATGACGCACGATGTACGCATCATGCAGTTCGCCTCGTACGTCTTCGACATGTCCGTCGCCGAGACAATCATGCCACTGATCCACGGAGCGTGTGTCTGCGTGCCTTCGGACGAGATTCGGGTGAGCGGACTTCTCTCTCAGTTCATCCGCGACATGCGCATAACTTGGCTATTCCTCACGCCCGCCTTTGGCCGCACTCTCAAGCCCGACGAGGTGCCTGGCGTGGAGGTTCTCCTCCTAGGCGGAGAGGCCCTGAGCCGTGATAACTTGGATACGTGGCTCGGGAGAGTTCGACTGGTCAATGCATGGGGCCCAACCGAGACATGCGTCTTTGGCACCCTTCACGAACTGGATCCATCTGACGAGAACCCGTCCCATCTTACAATCGGTCGCCCCGTCGGCGGTAAATGCTGGATTGTTGATCCTCGAAACCATGATCGGCTCGCGCCCATCGGGTGTGCCGGCGAGATCGTCATTCAAGGCCCCACCTTGCTCCGTGAATATCTCGGAGACCCCACGCGGACGGAGGAGAGCACGGTCCGGCGCCTACCAGAATGGGTGTCTCAGCTGCCCGGATGGGACAGATTCTTCAAGACGGGAGATCTGGCCCGGTACAACGCGGACGGAACCATTGAGTTCATCGGCCGGAAAGATGGCCAAGTCAAAGTCCGCGGCTTCCGCATCGAGGTTGGCGCAGTAGAGTACAACATCCGCGCCGTCATGTATGTCACCGACGTAGCCGTCGACGTCCTCAGGACCGATGGCGGGGCAACTCTTGTGGGATACTTTGTTTGTGCCAACGAAGAGAGCGACGGAAAGGAAGATGACGGCGATCTCTTTCAGGCCATCACTCCCGGATTTGAGCGGCGCATTAGAGCCATGATCGGCGACCTACGGGCCCGGCTGCCGCATTACATGGTACCAACAACATTCATACCGTGTCGCAGACTGCCTTTCGTCACCTCGGACAAGCTCGACAGAGGCCTCTTACGGCAGCTCACAAGCGCCCTGGATCGCAACGAGCTTGCTGCGTATTCTCTCGTAGATACGCAGAAGCGGGCCCCCGCCACAGCTATGGAGCTGCGTCTTCGGCATATCTGGGCCGACGTCCTGCGTATACCGGTAGATTCCATCGGCCGGGATGACGACTTCATTGCCCTCGGAGGCGAATCTATTGCAGCTATTTCCGTCTCAACCAAGGCACGAGAGAGCGGTATCTGCGTGACTGTAGCTAAGCTTTTCGAGGACCCTCGTCTCCTGGCCGTCGCTGCCTCGGCTACATGGCTGAACGATGGCCCATTGGACGGAAACAGCGAGCCATGGAGCCTCGTTCCGAGTGAAAACCGAGACATGATCATTGGGACCGCCGTCGAACAATGTCGACCACACCGACCCCTCCCCCCGCAGTCAGTTGTTGATGCATTTCCCTGCACGCCGATGCAGGAAGGCCTGCTGGCCTTAGCGGAGACGCGTCCGGGATCGTATATGGCACGATTGACGATCACAGCACGCGAGGGACTCCCAATTGACATGAACCGTCTCACGGCGGCCGTGGCCACCACTGTGTCGGTGTGTGACAATCTCCGAACTCGCTTCCTCCTCTCTCCTCGGGGCTCCGTACAGATCATTGTCGACGAAGAGATCACCTGGCAACAGCCAGACGAGATTGTGCGGCTTTCGGATGCTTTGGCTACGTCCACGCCTGTTGTTGACTACGGAACACCGCTATCTTACTTCACTCTCGCCAGAGACGACCAGGACCGGGTCTGTGTGCTCTGGGATATACATCACTCTGTCTTTGACGGATGGACAATGGGCCACATGGTCCGTATCATGCAAGAAGCCTACTCCGGGAGTAGCGTAACGACCAGGCAGGTTTCCATTGCCAACTATGTCAAACACACGCAGAGTGTCACCAAGGAGGAGCTCCGTGACTACTGGGTTTCCCAGCTTGAGGGGGCTGACTCGGCCAAGTTCCCAAGCCTTCCCATCGGCATGTCGGGTTCCCAGGTCCGGTGCACTGGCGCTGTTAGGAGTCATCTCCGCATTACAGAGCGGCCTGGATCAGCAGTCACAACACCGAGTCTCTTACGCGCTGCCTGGGCTTTCCTCGTGGGCCTTTACTCCGAGAGTGACCGCGTCGTGTTCGGCAGTACCATGTCTGGCCGCACGGCGCCCGTCGTCGGAATCGAGAGAATCCTCGGCCCTACCATCTCCACCGTTCCGGTTCAGGTCCACGTCGACCCTGAGCTGACAGTCGGCGAATTTCTGACCAAGGTCCAGAAGCAAGCCAACGCAATGATCCCTTTCGAGCACACTGGGCTGCAGAACATTTCCAAGTACGGGCCGGCGGGACAAAAAGCATGCGACTTCCACAATCAGCTCGTCATTCAGCCCGCGGCTCCCGTTTCCGACGGCCTTCAGGAGGTCTCGGATCTCCAAATCACCGACGTCGCCAGCAAGAACGAAAGCTTCGACATCTATCCTCTCGTGATGCAGTGCAACGTCGGACCCGATGACAGCGTGGACGTTAGCGCATCTTTCGATCCATGCGTCATCCCAGAGACGCAAATGCGCCGCATGTGCGAGCAGTTCGAGCACGTCGTTAGCCAGTTGTGCGGGGCAGACGAAACCTTGAAGCTTTCCGATATCAACGTCTGCGGCCCTCATGACATGGCCGAGATCCGTGAATGGAACTTCGAGACCCTACCGCCACCCGAGGCCGTCCGTACCTGCGCACACGATTTGATCCGCCAAAAGTCCCTCGAGACGCCGAGAAAGGAAGCCATTTACTCTTGGGAAGGGAACCTGACCTATGGCCAGCTCGACGCTTTGTCAACAGCCTTGGCCACTCGCCTCATTGGCCTCGGAGTCGGGCCGGAGGTGCTGGTTCCCATGTGCTTCGAAAAGTCTAGGTGGGCGATCGTTGCTATGCTGGGCATTATGAAGGCCGGCGGCGCTTTCGTTCCCTTGGATCCTACCAGCTCCCTCGCCCGCAAGCAGGAGCTTGTGCAGAGGGTCAACGCCCGGGTTGTTGTGCTATCGTCGGCGCTGGCAGAACCCTGCGTCGAATTGGCGCCGCATATCGTCCAACTCTCGTCAGCGTCGATATCCGATCTTCTCTCTTCTTCTCAGCACGCATCGGCACATTCGAGCACTGTGCCGCCACCCAAAACTCCTGCCTATGTCATCTTCACATCAGGATCGACCGGGAAACCCAAGGGTGTCGTCGTGGAACATACCGCTCTTTCCTCTAGTATCATGGGTCACGGCAAGGCATATGGGCTCTCTTCCCGTTCCCGCGTGCTCCAGTTTTCCAACTTTGTCTTTGATGGTTGTCTCAGCGAAATCCTTACGCCCCTAGTATTTGGGGGCACCGTCTGCATCCCGGCAGAAGGCGACCGTATTCACAACGTTGCCCGCTTCATGCACGATGCCGACGTCAATGTTGCGATGCTCACGCCGTCGTTCGTTTCTACCCTTGCGCCGCAGGATCTCCCATGCCTCGACACACTCCTGCTGGGCGGCGAAGCTTTGACAAAGCAAAACGTCGAAACCTGGCTACCTGTCGTGAACAAGCTGATCAATGCATACGGACCAACCGAGACCTGTGTCGACTGCATGTCGCACATCTTCCACTCCGCAGATGAGTTGCCCACCACGATCGGCCGCAGTCAGAACGCCACAGCCTGGATTGTGAATCCAAGCAACCACAACCTGCTGGCGCCCATCGGCTGTGTGGGCGAGTTGATTATTCAAGGTTACACTTTGGCTCGCGGCTATCACAACGACGGGGAGCAAACCCGGGCGGCATTTGTCGAGAATCCCGATTTCATGTCTGCCTTTGCTCCGACCGGACCGACACGCTTCTACAAGACAGGCGATCTCGTCCGTTACAATACCGATGGCACAATCCATTACGTCGGTCGCCGGGATACGCAAGTCAAACTACGAGGCCAGAGAATTGAACTCGGTGAAATCGAGCAAATCATAAAGCTGACGGCTCCCAACATGATTGAGCATGCGGTTGTCGATGTCGTCTCTCGCGACTCGGGCGATGTGCTTACCGCTTTCTTGTCTCTCTTCAACAATGACCCGACTGGGGATGCGGGCGACAACGAAGATTTGGCAGGCAACCTTGTACAGCTTGACGGTAAGCTTCAAGAGTCCCTCGCCAACCTTGGCGATACCTTGAGGCAGTCCTTACCCGTGTACATGGTGCCTGCGACCACACTTGTACTTAAACACATGCCTTTCGCCTCGGCAATGAAAATTGACAGGAAGAGACTCCGTCGGCAAGCCTCGAGCTTACCCGCGAGCGTTACTGCAACGTACGCTCTCGAGCAACGATCGGCGTTCCGAGAACCCACCACAGAGCTGGAAACGCAACTCCGTCAAGCATGGGCTCGTGTCCTTCAGATACCTCAAGGTTCCATCAGCATTGACGACAACTTCTACCAACTAGGCGGCGATTCCATCCGGGTGGTAACCCTGTCCAGGTACATTAAAGACGACCACGACGTGCAGCTCGGTCTCTCTGAGATCAACGGCGGCAACTCGACGGTCCGCGGCATGGCACGATACATCGAACAAGCACGTGCTATCGGCTCTTCGGCTGCTCTTCCCCACGTCAATCTAATGAGCAAGATTACACCTTTGCTCGAGGAGACATGGACAGCCGGCCGACAGCAGCTCTTGGACCATCCGCTTATTGGCCTGCCCAACAGAGCCACCGTTCTTCTCACCGGCGCCACTGGATATCTCGGCAATGAGATCCTCAAACAGCTTTTGCAATCGGAAAAGGTCGATACCGTCATCGCGCTCGTGCGTGCTTCAACTTGCGCCCACGGTCTCGAACGCGTCAAGAAGACGGCCAAGATCGCCTCTTGGTGGGACGATTCGTACGCCGACAAGATTGAGATTTGGCCCGGAGATCTCTCTGCCAAAGGCATGGGTCTAGACAAGGACCAATGGGAGCGAATCACGGGCCATTCTCGCAAGGCCGCGAACATTGACGCCATTATCCACAACGGAGCCTCCATGAGCTGGACCGCAGACTACGACAGAGTGCGCGCCGCCAACGTTGACTCCACCGTCGCCCTTCTCAAAGCAGCCGCTGCCTCTTCTCTTCATACCCGATTCGTGTACGTTTCGGGTGGAGCCAAGGCCGATACACAGAGGGACCGCGATGCCTTCGCTCATATACTCGGCCACGGCACCGGTTACGCGCAGACCAAGTTCGTCTCGGAGAGCATCGTCTACGGCGTTTCAACCCGGCTGCCGGACGGCCAGAATCGCGTGTCTGTCGTCAAGCCCGGCCTCATCATCGGCGGCGCCGACAAGGGGGTTGCCAACGTCGATGATTACCTCTGGCGTGTCGTCGGCGCCGCCGCAACCCTGGGAGTCCACCCCTCCGAGCCGGAAGGCCACTGGCTGCCGATGCTTGACGTGAGGCGCGTTGCCGGCGCCGTCATGAACCAGCTGCTTGTGGACGCGGAGAAAGGAGTCGACAATTTTGTCGATATCCCCGATGGCATATCCGTGGCCGATTTCTGGAGCCTGGTCAACGCGGAGCTCCGACAGCCCTGCGCACCAATGCCATGGGCCGAATGGCTACCACTGGCGCACGCTGATATGGAAAAGGTCGGCGAAAGTCACCCACTGTGGCCGGTGCAGGCCTTTCTCGGAGAGATCGGGACGCCTTCAGCCGAGGGCTCTCCAGCTTCTGCCGCGGACGCCGAGCTGAGACGTGCGGTAAGAGAGAACATCAAGTACCTTTCCCGCGTCGGGTTCTTGGCCTCTGAGCCGAGCGAGCAGGTCACACTCAAAGAGGACGTCATCAAACGTACGGAGACGATCAAGTTTTGAGGTTTCCGATCATCTCTTTTTTTCTTTGTCCCGTTTTGAAGCACTCGTTCAGCGGTCGCGTGGATGCACGAGGAATTATTTTTGTATTCCAGGCGATTGTTTTCTTTTGTTTACACTCGATCGTTTTCCTCTCGGATTTATATTCCGAAACTAGGGAACCAGCGGGAACTGGGGGCGGATAAGAACACATAGCAGCTCACGGGCAAGACTTGGAGGACGTTAGGAGGCGGCGTGTACTGTAGAGTAGATAGCTTAAGCCTGCGGCCCTCCACGCCACATACCCCCTGGGAGGTCGGCCGCAAGGGCGGTTGCGCCCTTGCCGCCACGGCGTTAAATACTACAACAACAACATCGATCGTTTTCCTGTCAACTACATGATGCAAGCCAGTTGGCATTCTTTCTCCATCCGAGAACACATCTATTTCATCTGTAACTTCTTGAATATACACTTGGAAACAATGGCAACACGCGTCAAATTGAAGCCGATATATTCAACAGACTCATTGTTTATCTGCTTCAACGCTAGATGTTCTAATTTCACTTGTAGCCTACTCGTCTTCCAAGACATGTCGTGAAGTTGATAGATTCGTGTGGTTCGTATCAGCTGTGCCACAGTTGTGGCTCACGAGGCGCACAGACTTGTTCATGGGGTACGCATATACTGGAATTCTAGATATATCAACTACTTTCCTCTATGCGCTGCAGACCCCCCAGCTCATCACATGATACTATTCCATTCTTTTACTCCGTATCATGAACCGACTTTAACATAAGGGCCGTGTTGTGAAGATGGGAATATTCTCGTCTCGCCGCCACAGGTGTGGCTTACCATACACGCAGACAACTTTCCACGGGTATCTCTACCCGGCATCGCTTCATGAATACTTTCACGATAGGACAACCAACCACTTTGCATCCATCTAGAAGACGCTGTAGTTCATCACAGGCTACACATATGAAAGGGAAACGGCTTGAATCTGTGCAAATAAGCGATTGCAGCCTGACGGGTCAGCTCGCTGGGTAGCTCAAGATGCTGAGGGGACCACGGCACCTGCTATTCATAGTAGTAGTAGTAGTAGTAGTATTTAACATCACCAGGGACAGGAACCCAGCTATCTGAATTAAGCACCGATCAACCAGAGCACCCTTTGGGCATATGATGTGCCGTGCCGCCGTCTAAATAGCGTACGACAAGTCAGGTAATCTGTAATACACTTTTCTTCTCGTGCCTAGAGCAGTGGAGATTATTAGCTAATTCCCAGGGTCCGTTCAGTTCCAAAAAGCACGCCAGCAGGGGTTTCCTGACTCGGCAGAAGCGAATGGCCTTCAGTAGCCCTACATCGTTCACAGACGACGGGTCACAACGAAAAGGCCGGCCCTCGCGGGCATAATTGCCCACGAGTATATTTTTCTGTTTTCCAGTATTATGGAAAATAAAGGAGGAAGAGAGAGGGGGGAGGTAACCTGTTATTCATGTGAGCAGCCTTAATAGTTCCTTCTCAAATTCAAAGTTATAACTTCTTAACTCGGTTGACCATTTTGGCTTCGGTCAAGCTACGAAGTCAAGCTAATTTCTTTACCCTAGCTACGCGTTTATAACCCTTGATACTGTAGTGCCTGGTCTTGTTTGTCTTGAAGTGAGGCAGCTAATCACTTCAGGTAGTGCCGAACATGTTGACTCCAACTAGATCCCTGCTCTTTCATAAGTGACAAAAATACAAGAAGAAATTAAAGAAAGATAGATAAAGAAGCTGTCGGATTGAAAGTCCAATTCGGCCGCGAGTAATTCGGCCGCGAGTAGGGGCAGAGCATGGGCCACCTCGAGGGGGTACACTTAGACCTCGACTACCCACCCAACCTCCGGTTGGAATCTCCCTTCTACTCCTTACGCAGAATCAATCAATACAGAGATATTGATACTTCGTCACCCCCAGGACCCTACGGTTCGAACCAAATTCCCTGTGAAAGGAATACCAACAGAAGCATTAGCATAAGGCTAGCATAAAGAATTACTTAAGTTTGTGTTATTAAACAGTTGAGTCGAGGTAAACGCTTCACGGAGGAGCCATCTAAAAACGTCATGTCTGCAACAGATTTGACAAACGCCTGTATGTATAATCTGCATATTGGTTTGTACTTTATGAAGCCATTATTACCTCTGACGTTGCCTAGTTCATCCACTTTCTCACAGCCATGAATAGCGGTTGGCGACGTACGGCTCCTGTGTGGTATGTCGTTCTCACTGATTGGTTTAACAAGGTTGCATCGTTTTGCAGCAAATGGACAAATAAAGCTGACTTGTCTGACAGGTGATACTGTGCCCATGGCGTGACACCGTGCTGGCAGAATCATCACCTGATTAGCGAGGTATCATTGAGCTTACTGTCCGCGGCATTTGGATCATGCAGCCACCAAAAATACCTGAGTAGGATAGTAAGTCATACTCCACACAGCGCCGTACCTCTCCCAACGAAACCTGAGGGCAGAAGGATATTTTCTGTCCCGGTCGGAACTGCACAAACATCAGCTTCACAGGGGCTTGCTATACGTAATCTGCAATCATGCTAGGCTTCAGAAGATCAGCGAAAGGGGGCTGTGCCCGCCGAGAGTCCACGGCATCGCGGGCGCAGCAGCCGGGTTGGAACATGTTGAACATCGACACCAGGGAGGTTGGGACGCGTACGCATAATTGCAACTCCCCTTGGCAGGAGATCTCTCGTTGCTCATGGATAAAGAAATGACCAAGCTCGTCTTCCATCATGCTGGTGCCTCCCTTCACCGGTCTTCTCCCTTCTCTTACCCGAAAGCTCCGCTCGTCGAGTCTGTTTTCCATCCTACCGGCTCTTGCGACGCGGCTAAACTCTTTTGAGACCATACGATACCGTCACTAATCATCATATCAAGGATGGGACACAATGGTAGATACGGTTCGTACTCGCCCTTCCAATCGATCACATTCAGTATAAAAAACTGATTACCGGAGGGAAAATGTTACAGCGGACGGTAGCGTCTGGTTTTACGACCCAAACAGGATTGCGCCAATCGTCCTCGCAGCCGTCTTCGGTGCTTCAGGACTAGTTCACGCCTGGCAATGCTAGTAGGTGAACCATACGTTGATTGATCGTGAGAAAGTAGGAGAAGAAACTCTACGTAAACCTTGAGTACTGACATGTCTTGAAAAAAAGCCGTTATAAATGCTGGAAACTCACGGGGTGGGCAGTTGCTGGTGCCGCTGCATACTGCGGCAGTTTTGTCGCCCGCGCCTTCGGCGCCGCAGACTACAAAGGCCTGACGGCTTATGTCGTGCACTTCAACTTCGTGTTCGCGGCTCCGTGAGTTCTCCCTTTTCCTTCTCCTAGCGGCCCCCTTTAATCGACCCGCGCTATCGAAAGACAGCGCTACCCTCATCGAGTGCGCAAGCTTCCCAACCCCGGAATCCCCTATTATCTCCTGCCCCGAAACATGTCTGAGCGAGGAAGACAGCCAACTTACACTGATACAACCTTTCCGTCTATAGGCCCCTATTTGAGCTCCTCAACTATGGCATTCTTGCCCGAGTAGCTTACTACCTCCCCTACCACTGCCCCATTCACCCCGGCCGCCTCAGGACCACCTTCACAACACTGGCGACCATCATCGAGGTCCTCGGTGGCTACGGCGCCTACTATGCCTCGAAGCGAAACGAGCCCGAGGGAGAACAGGCCATCGGACGCGGTTGCCTCCTGGCATCTCTGGTCCTGCAGACTATATTGATCGCCGTCTTCCTGGCGCTGACCTCTGTCTTCCATGTCCGCGTTCGCCGCGCCCGTAGCGCACGGGGCTCTGGTCCCGATTCCGTCATCTGGGTACTTTACGCCAGCTCTCTCTTGATTCTCACTCGGACCGTCTTCCGCGTCGTCGACATCGTCAACCTTGCCGCTTTTAACCCCAAGAAGAACGACTTCGATCCATCCTTGGTACCGGCCATTGTCCGCTTTGAGTGGCCTTTCTACGTCTTCGAAGCTTCCATCATGCTCGTCAACCAGCTTATGCTCCATGTGGCCCACCCACGTAGGCACCTTCCTGAAGACAATGCTGTCTACCTTGCCCAGGACGGTATGACAGAACTCAAGGGGCCCGGGTTCAAGGACAACCGCAATTGGTGCCTCATCCTCATGGACCCGCTAGATCTTATTGGCCTTTTCAAAGGGACAGACAAGTCAATGAAATTTTGGCAGAATAACGGCTTCAGCGAGCTCAGCGAGAATTCCAGGGACCAGCCCACACGTGTCCAGCATCGTCAAAGACGCAAGCGTTGAACCAGGACTGGGCAAAGCGGGCAGTCAAGGCCTCGTTGTCCCAGGCTCTCCTGTTATCTGCTTCGGTTGGAAATAATGTATTTCGCACGTTGTTTGAAATATGTGTTGATATTTCATATCCATGGCACATCTGTGCCCGTGGTCGATTAGTTGGATTAGAATTTAGTCATCTCTGCTCTTCAAATATGCTGAAAACCATTCCTGTTTAAAACCACTCCCGTACTCGTGCTCGTGAAATAAGCCGAGAGTTCATCTATCAATATCGCAACATGTTTTAGAATATCAAACATTCATAGGGTAAAAGCACATGTCACATGGTTCCAAAAAATGGTTGTTCCAAGAGTTTAAACGGCAATCAGAGTGGATTGGGGCTTGGTCTATCATTTGGTTTGAGTGAGTGGAATTAGCTCACGGTCTGCGCCGTCGGACACGACGCTGTCGACATTTTACACTTTCAAAACGCTCCTTCATCCAGATGTTCTACTCGCCGGCTCCGAGTGACAACTCGAACAGTTTCTTGAACGCTGAGCCTTCTCGTTGCAAGACCTCTCTTGGCTCGTCATACTCAACAACTTTGCCGGAGCTTAGGACTGCCACTCGGTCAAATTCCAGGATGGGCTCTAGCTTGTGAGCTATTGCGATGACGGTGCATCCATCAAAGAAGTCCCGAACGACGCCGTACACAATCTTCGTCGTCTCGTCATCCATGCTTCAATTGGTATGGATTAGCACCCCCTGTTTCATTGAATGTCTTGTTAACGGGCGCGTAGTCTTACCTGCTGGTGAACTCATCGAGTATGAGCACCTTGCTCATCTTCAGCATTGCCCGGGCGAAGACGAGTAGCTGTGACTCGCCACGCGAGAAGAACGCGTTGTTCATTATCGCATCAAGACCCCCTCTTTGCTCTACCTTGCCCCACAGATGCACCCTCTCCAGGGCACGCTTGATGTCTTCGTCTGACGCCGTCTTCTTCGGGTCTACATTCAACCGTATCGTTCCGTCGAATATGTAAACGTCTTGTGGTATGGCCGTCAGCTTGGACCGTAGGTACTCGTGAGGAATAGTAGACAGGTCCACCCCATCAATACTGATGGTCCCAGAGTCCAGCTGCATCAGTCGGAGGATGCAGAGTACTAGCGAGCTTTTGCCACTATTTCGCAACGCAAGTTAGACTGTGTAATTTGTGATTTCACGAAAAAGAGTATGTACCTTCCGCTTCGCCCGCAGATGGCCACCTTTTCCCCGGGCTTGATGGATAGATCCACGCCGTGAAGAACAATTCCCGAGGAGCTGGCTTCTGATTAGCATCTGAATTTAAGCTATGCGGAAAATATCACACTTACGGATAAGAAGCCGTAACAGCGCGCAGGTCAATAGCCCCTCGGCTTGGCCAATCCTTATCAGATGGCTCGGTTAACTCCTTTGTGGGATCAGCTTCCTGCTCCGTGGTCATGGAAAAGTCACGAATGCGGGCGACGGCGCTGATGGCGATTTCCAGTGTGACCCACGAGGTCAAGGCGGCTTTGATGGTGCCGCTGAATCCAAGGATGTTGCTGAGAGCAATTCCCATGTAGCCAGGCCCGATCTGCTCCCTGAGGGTGGTAGTCACCACGATCAGGACCAGAGCGATCATGGCAATCATCATATCCACTGTGAAGGTGAGCCAGCGTTGAATGCAAAATAGGAGATAACTTGGTCTCTGGGAAGTGTTGAGTAGTTCCATGTTCTTCTTCTCGAATTCGTCCTGCCGCTGAAACGCCCTGATTGTCACGAGGCCATCCAGTGTTTTGATCAGTTGCGTGTAAAGAGGCGCCTTGTACTCGATGTCCAGGAGACGTATCTGCCTGGAAGTGCGGAGGTAGAAATGCTGAATCGCATAAAAACACAATATAAGAAATGGCAACAGAATGGCAATGTATCGGGAAGCCACGGATATCATGACGAATTCCGCAAGGCCGAAAGCGACGCCTGTAGCAGAGATGGTCTGTCAGCACCTCCGGTGGCTCCGTCGTAGTTGGATGCATTCTGAAACGTACCAACAGCTAACCCGAGTGCTGTGCTGGGCAACTCCATGTCAATGAGCTGTAAGTCTTGGCTGAACCTATTGACGGTGATACCGCTGTCTGTGGCGACGTGGAAAGATAACGGGGCCCTGAGTGTGCTTAGCAAAAAAAGAACCAAAGCGGCAAACATATTGCTGATAGTCTGCACTCACTTGGCTGTCGTGTCTGCGAGAAGACTGTGAAAGCTAGTTCCGGAGTTGTTGATGATGTTGATGAAGAGTTGCCTGGGAGAAACCATGTGTCAGATACCGTTTTTTTCTTTTCTTTTCTTGAATAGGTACTGTAACGGCTTACCATGCCCCCAGTGCGACGGCAAGAACTGAGCCCACTCCAAGGGCCACATACACGCCGAGCCATTTCCCGAGATTCGAACTAGGACTCGGGTCTTCTGCCCACCATTTGAGCCAGATGTCTGTCCAAGGTGTTGATGGTCAGCCGCGTGGCGGTGTGGAAGCCCACTGATAACCTGACTTACTTGGAAAAGAGCTGCAAAAAGCAAAAACGACCATTGAGAGGACGAAGACCACAATTGGCCACCAGCCAGCAGATTTAGCGTAGAACAGGTAGACTGCCGAGTCACCCAGACGTCGGGTGGCCTTTGCCTGATATTCTATGTCAACAAGCGCTGTCTCGTTTGAAGGTACCGTTTCTCCGCCTGACTGCGCCACGTGTGTCCTCGTGTCTGATACACGATGAGCGATTCCTTTCATGCCCGCCTGCTGGGCTTGAATTTTCGAGGAAAGGTCGGCCGGGGTCCCGACCTCGCTGATCTGACCCTTGGCGCTGAGAAGCACCACTTGATCAGCATATGCCAGGCGTCGGGCTGTGGATAGTTAGCCATGATCAAAAGAGAGTATCCGGGGCGCTGTCACTGACCATCTGAAGAGGTGACGACTATTGTCATGTCTGCTAGCCGAAGGAGCCCTTGCTCTCCCAATAGGTTGTGGAATATGGAGTCTTCTGTCTCCGAGTCCAGGCCGCAAAATGGGTCATCCAAAATGACAAACTCCGCTTTGGAGTACACGGCTCGTGCCAAAGACTGTTGTCTGTCAGCATCGTTATGCGCAAACATCCAAGGAACATCATACCAGTCGGTGCTTCTGGCCCCCACTCATTGAAATCCCCATTGTTCCCACAACAGTCTCTTCTCCCTTCGGCCAGTCGTCGAAATCTTGCTCCAGACAGCACGCTCCTACCACTTTGCGGTACCAAGTTTCGTCAAAGTCTGCCTGACCGAGAATGATATTGGCCACTGTATCATTGGGCAGCCAAGCGTTCTGGTCACAGTAGCCGACTCTTGAGTAGTTGGCCCGAATGGTCCCCTCGAAACCTGAAACTTCGCCCAGGAGCGCTTTGAGTAACGTAGACTTGCCGCATCCGACAGGGCCAAGAATAAGCGTAAATGTTTTGGCCTGTATTCTCAAGTCGCCGATGTCAAGGACGGGCTCTGAGCCCTCCTCCCAAGAAAATTTCCCCTGGAGAGATGCGACAGTTTTCTCGTCTAGAAAAACCGCCGCGTCCTCAGTCGAATGTACTTGTTGAGATGCCGGTGTTTTTTCAGCAGAGTAACGATTCACGGCAAGTTTTCCACCCTCTGTAGAGTCGGTCTCTTCTTCCCTTTGCGGAAGCCTGTTGTCATGCCTTTCCTTGCCATTCAGGTAGTCTTGTACCCGCTGGAAAGAAGTCACGGATCCGGCCAGAATAGGGAGCGCAAGGATGACATCCGACAATGGCCGATTAACCAAGGTAAGCAGTGAATAGGCGGTAAAGGCTCGCTGGATATTCAACGTGGAGCCAGATTGTGCAGCAAAAACACAAAAGGTAAGGATGGGAGACCAGATGGGGATGCAAATCACTGGTTCAGGTTAGTGTCGAACCTGGGCCTGGAGAGAGCTGAAGACGTACTTAGCACCAATATCCCTCCGAGTAATTTTCTGTACCTTTCAGAAACCTCCAACTCTTTTGTTCTTAGGTCTCGAATCAAAGAGAAGACGAGATCGCTCAGACCTGTCATTTTGAGGGGCTTGATGCTACCGAGGACTTTGGACGTCGTCGTCACACGATCTTGAGACGCGCGGATCCAGTTTGCTTGCGCGTTTCCAATTTGCAAGGAAAGTATCGCCGTAACCAATAATACGACTATAGAAGGGGGGGTCAGTGTGCATGTTCTAGGGGTATCGCGGGCCTTTGGACTGGATTGGTACCGAAGACAATGGCCACGGGCATTGCACATGCCGATCCCAGTTGCCTGTAGATCAGGTATATGCCCACGGCGATTTCAACAAAAGCGCCCCAGATGTCGTGAAGGTAAACGACGCCTTGGGTTATAGTCTCGACATCGGTGGTGACCAAGGTCAAAGCACCCTCAGGACTCACGTCGGGCATTGTAGTGTCGAGGCGCAGCGACTTTTGGTAGACCAAACCGATGATACCTCCTCGCATGACCGACGCGGCCCGGTAAGCGCGCCATTCGTGCTGGCCCGTTGAGATCTGCAGATGTGCCACGGTTGAGATGTCTGATGCAGCCAGAGGAAGAATGGGGGAGAAACTGACAGCAATGCCTGTGTAGACTAATGCGTAGGCGCCTATCAAGCCGTACCCCGTGTTGTTTGCCGAACCACCTTGGGGCTGGGCGGCAAGGCCGATGCCTCGTTCGATGAGAAAGGGCTGTGTGTATGTGAAAGCAATCTGACAGAGCTTGGGAACGAATGCGGCCATGACCTGAGTAGCGAAGACCTTGAGCCATGTCATGTATAAGACGCCGCTAACGGTTTTGTCGGGAACTACATGCATAGTTTGAGCATCACTTGCGATAAGATGTCAAGCACAAGGGTATTTTATGGTGGGAGATTGTACCTACCCAGATCCCATGCATGACGATATGCGCGATATAAAGGCTCAGACTCCATGCCGGGCTCCAGGGGGTCCAAGTCTTGGAGACGCAGATTCTTCTGATATCCGCGGATGAAGAGCGATTTGAGCCAGAAGAAGGTGCTTCTGCTGAGTGTACCGGCAGTCGTTGATCTCGCGTATGCGCGGTACGCCGGGAGCAAAAGTGGTCGCTTCCCGACTGATTCCTGTACCAGCATCAAAAAGCGCAGTGCCAAGCTTACGGTGAAGAGGGCAGGTATGGCGGGTGGTGTCTCGGACATCCACAAGGTGCGGCATCGCGGGAGGTCGAGGAGGACTGATAAGAAGAGATAGGCAAACGGGATGAAGGAAGGCTTGACGTTGCGGTGGTGCTCGAGCCAAGTGAGGGCGCAGTAGAAAAGAGAGGCGACCAGCACTATAGCGGCGGACGGAATTGTGGCTGCCGTCTTTGGGTTGGCGGACGGGCCAGCCCAAAGGGCCAGGAGAGCAGTGCTGCAGGAGAAGACACACAGCGCAGAAGCCTAGGGGGAAAAGTCAAACAAGCGCGATGAGTAGATAAAGGGCTGACATGGAGACGATGGGAAAATGGTGCCGGGAAGTCAGTCGGACAGGGCAGCTCACCAATTTCAGTGTGCCTTGGACGTTGGCAACAGTCTTTCTGGTCATGGAGTACAGCTGGCCCATACGAATGGGCAACGCAAGAAGAAAGAGGCATTGCAGAGGGATGGTGAGAATGGACTCCTCGAACATCAAAGTGAAGTCGAAGCCACCGCGACAAGCGTCGCCGGCCCAAGGACCGAAGGACTGGTCGGGACATGCCAACGGTGGTTGCTGCGACATGGCGAGATAGCGTAGGTAGATGTGGATCCTATCCGGAGCAGGACCGGAGCCGGAACCGGGACCGACCGGGCCGTTCAACTGTGGAGGGACGAAGCCGAAGACGGGAAGAAGGAAAAGATGAGCAGGTTGGCGCACAGTCTTTCCCCCTTTCTTCCCTTTTGGGCGCGATTGCTGTAGTAGCAAACGGTGCTAGCCAATCGAATTGGGCTTTCAGTTGGCCAATCGGAGAATGTGTGGCAAACGGACTTGTGTCGGCGGCAACACAACAGAGAGAGAGAGAGGGCGGCAGACGAGAAAGAGAGAATGGAGCACAAGTACAAGGAAACGAGGGCGGGAGAGGGCAAAGACTCAAGAGGCACAAGAACAGTCTGCTGCCGACGGACTCAGAGGGCAGCTGTCAGACAACAACCTTCCAACGTGTACCGCAAGCCTGCGCCTCACCGATGCTGATTTGAGGACGGCACATCACAGCACAGAGTATGCGTACTTATTCCACACTCATTTGTGGTGGTTGCAAGACAAAGTAAAGTACCCTGTAATTGTAATTATCCGTACGATGTAGGCGAGACACACCGAGTGGGTCGGACAGTAAGCCGGTGGAACGACTTGGTGAGAGTACGTACCGCGAGCACGTGTTTGTGCTCTCGTTTACGGGGTAGGGATGCAGGGATGCCTGTCGACCCCACCTCTCTGCATGTCCAGTAGAGGTATTTTAACACTTGCCCCCGCGCCCCTGTGGGTATTTCTGTACGTAAGCTGCACATATCTACGTACCTAGCCTTTGAGGTACGTACACGCCGTCCCGAGCCGTGCCATCTAGACTCCATCTATCAAAGGTGCTACACAGCAGACCTAACGTACCCCCTCCTTATCTAACTCAATATAGGCCTACTTACAAAACTTACTTAAGCTTAAGCTAATAAGAAAGACATATTAGATAGGTAGGCTTGAAAAAAGTAATAAAAAAATCTCTAAAGAGAGGTGTTTTACTATAGGTAAGAGGGGGGTGTGTTATGTCAGCTGTAACCTGCCATCAAGGCCGTGCCCACTCAGCCAGACTTGAGATGCACTCATCCAATGACACACCCCACCCTACCTAGGAAGGTAGAGAGAGGATGGAGGATGGCGATACTACTCCAAGGCTTACCTGTCTAAGCACTGTCTACTCTTGCCATACACTTCTTGTGATTTCACCAGTCCATCCGATCCTCAATCTGACGCCATGCATCCAAAGATGAGGCGTTGATGGCAGGTGACGTATAAGAGAAGGTATTGCGTTCATCAGCCAATGTCCAAAGGTTTCCCCCAGCCGGACTTGACTCGCCATCCGGACGTTCACGTCTACGCTCATGTTACCTTGTCATCCCATGATGTCTGCTCTTATGCCGGCCCACCGCGCAGCCTCTGTGGCTGCGTCTCTGGTCCGCCTGCCAGCAAATGGGCTGCGGCATCCCCTCGCACTGGCATCGCGACAATACCGTACCCAGACCCAGACCCAGCCCCAGGCTCATTCTCAGCCAAAAGCCGGTACCATCCGTCAAGCCCCCGCTCGAGGCGCCGCCACCGCAGCTGCTGCTGCCTCCACCAGTCTCCCGGCCGCCGCCGCTATCCCTCACCTGTCCCGAGCTTCCATGTCGGAACCCGTACCGGTTTCGACGAGAAGCCCTCAGCTGAACTTGCCGGCGCAGGCCTATAAACCCGATTTCTACAACGCCATATCCACCATCATGCAGCTGCGCCACAGGTACATTGAGGACCGCGTTCTCTTTGTTCCTGGACGAGAGATGGCTCGCCTCCTCAAGCAGCTTGGCGCCCGAGACGAAGACTTCTCATCACTGCAGACCGTCAGCGACAACCTCGTCGGCGACCCGACCCTTCCCTACCGCAAGACGCGCAACGGCCGCTTCTGCCTTGACTTCGATGCCGGTACCCTCCACCGCCTCGAGTTCCAGCCCTTCATTCTCTCAAAGGCGGAGGACTTCAGCCGTTACGACTCGGACAAGGTCCGCCATTTTGACGAAGTCGAAAATAATCTCCAGCTCAATACCGTCTTCCAGGCCCTTATGGTCTTCAAGTCCGCCATCTATCACGGCGTGCGCTCCTTGCGCCGCCCCAACATGGACTACAAGACCAACAAGTGGATTTGCACCCTCTTCTCCGTCCGAACCACCACCACCCCAGAGCGCCTTGGCGAGCCCGCCCTCGAGGGCGTCCACACGGACGGCGTCGACCATACCATGACCACTTTCCTCGGCAGCCGTAACATGCGGTCCGAAAGTGCTGTAACCTACGTCCACGACATGAAAGAAGTCACCGGTGTTCGCTACACCGAGGCCTCTCCCGACCACATCAAGGGTTGCGTCCACCACCGCCATTTCCTTGACACCATGATTGTTGTCGACAGTGAACGCAAGCACAGTCTGTCACCCGTATACGCAGTCGATCCTAGCCGACCGGCTACCCGCGATATGCTCGTGTTCTTCAGCCGGAAGCCCACTGTCGCCGGCCATGTGTCTGCAGACATGGATTCTCTTACACCCCATAAGAACTTGCCCATGGAAATACCCGTTTTTGTCCCTTCTTGGCCCCGTGGCCCTGGAGGAACACGGGTGTGAAAAGAACAGCTCAAAGAACAGTCGAGTTCCACAATGACGTCAAAGGGCCGTTACATATCAGGCGCACCTCAGATGCTCCTCGTGTCTATAAGGATTCTCGTGTCGTATAATACACGACTTCCAACATGGTGTAATTATAACAAAAGCGATACATAGATGCGCTACTACAAGGCTGGTTTTTTCAGTACAACACGGGCAAAAGCCACGACGATAGGTAGTGAGTCAGATATACTTCTTACTCTAAATCAAGTGAAGGATACATTCGAAAAGCGCTCATGGCTGTGAATCTTGCCACTTGAGATCTGTAGACAAACTCTTGACCAAGTGGGATTGTACGTGTTGATAGCGAAATTATTCCGTCTATCTCTTCCTCGATTTTGTTACAATCGCATCTCTTAGCTTGCACTACCGTCAGTATCAAAATGTGACAAGTTAAAGCGCACAGCAAGGCATCGGAAAGTGAAGTGTAAGTGCTTGAATCTAGAAAAGGTATCTGGTGGGCTAGTCCCACAGAGCCCATAGAAATACTGTTCTGATGCTCCATCATGTGACATGTCACCCAGCGCACATACCCATTCAAATCAATCAAACAAATCAGTCAAACAAACAGTCAAATATAGGAATTTCAGCGAGTCAAACAATCAAATATCGTGAGGCCCTATATTTGATATATTTGATCAAATATGAGGTCGCCCGGAAAAAGGAAAATCCGGGGCCGGGCTAATCAAAAATCGATGCTACCAATCATGCCCCACAGAAGTTCGTCATTGGCAACATTAATACCCATAGTGGGATTCGAACCCACGACTCCTCACTTACGATTGTAAGTTCGGTATTATACCACTTAACTATAGTTATGGATTGCTAGTATGTATTACGTTAACAAGAAATGCCTGAGTAGTACAGAGCGCTGGATTTGGCATCCTACAATGTCCAGGAATCAAAAAAACCTCCGCTAGTCAACTGGTGCCCCCTTTTCTCAACATCAACAAAACCAACGAAGTTACGCACTACCACTTCCAACCCTTTGCGACCACCACAATTATCGTCAAAATCAATTAATTATATATCAATCGATTCGCCATATCGTAATTAATTGATTGGCAATGAGTCGTACGGTCTTTGGCGCGCCGCAGCTACTTTGGATTACCTCGTAGCTATAGGCCCTAACCGACGCCAGTCTCGCATTATCGACCGGCCTCGATACTCGCGATAACCTCCTTGCCCTTCTAAAAGCCTTTTGGAAAGGGAGGACTTTCGTTAACGACGATTTGATATCACAGAAGGGCGTAAGGCCAAGGAAGTCGTGGATCCGCTTAGAGGGGGTCTTTGCTAGAGAGATCTATCATGGAAATATTCGAGGCGAAGTCTTCTGGTTTTGTCGTCGTTGCGACGAAACAGGTCTATTACCTGCTTCAAAGCAATAGCTACGAGCTCAGCGACGACTCACTTAAGGTCAAAGTAGCGAGTAATGGATCCAAGCTCCAGCGAGTCACCACATCCATCAGAATCCTCAGAGTACGACTCTGCGCCGAAGAGACGGAAATTTACCTCTAGTACTGTCACGAAGGGCCAGGTAACGAGAATTGAGGAATTGGTAATCGGATATATTATCAATAATAATAGCCTATTTATAACTTTCTAGGATCCTTACCTCCGGGCCTGTGTTACGGCCAGCTAGTCGTAGGGGTAGTTTGCAGAAGTTGAGGCTGCGGAACTGGTAACAGTAATCGTAGTCGGGGATAGCTTCAGGGAAGCTATGTCTGTCAATCGTAAGGGTGGGTAAGGCTTCGGTGATCAATCGTAGTCTTGTCAAGGTAGTAGCTGAAAGCGGATGTTAATCCTGATACGAAGTTAATTGCTGAAGAGCTATGGAAGTCTGTCCTAGAGTCCAGCTCAAGTCCATCCTTATATACAAGTCCTGATCCTGAACATGTCCCTTGTCCCTTGGGTCGTCTTGGGTCATTCTGATCCAGAATGATCGTTTAGCCCCCAAGTCGTGTTGGATCATATTGATCCCAAATGATCCTTATCTTATCATCACGTGACTTGTACCATAGTTCTTCCGTTCCGTGAGAGGGTGCCTTGTGTCCCCTTGTCCTGTGCATGTATGGCGTATCGTAACCGTCGTAAGCCTGCGGGGCAGGCCCTGTTCTTGGTCGTGCATGTTGGGTCGTAACAGCCTGTTACGGCCAGCTAGTTCTAGGGGTAGTTTGCAGAAGTTGAGGCTGCGGAACTGGTAACAGTAATAATCGAATATAACAATTAGATGTAATAATTAGATGATTATTACACTATGTCGAATCGGTCTCGATTAGGGAAGGCTTCGGTGATCAATCGTAGTCTTGTCAAAGAGGTTCTTAGGGAAGATAGCTAAAAGCGATCATAAGATCTGATACGAAGTTAATTACTGAAGAGCTATGGAAAGTCTGTCCTAGAGTCCAGCTCAAGTCTATCCTAATATACAAGTCCTAATCCTGAACATGTCCTTTATGCTAGAAAGTGTCTTTGTTTGGATATGTTGGATCGCTCATATCCTGGTTATCCAAGGATCGCTTGGATAGCTCATATCCCACATATCCTTATCTCTTATTATCACGTGACTTGTGCCATAGTTCTTCCGTTCCTGGGGTTTCTCTGATGTTCCGTTCTAGCCTGCATATATGGTGCGCTGTAGCCGCCGTGGTCCTGCGGGGCAGGCCCTGGACTTGGTCATGCATGTTGGGTCGTAACATAAGGGCCCGCCAAACGCTAGGTCAAATATCTAGGAATAGCGTTACATAAATGCGTAGATATACGAGGAAGGGCTGCTTAGACTATAACGTACCCTTAACGTGGTTGATAAGCGAGTGGATCAGACAAGCGAGTGGATCAGCCGACCGCGACCAACATATCTTCCACCCTTCATAGGCGTTACGCCACAACCAAGCATGTCATCACAAAGTAATGAAGGCCAGCTAACCTTAGCGGTTCAGGCTATCAAAACGACACCAAATCTTAGTATCCGAGCGGCATCCCGGATCTACTCAGTACCCTTCTCAACCTTACGCCATCGTCTAAGGGGAAAGTTATCACGACGCGACACTATGCCTAGATCGCGGAATTTGACTACGCTTGAAGAAGAGAAGCTAGTTGAGTATATTCTCGACCTAGATTCCCGATCATTCCCTCCCCGCATTAGAGGTGTGGAAGAAATGGCTAATCGACTGCTCGCCGACCGCAACGCGCCCCCAGTTGGGAAGCGCTGGGCTTCGAACTTCGTCAAGCGACAACCACAGCTCCAGACGCGCTTTTCTCGCAAGTACGACTACAAGAGGGCCCAATGCGAAGATCCAAACGCCATAAACGCGTAGTTTCGCCTTGTGGCGAACACAATCGCGAAATATGGTATTGTGGACTCTGATATCTATAACTTTGATGAGACTGGGTTTATGATGGGCCAGATTGCATCTGGGATGGTCGTCACGAGCGCCGAAAGGCGTTCAAACACGAAAATGATGCAGCCTGGTGACCGTGAATGGGTTACAGTCATTCAGGCCATTAGTTCGTCGGGCTACAGCGTCCCGCCGTATATCATCGTTGCAGGCCAATATCACCTCTCCACCTGGTACACGGAAACCAATCTCCCACGCGACTGGGTCATTGCAACGTCTGACAACGGATGGACAACAAACGAAAGAGGCCTAGATTGGCTCCAGCACTTTGATCGGCATACAAAACTGCGTGCAACTGGCAGTTATCGCCTCCTCGTCGTCGATGGGCATGAAAGTCACCACGCTGCCGACTTCGAGATATATTGCAAGGAAAACAATATCGTCACACTCTGTATGCCGGCCCATTCGTCTCATCTGCTTCAGCCCTTAGACGTTGGGTGCTTTGGGCCACTAAAGACGGCTTATGGTCGACAAATTGAGGATAAGATGCGCCGGGGTAATACGCATATTACAAAGGAAGACTTCTTCCCTGCGTTTCGCGAGGCTTTTGCCCAAGCTATTACGGAAAAGAACATTCAGGGAGGTTTCAGAGGGGCTGGGCTTGTCCCTTTGAGTGCCGAAAGTGTGCTTTCAAAGCTTGATATCAGGTTACACACTCCAACACCTCCAGGATCCCTCCCAACAACACCCCCTGCGTGGACTTCTCAGACGCCAAACAACCCAACAGAAGCATCTTCTCAGTCTGAACTCATCAAAAGGAGGATCTCCCGCCATCAGAATAGCTCACCAACTTCAATTATTGAAGCTGTTGAGCATCTATCAAAGGGGGCGCGTGGATTTATGCACCAGATTGCGTTATTAAGGTCTGAGAACAAAATCCTTCGTGAGGAAAACAACCTACTAAGCCGGCGCCGGAGGGCTAAGAAAACACGTCTCAGACAAGGAGGAAGTCTTACTATAGCTGAGGCTGAGGACCTTCAGTCGCAGAGAGAAGCAACAGCTCAGATCGAGGAGGAAACACGCCGGAGTAGTGGTCGCCGACCGAGGACCGAGACGGGCCAACGGCGATGTGGCGTCTGTGGGAACACTGGTCATAATGCACGAACATGTCAATTTGCTGAAGAAATGTCTGAAGAAGAGGATCTTAAATAGTTTCAATTGAATTACTTTTCTTAGTGCTGCGTATCGGTCGCAAATGTGCTGTGGTCGCGGTCGGCTGATCCACTCGCTTGTCTGATCCACTCGCTTATCAACCACGTTATATATTCAAGGGGATTATTAGTACCTTTGGCATACGCAGAATACATAGGCCATATAGGTACTAGAACCCTAGTGGTTAACTCAATAGATTCACAACCCCTGATTGGCTCTACCCCGCCCTTGGCAAAAATGGCGTCAAGCAGCACTCGATGGGATACCAGCCCCCTTTTATTTTCTATTGTGTATGATATTGATGAGAAGAGGCGTTTCTAATAAGTGAACCAGCACAATGTACTTTGGCTATGAAGTGAGAGGGGAAGTTGGCTTTCAGCTTTTGGAACCACGCAGAGAGACCGACATGCTAGTCCACCGTTATACCCAACACGACAGCAAGTGCGTCTTTGAGCTCCCGTGCCGACCTATCCTCTTCTTCCTTCAGGTCTTCCTCAAACCCGCCACCGTAGCCAAAGTATTGCCTGATGCTGCTCAGGTAAAAGACACAGTCCAACATGAACAGAGACCATCTGGACCGCAGAACCTTCAATATGGGCTCTCGCCCACTAGCTTCCACCGAACGCATGGCCGCGAGCCCGATGAGTTTGATGCGATTGACTGGCGAGCCGAGGAATCGGTTGCTGCCTTGCACCAGGCCGAGATTCCGCTCCAGGAAGACCAGCTCCGGCGGCCACAGCCCGTCGGTTCCGAAGTAACCAGCAGCTTCGGCAATCATGCGCTCCTCGCGCTCCTCCGGCGTCTCGTCGCTACGCGTCTTGTCGAGGTTCTTGGATCTCATGGTGAAAGCATCGGCCCATGGTTCCGGATCCTGCATGCCCCAGGCTTTTGAAACACTGGTCAAGGTCTCTGTGTCCTGTGTGAGGAGGCCCTTCCAAAATTGGGCGTACTGTAGTCGCAGGTTGTCTGCGAGAGTGATGTAGAGACCGTGGTCGAGGAGAACGATCTGGGGCTTGCCCGAAGGCGTGCGCCGCACAAATATGTTACCAGGGTGGGGATCACAATGAACAAATCCGTAGCGAAACATCTGGGCCGAGAAGAGCTCGATGACAGTCTCCATGACGTCGCCCAGCTTGAGACCCAAGCCGCCGCCCGTCGGCGTATAAGGCGCCGATATACCGTCTTTATCCCACAGATTTAGGCCGTGAATCCATTCTGTCGTCAGCACGCGCTTCGAACTCAGCTCGTGGTAGACCTTGGGGATGTGGACATGGTCGCGGAGCCGTGGGTCATTGCGGATGAAGCTCGCAAGGCGCTCTGCATTGGATCTTTCATGCTCAAAGTCGGTCTCTTCCATGACGTGGTTCACGAGGAAATCCCCAAGCGATTGCATGGGAATCTCGGTTGCTTCGGCGGTGAACTCAATCATGCGCCTGTGAAAGTCAGATAGAGGAGCATCAGCCGCTGTGGCAGGGCCTGACAAGAGCGTGCAAGCAAGGCAAGCTCGGTTTGGACCGCGCCAGATATAAGCAGCGGAGCAGGGGGTGTAACGTACTTGAGCGTCGACAGATCAGACGACACCTGAGCGGCAATCTGTCTTCGTTGCACTTTGATAGCAACTTCTTGACCGTTCGACAGCCGTGCATAGTGAACTTGGGCAATGGAAGCCGCCGCACGAGGTTCAGGTTCAAAAGTAGGGCCGAAGAGCTGCTCGACACTCTGTCCAAAGTCCTCTCGAATGACGGCCTCGACGTCGGACCAAGGAGACGGCGTGGCCTCGTCGAACATTTCGGAAAACACGCGCTGGTAGTGGTCGGGTAGAACACTGCCCTGCATGGCGATGGCCTGACCAGCCTTGAGGTAAAGGCCGCCATTGCGCTTCAGCATGTCGCAAACGCGACGAGCGTTGCGGTCATGGAGGGTGTCGACGGAGACACCGGAGATGTATGGGTTGCTTCCAAAGTGCAGTTTGTAATCGAGGCCGACGAGGGCCATGGTCCCGTAGGCCCTGACACTGCGCATCCCCACACTCCCCAGATAATACCGGTCAGCAGCATATGCCGTAAGAGTGATGCCGCCGAGGAGGTACATCAGTTTCCGAATAATGCGCTTCGGCTTTCTCGGCACCCACGGGGTATTAGCCGGTTGAGACGGGGCCGGTCCAGTGCCCAGGGTTACGCGGGAGCTAGTGCCGAAAGATCTGACATGGTGTCGAGCTGGTCCAAGAGGGTCTCCAAAGGAGAATTGTGGACAACTAAACGACTGTAAGGGCGACAAGCAGCCGCCAGATATCTGCGAGAGGTGTAATAAGGATCTGCGACGGAGGACGGCCTGGATAGGCACCGGCCCCAACCGGCAAAGAATTGGCTGGTACATGGTCGAGGCCCGGTTATCAAAACCAATTGTCGTCTTCAGAGCGCTTGCAGGAGAGCAGAAGGAGGATGAAAGAAAGGAGCAAGACACGGAGGGGATGGGCGGATGGATGGGTGAATGGAAAGTGACATGCGAGGTGAGAGAAAGGGTACGGCACGCAGCCTTAACCAGGGTGAACGTCAAGACAGTAAGCAAAAGTGGTGTGTTCAGAAATAGACCTGTCAGACAGTAAGGTAACCGAGATGGGTCAAGGGTCTGTGGGGAAGCCAGGGAGCGTGAGAGAGGGGGTGGCACAGTAGCTGCAGGATTCGGATTGTGCAAGTTTGCCTAATGGATGAACACAGGTACCAGAAACGGAGTTCAGATGGCGCTGTTCGTGCCTAGCTTACGGATTCTTCCCCGGTATCAGGCTAAAGTTTAACTTTCCTGATAGTTACCTAGGTGCACGGATGGTCATACAAGGTCGTTCTTCAAGGGCATCGAATCTATTGTACACATTAGGTACTTCTTCTATCATTGAGAGTCTCCTATGAGGCGGGCCATGAGTCCACACGATCTGATTAGCTACTTGAACGAATACCCGGCCATACCTACTACTATTGGTGTACAATAGCCGTCCCGTCTCATCACGGCCAGGGTGTCTCACACTACTCACTACTGCTTACCTTGGCAGCTTAGAAGCTACCAATGTGTAGCATCTAAAGCCACCCCTCCACTCTTTTTGCCACTCAGCGGCCCGCCTTACTCTGCAGGCTACCCTTTGGGACAGGCTGCTGCCGTCCCGTAAGGCTGACAGCCGCCACATCCGTTTCCTCCCGGTATCTTGTAGTGTCTGCGCCTATGGGATTGAGACTTAGGAGCTGGTTCCAACCAGGAACGGAAGACAACATTCAGCTACATCAGCTCTGTGCCGCAGTGATCCGAGTCTGGTTGGTTGTGCGGCAATCGGCATAGGCTTGGTGTTCCAAATAGGGTGCCGGGATCCAATTTAGGCTCTTGCGCTGTCAGAGCCGCCATAACCGGGAAGCACTAGTCGGTATTCTTGATTGGTTGATTAATCATTCGAACTAGTTATACAGTATAGTCAAACCCTATCAAGGTAGATACTAAGTCAACCTACCCACTTTTGGCCACCACATCAAAGTTAGTCTCAAACCATCACCACCAACTACACTCAATTAATTAACTACCTTCTAATGCCACTACAATATAGTCACTACCCTCACTAGGTAATTCAACCCTTACGAGTCGTCTGGGACTAACAAGATGGTCGCCAGAGTCCTCCTAAGCCCTCTTTATGTCCCTAATGTTCGTAAACTTAGTATTTAGGTGTTACGAGCTGGACAAGGCAACCAACTGTGGCACAAAGCAAAAGCTTCGATAATGATGACTCCGGCATCATTGTCCCTTGTTCTGCATTATATAGCTACGCGCCCACAGTGACAAGTTGCGGCGGGCGTAACATTAGGTTGGTTTAGATAGTCTTCTTTTTCCTTAGAGCTATGCGGTCAATTCGAGCCTGGAGAAGTCGGCTTTTATACTCTAATATGGCCAATAGGTATTCCTTCTCGCCAAAGCCCTTTTTTATCTTTCTAAATAGTATTCGTTAAGTATTGCTGTCTAGACTGAGCTCTATGAATAGCTTCAAGTGCTGGCTGAGTACCCCAGCCTTCCTAGGAGTCGTCTAATTAATAATAGACGTCGCTGATATCTTGTTAACGAGTTCCTCTGGCTTGCTAGTCACTGCCTGACCCTCTACGGTATTGTTTAATGGAGTAGCAGGGTTGGGGAGCATCAGTGGGTTCACAAGTGGTATGCCCATATTGCCTGGCCATAGACCACTTGCTTTCCAACCATTTCGTATGTTTAACGCCGTCAGACTAGTAATTCGAGCCTTATAGTAACAGTACAAGAAGTGCCGCTTTCTAACTATAGTAGAATTATCCAGGATTTCGTGGTTTCCGAGCTCCTTCTTATAGTGAGACTTAACTAGTCTAAAAACAGCCACATCCAGGGGCTAAAGGACATAAGAGGTATATAGAGGCAAGAAGAGCAAGTAGGCGTTCTTAATATAGCACTCCTACATATATTCAGTCGTCGTATAACTCCCATGCCCGTCTAGAATCAACAGTCGAGGCTCCTTTTGCCCTCCTGGCCTTCTAGAAGGAGGTGGCTCAGTCAGGGGCAGAAACACCTTTCTCAACCACTCAAGGGCAGTCTCGTCGGTAATCTATCTATTGTCCGTCGTTATGAACTCCTAACTATCATACAGGTTAAGTTAAAGGGGAAACCACTACTATTAGACTGACTTTCCCTGAAATATGACCAGTCGTTTAATAGATCTACCACTAGCAGAGATACACTCGATAATCGACACCCAGGCACGAGAACCAGGCTCTTTTTTCCGTACTGCTCTGGTCTCTACCATGCCCAAGACCAACCCATTAGCTCCCTTGCCCTCCAGGATACCAGTCTCGTCCATATTATACCTATTGGCTTGTTTAATACCCCTGATCTCTGGTATTAAGTATATCGAATAGTTAGAACTAGGGCCTAATCACCTCAGTAGTTGCTCCATTAAGACGTCTAGAATCGATAGTTCGACTTCTCTAGACCTTAACTGAGGGATTCCTTCGCAGGAAGGCATCAATCTATCGCTTACCAACAGGGTTAGGGTACAGCCTACTTACTCGAGGCCCAATTAACCGAGGTACCGTCTATAATAGCATTAAAGGCCCAATTAACTTCATTTTCGGTATATAAGACTATTATATACTAGTAAATAAGTATGCCAGAGAAGATTGTGTTTGGACGAAAATTGCAATTGTTGTGGTTGTTTGAATAATAGGGGTAGGATAGTAATGAGGTGGCTGGGAGGGATTTTTGGGGTGGCCAAAAGGGGGGGTGGCCAAAAGGGGGGGTGGCCAAAAGGGGGGGTGGCCAAAAGTGGGTAGGGTAGGTTGACTTACCCTCCCATTTCTCACACCCGTCGGGCAATGATGTCGAGACCAACTGGCCCCTTTCTCCGGGACCTTGCCCAAATAGATGAAATTATAAGGAATCATAATTCGTGTGCGTAACATGATTTGTGATTGTCAAATCTCATTACCTACTGCACGTTGTACCCCCGCGTCTGCCACTAGTCTACAGGCACATCTCGAGTAACCTCAGGAGTTCTCCTTTTGGCATCCTGCCAGCACAGTGCATCAGCAGGATGCTACCCAAAGCCGCGTTCGACCGCGCGCTGTCGTTTGCTACCAGGGCTGAGTTCAGGGCCCACAGATTTGGAACCTAGAATCGTTCGACTCGGTCAGCGAGATGTCTGCTTCTGCCTGTGTCTTGGCATCCACGGTGTTCGTGAGATCGCCCAACAGATGACAGCGCTTACCAGATCCTGCACCATCCTTCTGAGCCGAAGACAGATCTTCTCTCTGTCGCCGCCTTCCATCATCGGCTGTATGTCGGTCACCAGTGCTGTGCGTACCGATGCTCCTTCTGACGTTAGCATCGTCTCGGCGATCTTCAGCAGCTCTTCGTAAAACCCTCGCCTCTCCCAGACGCTCCACTCGCTTGCCCTGTGAAAAACGTCAGATACCACCCGAGGCAGCCTTCGGTTCCGGCTAAGTCTCTGTTCGTTGGCTAATGGCGACGACTCGCCGAGTTGCTCGCCGTAGTACGCCATCACCAGCTCGTCGAAGCTACCAAACCCCGTTGCCCTTGCCTGCTCCATGACACTTTCCAGACGCTCCTCCAGTGGTGCGCTCTTGTTTGGCATCGCGTGAGAGTCCTTCTCCCCAGTCGCAAGCCTTTTTTCAACCGCCTTGTTTGGCCCCGATGACACGCTTGATCCAGGTGTTTGTGGTACACCGCGCTGGCCCGGCTGATGCCGAGAAACCCCGTAAAAGACACCGTCAGACTGGGAACTTTTTGCGATTTGGTCAAATTCAAAATACATTTCATCGTCATTGACGGGCGAGAAAGTGACGCTGCTGGATGGGGCTGGCGTCATGATGTTGGCAGGAGCAGCATTCGTTGCCGCAATCTGCAAAGCCTCGGAAGACGTCGCGATATGGGCTGATAGGTGTCAGTCAGCATAACTATAACGGGGCACAAATGCTTCAATAGACAAGATGAACCACGATGGGGCGATAGGGGGGAATGGGGTGCGTGCCTGTGCGCCCATCATCTTGGGACTGTGCATCGGGCAACGGCGTCTTCTCCCGTGTCGTCTTCAACTTGTCCAACATCTGGGACTGCATGCACAAACATTTAAGCATAAAATCCTGTGACATGTCCCCAGACCACTCGCCGCCATCGATGTCTGTGGCCGGGGCCGCTAGATGCTCCGGGGACATCAAGCCGCCTCCGAAAAAGACTCCACCGCCGCAGTCCATGGCCGTGGAACGAGGCTCTTGGTTGATATTAAGTATGTCGAACTGCGCCAGAGTTGACTTCTCTGTTGTCGAGTACAGGTGTGATTGGTGTGAATTTACCGTAGGCATCATGGTAGAGGAAGCGTATGTTATTGTATCGCCTGTGACACCACTGTTGTTGGGTAATGGATCGGGTACTGGCACTGGATTCTGATCCCGCTGTGTTTCGTGATACTCGAGTCTATCCTGCAGCATCTTGATTCTTGCCTTCATGCGGTGGCCTGAATCATGTTAGTAAGTTTAGGGATGTGGAGCATAGTGCCAAAAACAAAACACGTCGGACATGTGCAACTAACGGTATATCCGCTGAGCAACTCTGTTTTGGAGTTTTTTCTTCTCCTTGCGATTTTCTATGCCCGTCCAATCGTCTTCCGGGGATAGTTTGCTCACGCCTGGCAAAGAGTATGGCCTTGGATTCATGGTTGAAGTCGTGTCCGTGCCCGTATCGTATTCCCTAGTCTGGGTCATGTTGTCCAGGTATATTATGTAATGCCGAAATAGGTAGATGGAGATAAGATCCAAGAAGAGTAACCATGCAAGTGAATAGGCTACAAGAGAAACAAAGTGTCTATCTGACAGTCGCTGAGCAACAGTTCTCGCAATCTTTCTACTGGATTGACGATGGAGTGAGGTGAGTAATATATGTACGCAGCCTTGCTTAGTGAATCGACCGCGCTTAGAGCAAGAAGGAGCAAGAAGCTTTATCTTGCTATCATCGAACGGTAGGAAGTTCGCTGCGGACGGCTTAGCGCCTAAGCATTTCAGAGGCACATACTGTTCCTACGGAACTTGCGAGGGCATGGTGGCCAAGTTCCCTCAAGGTGGTGCACTTAGCAAGAACAGTTGGGGGCGGGAAGAATCCCGCTTTGCAGGATGGACTAGGCTGCCGAGTTGTTACCGCACCACGAAATGGAGGTTCAGCGATCATTTGGAGGGGGGTTGGAGGGGGGGCCATACGCAGTAGGTACCGTTTGATACTTGCATGCTTTTCATGTTACTCGTATCGGGAAAGGAAATTGTTCTTTGCCTATTTCATCTGGATTACGATAGCTTCCACTCAGCCGAGCCCCGTCAGGTTCATCCGATGTAAGCAGTCTCATTACCTCGTCCCATTTCTTGTTCGATAGCTACTTCCAATCAGAGAGGAAGCCAAAGTTGCTCCCACCATTGCCTGAATCTATTGGCTGACTGCAGTTATACAGGTGGGAAATGTTGTGGCCAAACAGCCTTTCCTATGCACTGTCGACAGTGGAGTGTAACTCTGTTCTGGTCAGGAGTACATCGTAGGAATCCGGGAGCCACACACGTGCTCCAGAAGGCATATCAGCCCTTTCAATGACCGGAAACTAGCCAATCCGTCTTCCGTCTTTGCAAGGTTCCTTGCTTGCTGACCAGGATTCATTCTTTGCCATCCATGCCAAGAACAATCCTCTGACCGGTCACATAATTAGTTTCGTCTCCAGGGACATGATTTCTACCTATTCCTCTGTTGATCGCAGCCGAGCTTGAGTACGTTTCATATTGGTTACCGTTCGTGGGCGGGTCAAGGTCACCCCTGTTCCTGCATCAGTCGCATCGTCACTCCCATTCATCTATTAGACCACCCCCCTCCCCCTCCCCCCCTTATGGGATATCTCTGAATGCAGGAATGAGCAGATTGACTGGCTCCTTGCATCATCGTTGCCTAGCCTACCGGTACGCACCTATTGATTCCAGATTTATCCAGATGTTCTAGCCCTCTAGATCCTGGAAGCAGATATTAACAGCTCCGTGATGGTGTTTTGAAGTCCCTCCTGCCAGATTACTATGTTAGACTGTTACGAGCAGGTCAAGACAACCAACTGTGGCACAAAGCAAAAGCTTCGATAATGATGACTCCGGTCATCATTGTCCCTTGTTATATATATATAGCTACGCCATAACAGGACCATCTATATAGGCCGTAACATAGACCTAACCAGAAATCTAGTATAACAATATTCGAACTTAAATATCTAACTATAATTACGATGTAATTATGACTACTATATATACTATAACTACTAGTTAAACTACTTGAACTTATAGTTATATTGTTCTTAACTAGTTATAAGGTTTTATATAATTATAATGTTACGCCCGCCGCAACTTGTCACTGTGGGCGCGTAGCTATATAATGCAGAACAAGGGACAATGATGCCGGAGTCATCATTATCGAAGCTTTTGCTTTGTGCCACAGTTGGTTGCCTTGTCCTGCTCGTAACACCCAACCTCTATTTACGAGGCTATTAAACGACTTTTTAAAGGTATAAGAGGTATTGTATATTAAGTAGCCTTACTTAGGTCTAAGGTATAGCCAATTCCTTAAAGAAATATCTAAAGATAGGGATTATAAGTAGTTTAAATTAAATTGATGCTGTCGAAGTTAATATAGAAGCCAGTTTATCTTATCGGCACAGTTTTCTATCTCACTCGCTTATCATTCACGTTATCCTATATTTATGTATTTAACTATAATATTTTAAACTGTATTAAAATAAAGTAGTTAGTTTGTTTTATTAAAACAATTTACTACTTAATGAAAGGAAAGTAACTTAGTTATAGCTTTATAATAGTAAAAATTAGTTTGTTTAAAATACACTTAACTATATGAAATAACACTTTCATAATAGTAATGAAAAATATATAGCTAGTAGGTTTAACGATTAGAACCTAGATCTTGGGTATTTTAAGTAGTAGTTATTGATAATAGTTCTATAATAAAAATAGTATTCTTATAAAGATAGTTACTAGCTAAAGTAGTAGGTTGCTAGTAGTGATAAATAGTAGTAGTAGCTGTAGTGAGTAGGCTGTTAATTGAAGTACTGAAAGAGGTTTATTAATTTACCTGCTCCCCTAAATCCTCCCGGGTTGCTAGGGCTAGAATGCGGGATACATGCACTAACCGATTAGATGGATGATCTACTTATTGTCACGGGCTGGAGCCCGGTTGAGATCTCCGGCCTTGCCGGAGCCGCACGTACACCCCTCTGCTGGGAAGCTGTCCGACCGCGACCTGTAATAACCGATTATTACATTGGATTATTACATTCGGGTATGCTGCAGGCCGGAGCCACTATTCTGCCGCAGTATACCGCCGAGTACGGGCATACCATGCCGTAGCTATACGCGAACCCCTGTAATTCCTCCTTTTCCTCCTCAGCTTAGAATAGTTAATCGACGGCACCTCTACGTTGAACAAGCCTAGGGGCCAGCCCCTTACACTTATTACTGTCTGGTTCACTGTTAATGACGTATTATTGAAAAGCCCGATTATAACCCCACATTGTCAACCTTAACCACACTACTTACCACAGCCGTCCATTCCCTTACGGAACCCCTCTAATCTTCAGCATAATAAATAACGCTCTTCCTCTATATATAATGCGCGCTCAAGAATGACCATATCAAACCTAGTTTCTCTTCAGTACAACATCGCACAGTCCGAAATTTAGTTTCTTGAGCTGTTCGCAGGATGCCGCAAGACTCAGTCATGACGGCAAAAGCGGCAGATGTCGTGGCCGACGACGAAATGGCGTGCCAGCTCGACAAGATGTGTATTGGCCCAAACCCATTAACTGGTGAGACACTCTCGTACGACATGTCTTTCGTGGCTGACTAGGCTTGAATCTGCCTCCAGGTATTCCCGAGTTTACCTCATTTCACGAAGAAAGGAAGCATATCCTCTTGCATATGGCCGCAGTCTTTAGAAACTGGGCTCGCATCGGCTTTACCGAAGGTATCTCAGGCCACATCAGCGTCCGCGACCCTGAGCATGAGAACTGCATCTGGATGAACCCTATCGGTAAACACTTTGGCCTCATGAACGCAAGTGATATGGTCTGCTTGGAGATTACTACCGGCCGTGTTGTTGGGGGGAACCGCGTGAGATCTACCCATCCTTCTTTCATGTCTTCGATAATCTGTGCCTAACGCCACTGATTGTGGGTTCCAGAACCGTCCCGTCAACGCCCCCGGGTTCCTCATCCACTCGGAGATACACAAGGCCCGGCATGATGTGCATTCAATCTGCCATGCGCACACCATGGCAGGTCGCGCGTGGACAGTATTTGGAAAACCACTGGAGATGATCACACAGGATGTGTGCGACCTTTACGGGGTCATTGCTACCATGAATGAGTACAGTGGCATCGTCACTGCGGAGGAGGAGGGACAGGAGATTGCGCGCTGGCTTGGGCCAAGGGGCAAGGCCGCTCTGCTCCTCAACCACGGGCTACTCACGGTTGGTTCCACAGTGGACGAGGCGTCATTCTTGTTCGGACTGCTCGATCGCAGCTGCGACATCCAACTGCGGGTGGAGGCAGCCAGGTGTGGTAATCCAACGTTGCAGAAAAACATCATTCCCGACGAGCTTGCTCGCCTCAACTTCTCAATGGCAGGCGAGAAGAATTGGTTGTATATAGAGGCCCAGCCGGACATTGAGTATGAGATTGAGATGGCAGGAGACGCCATTGGGCAGGGCATCGATGATATGAATGTAGATTTCCTGTAGTTTGTAAACTCGGTCGTCCAAGTAGAATCCTTTTTATCCTCACAACAGAAGTTCTAGGTGCGCAAGATGTTGGTTGTAGTGACAGACAGAGGCCCGCGTTTCATGAATCGCCGCGCGGTGTTTTTGTGAAACTCCTGCTTCAACCAGGAACGAATACGTCGTTTGAATGGAACATGCAAAAAATACAGTGCTTGTCTGGTTATTCCATTTTTCCATTTTCTTCTTTTCTTTCTTGGGATGTAAAAATTTTATCTCTTAGGATTAAAGAAGCCGCGAAACAGAAACAGTTCATGGTGAAAGCAGCAATCTGCTCTGAAGATTGTGGATCAGATTTATGTGAGAGAAGTCCTTGGTAGCCGGTTGTACACAATTGATCTACTGAAATTACACTTTCCTGAATATCATCGTCACAGCACACATACCTCTATTAGTTCTTCTGGAGCGCAGTGCTAATCTCTCCTGACTGCTGTTTTCCTACAGAGAAATCATGGCAACACGCCTGGGCGTTACCCTTGATCTCAGGCTCCAGAACACGAAGGCTGTCAAGGATTTCTAGCCCCTCATTGAGTTGCTTCGTGATTTGAGTGATCTATGAAATGGTCAGCGTACAGAAGAGGGCATAAATATTGGCCGTGGTTGGGCTTACGTTGGGAAATTGAAATATGTTGTAATGGTGCGCGTCCGCTTCGATGACAGCTTTGATAAATTCGAGGTGGTGACCCTCCCAACCCAGCAGAGGCTCATCACGGAGCAAATCCACCTGATATGGATCGTTCGCGCTCCCCTGCGCTGGCACATGTTGCACGCACTTGATTAGAACGGCAGGTGGAGGGGAAATAGGCTGACGCGACAGCATATGTATCCCGTCAAATGTTCGCGTCTCCATAGTCCGCCATTGACCACGAGCGGGTTTGTAAATGACCTCGTTGCTGCGTAGATGAAATTTCTCGTCGGCAACGGTCACATATACGCTTTTGCCTCCACATGTAGGCCTGTCCCAAGGGAGAAGCTTCCATGTGTCTAGGAGGCCTTGGCAGTTATCGAAGGACCTTTGTACGAGCTCTGGGACCTTACCAAGGTCGGGCTTTGACGTGGGGACTGCCAGCTCGGACCAAGGGGTGTGATGTGGGGAATCGACAAGTAATAGTCCGGCAACTGAAACTTTTGACCGAGGGCGTTTAGCGAGTATCTGAGATATCGTGAGCGCAAGAAGACCCCCGAGAGACCACCCTATAACGTAATGTAAGATGATGATTTTCCTTGAAACTGCATGAACGGGCCCTTTCACGCACCTCCTAGCAAGATGGGGCCACTGAGACCAGCCATGAGCATCAGGCCGATGTAATGGCGCGCCATCTCCACCATGCCCCCCGGCCAAACTTCCCCCGTATGGTAGTGGGGGTTATGGATGGCCCAAACATCACGGTGTAAGCTGTCAAGAAGGAAGTAGGTAAAGGATGTGCCGCCTCCATCATGGATTAGCACGAGTGGGAGTCGACGCTCTCTCTGGTTCGGAGATGTGAACTGCACCTGAAGAGGGTTTTGTTCGTGCATTTCGGAAAGCTGCCGAGTTTGATTAAAACCTGCGGACAAAGGTGGGAAAAGGTGGGTAAGTTAGTCTTTTTTCATTTATAAACACCTATAGGAACTTCTGCTGCATTCGCTAAGTCCGAGGGTTGGCTTACTGTCCGTATCACCTCATCTGAATGAAGGCGGTGTTGGATGGGTCTTGGTCTTTCTACACTACCTCTAATGGGACAGAAATCTGCTATGACAACAGACTATGCAGGTATACGTGAGAGCTGACAAATACGACACGCCTCGATCGAGTGATTGCCACAGGGCTCCTTTCGCGTACTGCGCATACGTGGTCTTGCGTTACTGTAGACAAGATAGTAAGTCTGACCCAACGCAGGCCATTCCATAACGATTATCCGTTCGCCTGGGAGCCTGGACATTGTTAGAGGTTTGGAACCAGCGGTCTTGATCTCAACTTTTTACGTTCCTAACAAGGCTTTCCTCCATTGTCCTTTGAAAACCAGGTTCAGCTATTTAGTGTTATCTAAATGGTGCGTCACGTGGATTGATAATGGACTTTTCTACTCATCCGGAACATAACATGGCTTTGACCTCGCACCTTTGATGATAGTCTTATGTGAGGTTCCAACAAGATTTGATAATGGCACAGATTCGATGCACCACATTTACCAGAATACGTGACATAAGTGGAAAATACAAAAGGAAACAAGCAAACTTGGTACGGTTTACATTTGTGTCCGCGCTCAAAACCGTGACGGATGATAGCACTGTGGGCTTAGATAGGACGTGATGACAAGTTTGTCCTTTTTGTAGGCGCAGGAGATATAAGTTTGCACTCCGCGGGAGTTACCACCACTCTCTCTCGTCGTTAGTGTATCAAGCGTCTTGAGATATTGCTGCACATAAGCGCTCCGGTCCTGACTCTTCAAGTACTGAACCAAGCCGTGGGCAGTAACACCGTCGCTGGGAGCGTAATGCCTCACGGGAATGTATACCTTGACATCGGGAAGTACAGCCATTGATGCAACATCAAAATAGAAGAGCACTCCCGCCGTCTCGTGTGAGTTGGGAGAGAGCTCCTTGTCAGCAGGGGCGTCGTCAGATAGACCCAGCACGAGCTTCCAAAGTTGATGAAGCTGCTTCTCAGCCTCCTCGATGCCCCTGCGCTGTCCGCCAATGGACATGGCGCGTCGCACGAGGTCAAAGGTAGTAATGCGTGAGCGGGCGTATATTTTTAACCGGGACTCAGAGGGGATGATGCAGTCAATGCCCAACATGAATGGATTGATAGTGCGGCCGTGAACGTCGTTGCGGAAAAAGCTGTGTAATCTATTTGTAGCGGCGGGATTGCAACAGCCAGCGGATGCGATTGCTCTAAATATTTGGTCGACAGATTTGTACCCGGGAGCTTCGACCGGAATGAAGTAGGCCTTGACGCCCACGGGACCATGAGAGATCTCAAAAGCCATAAAAAGTGTGGACTGGCTGACGACCTTGGCCTTGGAAGCCGGAGTCCCAGGGCCTAGAAGAGTGTGCTTGAAATGGTCAAACCACTCCAGGTCGAGGCCCCGGAGGCCGTTGCTGTAGAGCTGGGCGAGAAAGTCGCAAGTAGCAATTTGATTGAGAGGATCTGGAGACGCCCCTGCGTAGTGACCAATGGACTCGATGCTGTAGCGAACCTCAGGGGCCTCGTCCCCGAAACCCCATTTCCACGAGTACTCAACAGGAGTGTGGTCGTCGGTCATAAAACTCTTCCATTCCGCCTTGGTACCAGAAGGCCTGGGGCCCAATCGGGGCGTCACCAAGTGATAGAAGAAGCGCAGAGCTTCCAGTTGGTCGGCGATGGAATAGCCAGCGGCGGAGAGCAGGGTCTGCAGGTTGCTACCTACGCTCTGCCACCACCAGTCGCTGTCTGGAGATCTCGTAGGCGGCCACTTGGTCAAGGAAGCCAGAACGGAGTTGAAGGAGAGCTCCAAAGGAATTTGGGGCGGTGGTATAACATGCTGCCTAGCTTGATTGGCGGTCAAAACCATGGTCGTAGAGGGAAAAGGTGAAATAAGAGTTAAACACGTTGCAAATCTGATGAATGAATGAGCTGAAGGATGGTTGTCAAACAGACGTAAGTCAATAGAGTAGCTGATAATTCTTGGAGTTGTTTCTCTTCCTAAATACTAAGGAAAAAATGACTGGTTATTTCAAACCATGGGCAGCTACATAAAGCTCACTTTCTATTCTATGGGCTATTCTGACTACTGACCGTTGTGTGTTAGTATCTGCTCAGACACACATCAGATCATTGTTGCGCCGCAGATGGATTCTAATCTCTGGTCACGAGGCTTATGGCTCTCGGACAGTAATTCAGACACTAATAATGCTAACAGCATAGAACTTGCCTAAAGGAGGTAAGAGGATTCTCTTATAATACATGCCCTTGTCAGCTGATTACTTGATCTCTAGGTACGAGAAACATGAATATATAGCAAACTTTACAATTACTGAATATTACTAACCATACCTATATAAAAGCTAAGGCTGTTGGACGTCGCGACGAGTGGTTTGTTTGCCACGCCGCAACTATACGTCTTGGCCTCATAGACTGACCGTGATCGCAGCATGGGCCCTTCGTAGTAAGGCGAGCCTGCCTATGACCGAAAGTAGTCCAAAAGACAAGCATCACAGCGGTCGGAGTGTCATGCTCCAAAGTTACCGTCAGCGGGGAGGCCCTCAGGGACATCAGCAGCACCTGGATCCGTGGCTGCCGCGAAGGCAACGGCGACGTTGTTGCATAATCTGCCGCTCTCTAAGAGGCCTGTCAGGTTATAGGCGTATCTGACCAGCTCGCTGAACATAGCGACGCGAATCCGCAAGCCCCCTTCGGTCTCGTAAGTGTCTTGGCTGCAGCTCGAGACCACAGCTGCGCAATAGGACGCTAGAGAGGACGAGCAGGCCGGATCACGGATCGACTGCAGCTTTGCGAGTGGGTAGTACAGACTCGGCCTTAGGTCCGCCACAGCGTCTTTGCAGGTCGTTTCAGCCGTGAGGGCCGTAATGCACTCCGAGCCAGTGCCTCCCGGTACGGCCCCGACATCGAGAAAGGTACCCACTCGCCCCTCTTAACAGTTGTTCTTGTCAACCACAATCACATTCGCAATCATATGCTACCAATTTCAACTCATTACCGTCCACTATAAGCAGGCCACCAAGAATGGAACCCTCATCCGAAAGACTCGACTTTGTCTTCTCAAGTGGGATCGGCCAGCCTTCTAGAGTGGTGACCAATCGAGTCGAGTCGCGTTGCTTCACTGCCGTCCGGCTCAATAGCCATGCCGAGTCGCTGCGACAGTTTGAACAGGTCTTTACTGACCCCGAAATCCGCCATTTTGTAAAGACCATTCGCTACGATGTCCTTCTTCCGAGCCTTAGCGACAAGAGGCTGCAGAACAAGTTCCAGTCTACCCGTGAGGCAGCCGCCAATACTGCAGCGCTCACGCAAGCTATGCTCGCCCTCTTCACCAGCCTCAGCTCGTGGCAGAAGAGGGATCCACAGAACGACGAAGGAATACGTCTCTTTTTGACAGCTACATCGCCCTCGGGAGATATTGAGTCAGTCACGCAGCAGAAGCGTGACCATCAAGAGTGACCGGAATCTCTACCGATACTTTGATATCGACACCGCATTGTTGCCTTCTGGACGTCTTCCTGCTGTCGCGTGTGTCTCTTCGCTGAGCCTCGTAAAGATAGACCAGAGCACTGGCCGAGCGACCGGTCGCAATATCCACTCAGCGGCTGTTCATGTTATGGCGACCGCCCTGCCATCACTCCAACATGCCACATGTGTTGGTCTCCCTATCACAGGGAAGTTGGTTCGAACCGTAGGGTCCTGTGGTTGACGAAGTATCAATATCTCTGTATTGATTGATTCTGCGTAAGGAGTAGAAGGGAGATTCCAACCGGAGGTTGGGTGGGTAGTCGAGGTCTAAGTGTAACTACCCCCTCGAGGTGGCCCATGCTCTGCCCCTACTCGCGGCCGAATTGGACTTCCAATCCGACACGTGCATCTACGAGGCGGCCATACCGGCAGCGGCGGCGGCGGCTGAGCTCAGCGCAAAAGTGCCGGCGCCTAACTCGCTCACGTCGTGGAAGCCGGATATCCTGAGCCTGAGGGGAGAACAAGTCGCCCGGCTATGGTCCGAGCCGCTGGACGCCGTGGAGCTCGCGGTGAAGGTTACTGAGCTTGTCGCTCATCGCCAGCCCGTCGAAGAGCTTCTTGTAGCATTGGGCCCACGGCTTACACCCCAATCAGTCAGAAAGTTGTTGGACGTTTTGCCTCCGGCCTTAAATATCACGACGGCCATATCCGAAGTGGGGGAAGATCCTACAGCAGACGATCTTCCGGACGACCTAGGCGCCCAGGTTCGCAGAGTAGCCTTGGCCGACGTAGTGGATCCAGTTTTGGCTACATCGCGGGGCTCTGCATGTTCCACGGATCTATCCCAACCGCGACCTGAACAATCATTGGAATGCGGGGTCCGCGCCTACGAGTTCTGCCCTTGAGAAACGGGCTCTGCCTCGAGAACTAGCCCTGGTGGTGCGTGCTATCCCATCGAGTGCTGACTGACGCCATTTTTGCCAAGCCCCAAAACCCCCACTATTTACACTTTATTACCCCGCATTTAAAGGGGTACATTGACGATACAACATTTACCACTATGCTCTTTTACCTGTTATCACTAACGTACTTGATAAGCGAGCTGCCCAGACAAGCGAGCTGCCCACCCAACCGCGTTCATCCTTCCTCCTCACTTCTAATGCGTATCACGCCACAAATAATCATGTCGTCACAAAGCAAAGAGGCCCAATTGAACTTAGCAGTCAAGGCTATCCAAAAAAACCCTAAACTCAGCATTCGAGCCGCAGCAAGAATCTATTCAGTCCCCCCTAGGACCCTAGGCACCCGATTAAAAGGGACACCTACACGACAAGATACTATACCTAACTCACGCAAATTGACGGAGCTTAAAGAGGAGAAGCTAGTTAAGTATATCCTCGACCTGGATTCCCGATCGTTTCCTCCCCGGATCAGCGGTGTGGAAGAAATGGCCAATCGATTACTCGCCGACCGCGATGCGCCCCCAGTTGGGAAGCGCTAGGCTTCAAACTTCGTTAAACGACAACCACAGCTCCGGACGCGCTTTTTTCGCAAGTACGACTATAAGAGGGCCCAATGCGAAGATCCTGACGCGATAAACGCGTGGTTTCGGCTTATAGTAAACATAATCGCGAAATACGGCATTATAGACTCCGATATCTATAACTTCGACGAGACTAGGTTTATGATGGGCCAGATTGCATCCGGGATGGTCGTCACGAGTGCCGAAAGGCGTTCAAATACAAAAATGATGCAGCCTGGCAATCGTGAATGGATTATAGTCATTCAGGCCATTAGTTCGTTAGGCTACAGCGTTCCGCCGTACATCATCGTTGTAGGCCAATATCACCTCTCTACCTGGTATATAGAAACAGATCTCCTACGCGACTGGGTTATCGCAACGTCTGAAAACGGATGGACAACAAATGAAAGAGGCCTAGACTGGCTCCAGCACTTTGATCGGCATATAAAACTGCGTGTAACTAGCAGTTATTGCCTCCTCGTCGTCGATGGGTACGAAAGTCACTACTCTGCGGACTTTGAGATATATTGCAAGGAAAACAATATCGTTACACTCTATATGCCGGCCTATTCGTCTCATCTACTTCAGCCCTTAGACGTTGGGTGTTTTGGGCCACTAAAGACGGCTTATGGTCGACAAATTGAGGATAAGATGCGCCGGGGTAATACCCATATTACGAAGGAGGACTTCTTCCCTGCATTTCACAACGCTTTCACGCAAGCCCTAACGGTAAAAAACATCCAGGGAGGCTTCAGAGGGGCCGTGCTTGTTCCTTTAAGTGCCGAAAGTGTGCTTTCGAAGCTTGATATCAAGTTACACACTCCAACACCCCCAGGGTCCCTACCAACAACACCCCCCGCGTGGACTTCTCAGACGCCAAATAACCCAACAGAGGCCTCTTCTCAGTCCGAACTCATCAAAAGGAGGATCTCCCGCCATCAGAATAGCTCCCCAACTTCAATTATTGAAGCTGTAGAGCATTTATCAAAGGGAGCGCGGGGATTTATGCACCAGATTGCCTTATTAAGGTCGGAGGTCCAGATCCTCCGGGAGGAAAATAACCTACTTAGCCGACGCAGGAGGGCTAAGAAAACACGTCTCAGACAAGGAGGAAGTCTTACTGTAGCTGAGGCAGAGGACATTCAGTCGCAGAGAGAGGCTACGGCCCAGATTGAGGAGGAAACGCACCAGAGTAGTGGTCGTCGGCCGAGGACAGAAACAGGTTAACGGCGATGTAGCGTCTGCGGAAACACTGGCCACAATGCGCGAACATGTCAGTTTAATGAAGAAATATCTGAGGAATAGGATTCAGAGTAGTCTCAATTGATTTTATGTTTTTAGTGTTGCTCCTTAGTTAGATTTATAATGTGATCATGGTTAGGTGGGCAGCTCGCTTGTCTGGGCAGCTCGCTTATCAAGTACGTTACTATTACTAGCATTTCAATTGATGCTGCAATGTCTTCTAGTGATTCTGATACCTCTATTGCTTCCAATACCTCTATTGCTTCTAAAACTTCTGTTACTCCTGTACTCAGCACTATAGTAGTTGAGGTCTACCCAGAAGACCTAGCTGCTGCTTGTAATACAGCTTGTAAGCCAGACGGCTGTGACGAAGCCACAGTCCGGCCCTGTGAACCTCCGACTACCGAGCATGGCCCTCCGGGCTCCTTCCGGCCCTTTGAAGTACCAGCCCGGGCCCAAGAGGTCCGGGGGCTGCCGGCAAGTGTTTGGCCCAGACGTCCGCAAGGACCTTCCAGTCCCTAGGGCAATCGATGAATACAACCACAAGATGAATGGGGTTGATGTGAGTGACCAGATGAGGTCTTATTATCAATACGGTCACCCTATTCGGCGAGGGGGCTGGCAGTCCCTAGCCTGGAATTTCCTGCTGGAAGTAGTAGTTGTGAATAGCTTCTTATTACAGCTCTGGGGTAGCCCTAGGTGGCAGAAGGTGGAATCCAACTATCAATGGCGGCAGTTACTAGCAGCCCAGCTTATTCAACGGTTTGGACCATTAGCAGGCGGGCGTAGACTATCACGACCTAGACGTACAGACATGAGGAATATCTCTATTCCATGGGAACAGCATACAAAAGGGTCACGGAAGGTTAATTCGCCTTGCTCTTATTGTAGTAATCTGAGGGCAATAAGAAACCGCCAGCCTCTGGGCGAGATATCTGGGAATACCCTCACGCGGCGTAAATATACGAGGAAGGGCTGCTTAGACTGTAACGTACCTTTATGTACCCAGGGGAATTGTTGGTACCTCTGGCATACGCAGAATATGTAGGCAATAGAGGTACTGTAACCCTATTGGTTAACTCTATAGATTTCCAACCCCTAATTGGCTCTACCCCGCCCTTGGCAAAAATGGCGTCAGTCAGCACTCGATGGGATAGTTAGCCTTACGGTAATTATATAAACGATATAAAATAATAAAGATCCGTTAGATTAATAGTAACGACAACCTCGTCGACGCCTTCACTAAAGCAAACCCCAACTAAGGGTTAGAAAGCTTCATCGATAAGGGAAAGGCTACGGTACAAATAGAGGGATAGGTTATATGGAAAGGACCCCGGAAGGAAGAGAAAGGGGCGTATTAGACAGTATTATGTTTCCACGTATTTATACAACTTCGCAGCGTTCAAATTATACGTCTAACCATACCAGTTAGATATAAAAGAGAGAGATAATTAGTGTCGGATTAGAAGTTTAATTCGACCGCGGATAAGGGCAAGAGTATGGGCCACCTCGGGGTGGTATCCCATCGAGTGCCAATTGGCAACAGGTACATGCCCTTGAGGGGAACTGACCACTCAGGAGACAGCCAAGACTTCTTCTAGCCAACCAAAAAGCCTAGATTATGGATACTTCTGTTGTCTATATACTCTGACTATGAAAGAGGTACCAGCAATCATCCGAGTTACAAAGCGCTACTCCACACTGCAGGCACCCTGACCTCGTCTTTTTTCTGTGGGATCGTGAGTGTTGTTGAACAGGGCCTCGTACTGCGGCTTCATTGGTCCACTGTACCCACGATTCAACCAGCCTCAAAGGCACATACTGCTGAAAAAGCTCTAAAGGGGTAGTAGATAGACCCCGTACTGTTGCGGCGCGGTAGGGCACGTCGAGGGGGTTGAATTGGCCCGGTGTGCCCCTTTCTAGCGGAGGCGATTCGTGTGGGCGTACAGTTGCGTTATCACACCTCTCGGGCCTACATTGAGCTGTACAGGCGCTATCAAGGTCTTCGGGAAGTACTGCGACGGTGATATGTGAAAGCGCTGACGAATCAGACGCATCAGAGTCGCTTGAGGACATCGCGACAGTTGCCCATCTGTAGAAATGTTAGTTGTGGTGGTGAACGCAGCTGGGAAAATATAGGGGTTGATGACGTACCGTCATGTATTCCCGCGGTGAGGGGGCAAAACTGGGTCAAAACTGGGCATAATGTACCTGTTGCCAATTGGCACTCGATGGGATAATTAGACCGCGACTACCCAACTAACCTACGGTTGGAATCTCCCTTTTACATATTACGCAGAATCAATCAATACAGAGATATTGATACATCGTCACCCCCAGGACCCTACGGTTCGAACCAACTTCCCTGTGATAGGGATACCAACAGTAACCTTTACCCAACCGTCGTCGTCGTCCGCACTGGCATTCGGAGCATCGCCCGTGAGCTGTAACGAGTCGGCTCGACTACCCGCCTTGACATGTTGGCGAAAGACTTTGTTCCCATCCCAGAACCCGCATTTTAGCATTTCCGAGATGGAGTTGCGTTGCAAATGACAGATTGCGAACTCATCGGGCAGCCCTTTTGCAGCAATCGCGCAGCTTTCTTCGTATTTGTTGCCTTCCCAGTCAGTGCTGCCGGTAGAAAAGAAACAGCAACTCGCGACCCGGAGCATCGCGCCGAGCAAGAAGAAAAGTGGAAGTTTCATCGTGGAAGATGTTTGACTGATGCGGCTGCACTGTGTTGCAAGTCACTGTATTACAGCAAAGCCGTCTTTGTTTGCGTACTGGCGAAGTTCCACTCTTATACCTGGGCTTCGGTAATCTCCAGAGAATCATCCGTAGCAAGTTTGGAACGATGATTTCAGGGGTGGCATGTAGGTACAACCACATGACAAAAAGGCATTTTCATGATCCTTTTCAGCCTTGCGCTATATATGACAGTTTCTGGTCGAAAGGGAGGCACGCTTTGATATATTCAAGGTTGTTGGCTAATCTTTTAGCCAGTCGCCTTGGACAAGGTGGCGAAAGAAATTGCTCCTAGGTAGGCACTCCCACAAGAGAATCCCGCTGTCAGCCTCCACAATGACTTGCTCACATTGCATCAAATTTCAGCTGAGTGGAAGGATATCCCAAGAGAGCAATGGCATACACCAAATTCATGAATGGAGGGCTCTGTGCCAGCAGTTGTGTTAGATGGCTGCAGACAGGTGAACACTGCCGCTTCCCCCATCCAATCATCTGAGGCAGTGCAGATTGTGTGGTGACACCGGTGAGATAGACAGAGCAGACATAACGGCAGACAATGCTGAAGGCTGGTGAGATACATGCCCAGACGGATCGGCCCCATGCCAAGGGGACAAACTTACAAAGTATAGGGGACGATTAGGCATCAGCTGCAGGCAGGGCAATAGGATTGCTGTTGAAGGATGCACGCACCTCGCCAGGATCGCAAATATTTGAATAACGTGGCGCCGATAATATGGATGTAGTAAGACATTATTGGATGTATCATGCTGACAAGCTTGAGCTGTTACTAATGCGTGAGCACAGGAACCATGCCGGAACGAATCCCTAATAATACTTCCTTGTTCTATCCGCACAATGCAACGAAACATGGACCAATAGCCAATCATGCTGTCATGATGGTTGTTGCAAATATCGCAAAATTTCAGGGTCCTGGCTCGGCGGACACTTCTTCCCATCAACGCCGATGGAAGTCAACAAGATAGGGTCCTCCACCAAAGTCTCTGGATGGACCTCAAGGCCATAGGACAACTCTACCTTGGCGCAACGTGCCGCATCGACCAGCGCAGGCACATCAATCTCATTGTCTCCGGTGCCCGCCTTCGCAGCACGAATCAAAGCCTCTCTCTGTGCAGCAGGTATGCTCGACACCCTTCCCACAAGCTTCGATCCCGGCGGCGGCGTTGAGCTGCCCCATTCATAGTTCATTGGCCGTAAGAGGGCTGCGCCTGTCTGTAGGACCCAGCTCTGCGCCGCCCCCATGTCCTCGACTTCCTCCTCAGCCTTCTTCCGCCACTTGGACGGGAGTATTTTGGAGAGCAAGTGAATCGTGCTGAGGAAGCCTCGCTTGACTGCCTGGAAGAAGCCGTACACGTACTCATCGGGAATTTGCCGTATCAAAGCACCCAGTGGAATCACAAGGACGCCAAACAGCATCGACCATCCCCATTGCGCACCATTGAGAGGGCGGGTGTCGAAAGCCTGACCACCCTTCCATATGATGATCATTTGCCCGGCCAGAGTGGCGCACTGCACCCCAATGAACCAGGGGTTGCGGAGGACGCCCTGGTACCAGATGTTGAGCTTGTTATCGACACGACGGCAGTTGTGCTGGTTAAAGAACTGCATCCAGACGTAGATGTTAAAGATCATTGTCTGCAGTGCCTCCCGCTCTGCGGTTGTGGTGGGATGGAAGAGTTGGTCTCCCGCGTAGTGGAGGGTGAACATGACAGCCAGCTGGTAGATTGCCTGGCCCAGGATCATCTTCCACATTGTGATGTTTACGATGGGTGCTGTGCGTGGCTCTGGCCTCCGTTTGAGGAAGTCTGGTGAGGGATAATCGGTTGCCAGACCCAGCGAGGCGAAGATGTCCATGATAAGGTTGATGAAGAGTAGTTGAACGACGGTGAAGATGGAGTCTCCTGCCAATTCGGAGACAACAGTCAGAGTTCCGGCGGTGATGTTGATTGTGAATTGGAACTAGAACGCTGTTAATATTCGTTACGCTGACTCAAGGACTTAGATCTCACTTACTTGGAGGAACTTCTTCACAGCTGTATTCACCGTGCGACCCCATACTAAAGCCTTAACGATCGATGCAAAGTTATCATCAAGCAAAATGATAGACGCAGCTTCTTTAGCGACTTCGGTTCCTTGGATTCCCATGGCAAAGCCTACATCCGCGGCCTTGAGAGCCAACGCGTCATTAGTGCCATCGCCAGTCACAGCAACTGTCTCTCCCATTCCTTTCAGATGGGTTACGAGCAGGAGCTTATCTTCCGGGCTAGATCTCGCCAGCACCTGGAGCCGCGGAATGACCAGATCCAGCTGAGCGGGGGTCAGCTTCCGGAACGTCGGCCCATCCATTGCCAAGCCGCCGGCTGAATAGATGCCGCACTCTGATGCGATGGCCTTTGCCGTCAGAAAATTGTCTCCAGTGACCATACGCACAAAAACACCGGCCTCCTGACACTGACGCACGGAATCGAGAACCTCCGGGCGAAGGGGGTCGCGGATTCCAAAGACACCGATAAATGTCATGTCGGCAAAGTGCTTCTCGAAGTTGATAGAATCGGGATCGTCTGGGTTCTCGAATGGTGCATCGACTTCCTTGTAGGCGATGACAATCGGTCGAAGCATTTGCTTGGCATACTCGCGGATCGTCGATCGCAGGTCTTCTCGTATCTCGGTCGCAATCGGCTGAACGGCAAGACCAACCTTCGGTTTCTTGAGGACGTTTATGCACTGGTCAAAGACGACCTCGGCTGCGCCCTTGACGAGGAGTCGATGTTTTCCATCGGGCAGCTTTGACATAACCGCCATCCACTTTCGTGACGCGTCAAAAGGAAACATGTCGACAATCTCGTTGTTTGCCCTCTCTTCGCCAAGTGGCCCCATGGCAAAGAACTCGCGGCTGAATCTCAGGAGAGCAGTCTCGGTGCTCGTCCCCACGAAGCCGGCATCTTTCGGATTATCGCTCTCGAATGAAGTGGTGTTCAGAGCGATGCTGTTCTTCGTCAGTGCTCTCACATCGCTGCTCAAGGATTCCAGCAAAGCTTTTGGGTGTTCCTGGTCTGAGGCGTCGTCGGTGCTCTGGTCCTTCTTCACATCATCATTGCTGATTTCTCTCGGCGCATCACCGAAGCGCTCATGGAGTCCGATCCTGCCAGCGCCGACTGTCATGCTGTTCTGTGTCAATGTTCCCGTCTTATCTGAGCAGATGCATGTGGCATTACCCATGATTTCACAGGAACGGATGAGGCGGACGAGGTTCTTGTCCTTGAGCATTCTGGTCGTGGCAAAAGCGAGAGCAAGGGTAACTGCTAGAGCTAGGCCTTCGGGCACGGTGATCACGACAACAGTGACGGCTAGGATGAGAAGTTTGAAAATTGTCTCGGCCTTTTCAGAGGCGGTTCCTCCCATGGTCGGGAGCCCGACGAGGAAACGAATGAAGAGGATGAGGAAGAAGATGATACCGGCAATCGCACCAAACGCGATGAGCTGCTTTGCCAACTTTCCGAGTTTCTGCTGCAGGGGGGTTTCCTCGACATCCTCTCTCAACGACATCAAAGTTCTGCCATATGTCGAGTTGGTTCCTACCGATGTCACCAAGTACGCACCAACACCGCCAGATACCGTCGTCCCGCTGAGAATGAATGGGTCAGTCGCCGAAGATCTGTGGGCCTTTTGGTTGTGGACATCGCTTTCGCTAGGCACGTTCTTGTGTACAAGTTCAGATTCGCCCGAGAGTGAGGACTCATCGACCTGAATGCCGGAGCCCTGAACCAGCACTCCATCGACGGCAACGACATCTCCAGTCTCAATGTGCATGATTTCTCCAACCTGCACGTCGTAAACGGAGATGTTCTGTGTCTTGCCGGACCGTATAACCTTGACATCTCTTTGCTCTTTCCTCTCGTTGAGCTTAGCGAACCTGGCGTTCTTTTGCCAGTCCGTGGCAGCACTGGCGAAAACAATGACCAAAATAGCCACCACCACGGTGACACCATCCACCCATTGGATATTCGGCTCGTCATCGGATGCGTCAACTGTTTCGTAGATACCAAGCGCCAAAGATATCGTGGCGGAGATCGTGAGGAGGAACATGAGCTTGTCGTTGAACGCGATCCATGCTAGCCTCAGAAATGACTTTTGTTTTCGTTTTGGGAGTCTGTTTTCGCCATAGATGCGCCTCCGGTCGGTATATCCCTGGGCTTCATGTTGTATCAGGTCTAGGTCCAACTTGATACCGTGCTTGTGTTGTGTCGATGAAGGTAGAGGTGTGATTGTGGCAGCCCGCTTTGCCTCTCCTGCAGCGACAGCCTCCTCAAATGATATCGTGCCCTCGAGGCTTGTCTCATCTACACTAAGTCCAGCGGCAACATCTGTTCGCAAGCCAGCTGCAAGGCCGGGAAGACCACCGAAGCGTCGGAGTGCTGCTAGGTTGCGCGCAGTGATGAGCTTGTGGAGTTGGGTCGGCGTGAACGCGAATCTGTTGTTCTCGATGACAGCATCATCGCGAAGGTCCAATTCCTTTTCGTTGTCTTCCAGCTGCCGGGCGAATTGCTTGCTGAATGGGTGTTTTGATGAGGTCTGGCCTGTATCTAGTTGGCGCGGCGCGGCAGCCGTGATCTCGTCGGCCATCGTCTCGTGCCTCCAGTCGCCAGGAGAAGTTTGTTTGGACAGCGATGGGCGTGACGACAGACAGATGTTCAAGGTCAGAAAGGGCAAGAATTGACGAAGAGAAAAGCAGAGACACGCAGCGCCAGTGTGTCCATAATTCCATCAACAGCAGGGGGGAGACAACAGTTGGTAATATGTTATGGTCATCTGGAGCTGAACTTTGGGGCAACGGCACGGATCTGAGAGCCGCGTCATTGCATCTTGGCGAATCTCACATTCGTGCCGAGAAAAATCCAAGGCTTCTCGGCACGCTGTGAGGATATTTTACTGGTTGGGGTGGGTGGACGATGTCTGGGACTAGACTCGTTGCACAAGCCTTATGGCCCTGGGTCGTGTGGGATGTGGAGATCAACGGGCCCGCCAGGCAACTGAATCGGATCTGTTTGCAACCGTCCGGCGTACGGTGGCACGTGGGCATCGGTCAATCCGGGGTTGTTTGCCTCTGAAATGGCATTCGGGCGAGAGTGAAGCGGAGATGCGTGGTTTTGGGTGACTCTTCGGCCGTTCGCGGTGGCCATCCGGGGCACTTTGACGCCGTTTTCTCGGTGTCGGCGTGGCTGTGTTGTTCGGAGGATGCGAAGGAGATGTGGATATTTGCAAGGAACATCTGGCCTCAAAGTTGACTTGGCCCAGTTATGTCAGCGGCTGTTCGGCCTTCAAGCGGCTTGGCGTGTCTAGCGAGAGACTTGGCTTTGCCCCATTGACATCATCCAGGGTCTTGTTTGCATGATGTTTTGTTTCGTAGTCTTTGTTTATGGATAGTATGAGAGTGTTATGTGAGTGTCAATTCGAAGAGAATGTGTCTTGATAGTTGCATATAAGTTGCTCAAATACCTAGACTAGGGCACTCTGCTTCTTATTTCATGACGTGAGAGGCTCATCGAGGTGACATCAAAATAAGGTCCATATTTAGTTCTCACAAGGTTTCAAGTTAGGGAATTGGGTAACCCGGAATGCTGGATTGATTCGATCTGGACTGGCGATGCAATAGGTTGAGAGTGTAAATACCATGTTTGGGGGGTCGGAATATTCACGTCAGGTTCACGCATGTTCACGACACCCGTAACATTAGATAGACTGTTACCATCGAATGAATGCCTCATTCAATCTCAAGCTTGAGCTCCACCTGTCATCGTGGAATTACCCGTCCCAAATCTTCATGCTGTTTCAATCAAAGACAGCTGCAAATGCATTGGGCCGTCGGACAATTAGTTGGCGTTGTCCGCTCGGACTAGACGTTGTGGTCACTAGCGCTCGGCCTGGTGCATAGGCAATGAAACCTACAGCACGACGTACGGTGACCGCAATTTTGAACATCGACATCATCACTATCCAACCTGTGCTTCGAAAATTATCGCAGCATCTTCACATCACACGGCGTATCTTGCCGTCTCAATTGAACTCAACAAATGGCTTCACCAATCCGTAACGTTGCCATCATCGGCGTAAGTCCTGTCCTCAGTTCTCAGTTCTCGCAGGAGCCTCCCCTTAAGGTATGCTCTTGATCAAACACTAAGGCTCCAGACCTTAGGCGACTGGCCACATGGGCTCTCAAATAGCCAAGACCTTGCTCAATTCCGGCTTTAATGTCACAGCCATACAGCGCTCCGAATCCGCCAAGACCGTTCCCTCGGGAGTCAAGTCCATCAAACTCGACTTGAAGGATGTTAGCGCCCTCACTACAGCTTTTGAAGGCCAGGACGCGGTCATCTCAGCTGCGCCGGACCCCATCGTTTTGGAAAACCAGAAGCCATGGATCGACGCAGCCGTCGCTGCCGGGGTGAAGCGCATCATCCCTTCCGAGTACAGCACCAACGTGGACTCGCCGCTCGCCGAGGGCCTGCCCATCGTCGTCGACAAGGTCCGTACTAGACGCTATCTCATCGAGCAGATTTCCAAGACCGGCAGTAAGTCGAGCTGGATGAGTGTCAACAACGGGCCATTTTTTGAGCTCGTTCTTGGCTTCGGTGGGCTGGGTCCAAACTTCCGGAGCAAGACTGCTCGGTACCACAATGGCGGCGACAACTTGATCGGAACAACGAAAATTTCGGATGTCGCTGAGACAATTGCCAAGGTCTTCCGGGATGAGAGGGGACTGTACAAGGAGTCTGAGAATAAGTCTTTGTACATCCATTCCGCTGCAGTCAGTGAGAAGCAGTTGACGGAGATGGCGGAGACGGTGACGGGTCAGAAGTTTGAGGTGCAGAACTTTGACGTTGAGGACGTTTACCAGAATGCCAAAGTCAAGTTTGCCGAAGGTGATAGGTCGGTCTGGATTGACTTTTATTATCAGATGATGTATGGAAAGGGGTACGGAGGTAGTGAGAGCTTCCAGGAGATGAGTTGGAACGACAAGGTCGGGTTGAAGACCATGAGCAACAAGGGGATCGAGGATGGTCTCAGGAAGGCAGCTCAACAGGCAGGTTTGATCTGATCAGTTAATATATGAGTCAATAGAGATGTGATCGTATTGTAACATTCTTCCTAATCGTACATGCATGGCTTTCAATCCTAAACCCAGTCTGAGATCCTTTAACCAGTACGCCGCCGAACCAAAGTGACAGTAACGTGGCCCCTCAAAGCTTCGAACGGCCCCTCCAAGCATGTCCTATCTCGTCCTTGAACGTAGCGAGCTCATTTCTCTTGCTATCGCCGCCGTGGCTGACCTGAACAGGCTCGTCAAACACAGTCTTGCTCTTCTTCTCCTGTCTCTTGTCCGCATCAATGTACTCCCGCTCTCCCTCGCCAATGTACAACTGACGCGGGCGCCAGATCTTGACACCTCCCTTTTGCAGCATCTGCTGCCTCCAGTGCGCCAACCAGCCAACGCAGCGGGGCACGGCGAACAGGACCGGGTAGAAGTCGAGCGGGAAGCCCATGGCCTGGTAGATGAGGCCAGAGTAGAAGTCAACGTTGGGGTACAGGTTGCGCTTCTTCATGAAATCGCTCTCGCGAGCATACTTTGCGAGCTCCAGCGCCGTGTCGAGGAGCTGGTTGCGGCCCGTGACTGCAAAGACCTCCTCGGCCAGCTGCCGAATGGCAGTCGAACGGGGGTCGACGTTCTTGTAGACGCGGTGGCCGAAGCCAACGAGCACGCGTTCGCGCTTCTCAACCTTTTGCATAAAGGCGGGAACGTTCTCGGGGCTGCCGATCTCCATCAGCATGCGAATCGCACTCTCGCTGGCGCCGCCGTGGCTAGGGCCGTAGAGCGCGGCACAACCAGCGGAGACGACGCTGTAGGGGTCGACGAGACTTGAGCCAACCTGCAGGACCGTGGCGGTGGAGCAGTTGACCTCGTGGTCGGCGTGGATGATGAAGAGCGCGTCGAGGGCGCGCTCCAGGACGGGGTGAGGCTGGTACTCGTGCCCGCTCAGGTGGTCGAGCAGGTAGAGGAAGTTGCCGGTGTAGGTGAGTCCCTGGGCCGGGCGGTTGAAGGGTCTGCCCTGGCGCATGCGGTACGAAGCAGCGGCTACCGTGGGTGCCTTTCCGATGATGCGGAGGATCTGCTTGTCGAGCATCTTGAGGGCCTCAACGTCTCCGGAAGCCGCGTTGGTGTACAGCTTCTGGCCCTGCAAACTCGGGTTCGATTCGGGCGCGAAGGCACCCATTGAGGAGAATGACGCCTGCAACATGGCCATGGGATGCGTGTCGTAACGGAACGACTTGAACATGCCCTCGATGTCGCTGTGGATGTAGGTGTGGTGCATGATCTCATCTTGCCACTTGTTGTATTGTGACGTCGTCGGCAGCTCGCCGTAGATGAGAAGGAACGCTGACTCCAAGAAATGCGACTTGTTGACGAGCTGCTGGATGGGGTAGCCGCGGTACCGGAGGATGCCCTCCAGTCCGTTGATGTAGGTGATGTTGCTCTGGACCACGGCAGTGTTCATGTAGGCCGGGTCGTAGACTCGGAGACCCTGGTCGGTCTCATCCTCAGCGCGGTCGTTGCCGCGAACGGCCTTGATCTTCTTAATGTCCGTAGCCAGCACGGAGTTTCTGGTGATGGGCAGCTCATAAGACTTTCCAGTACGGTTGTCGACAATGGTCAGCGACTGGCGCGGCGCGCTGGTTGCGCCACGTGGCGCGTTCTTAGCAACGGTGACCATTTTACGAGAAGGAACTGGAGGTGATTCTGAGATCTCAATTGCTGGCTCGAGAGATGAGATGACAGTTTTGCGGAATTCAATGGCTTTCAATAGGACGTTGTTTGAGTCCGGGCGGATGGGATTTCAGATGCTACGGACAATGTTCCTTGTCCGGAGAGCTTCTCCTGAGCAGCTGAAAGCTGCGCTAAGACCGTCGGTTGACGTCGGGAGATCGGCAACTGAGCCCGAGTGCCGAGGTTCAACAGCAACTCTCCACAAGTTCCACAGATCCCTAGATTAGTGGCTGAAGCTAGCTGTATTTGCACATGCCAGGGGGTGGGATCATGATCTAGTGAGAAGCTTCCATCCCAGTCCAGGAACCACCAGATGAGCATGTCCTCTCTGTCGGACCAGCGGCGGTTTTTGTGCCCTCGATGAACTTGGCATCATTCTCAAGTACACGTTCTGGTGGTAGTGGCGCTGATATTAATGTTTCGTTAAATCCCAATGCATGTGATCCAAAGCTCCGACCAAACGTTACAGGGTGCTTCCATCGATGTACTATGTACGAGTATCGCTAGAGGTTATGCATTTTGGGTGACTAAGCTCCATAGGGGCTTCCAGAACAGGCGGTACCATACAAAACATAGGATATATGTGGGATTTGAGAAAAGAAAAAAGAGCAAATCCCTTTAGTTCCAGATAGTGTTTTCTAGTAGCGGTTGCGGTCGTGATTTGTGAAGTCACTCCACGTAGATCCGCTATAAACTAAGGTAATGCCAATCCCATAGGTGCGTATGCACTGCAGGAGTCAACTCCGTCTCTCACTTTGTGTGAAACACTTTCTGAACAGCCAAAAAAAAAGACTTGATAGCACTTTTCTTGGGTTTTGTAGAGAGGCTCTTGAAAGTTGAGTGTTAATGATTGAAACGTTTGGAACGTGCTGCATGTTGCAACACCACGCTCAGTCTGAACCGCGTATGTACCTACGCCAAGGAGAAGCAACATGAAGGCTTCAACCTGAGTCAAAGGCTGCAAATCACATCGTTTCGTGTCTAAATGAATCTCTCTATACTTTTATGATTCTCACAATTTGAACTAAGGTGAGATTATCAAGGCCCACGACCTCGATGACATCACATCTATGGAGTATCTCTAGTGATTGATGTGTAGGTTATGAGATGACCATAACTATGTTGGAGGACTAAGAGGTCGCAACATAATTGAAGTACTCTTGTTTGCAGCGAGGCCCCGGGATGACATTTCGTTTAGAGAATTGGTCCTAACTTGGAATAATTTTCGAAATCTTGCTGATTCACTTCACTAATAGATGTCGATCGTCAAATGTCACATAACTTGAAGATAGATGTACCAACTTGCGGGTTCAGTGTCTTGATCAACCCTGGCCCATGCAAAAATCAAAATAAGACTCAGGATTTAAAAGAAGATGCCCAGACTTACAACGGCGACAGGCTTACCCGCAAACCTGCTCAGTGGATTGACTACTTTTAGCTGTGCAGTTTGGGGTAAAAGCAGGGTGGCTGCTCTGCTCCCTCCGCAATCGCAGATCACCTCCGGATATTCTCACAGCGCACCACACATCACTGCAATTCAACTTCCTTTTTCAATTCATCCTTCCAAAATATCTCGGGCTAATTGATCGCGCAAGCAAGCACGCCGACGTCATTTACCAGACTCATGGGATTGAGGGGAACAACATGCATCTTGAGCACCCCGGTTTGCCCGGATCGTTCTCCGTGTGGAGGAATCGAGACTGGTAATTCTTCCGGGTAAATTGCTACAAAATGTCGCTTGTGCCAGCTCTTCTAGATGTCTCTGGATGCTTGCTCCGAAGTCTTGTGGGTCTGCAAGTCGCACACAAAAGACTCTGAATCGAAGGCGTCACGATGATTTTGACACTCCTGTGCACCACTTTGCTACCGGTGGTCGCACTGGGGAGCATCGACCGGTGAGTCTATCTTGCTAATCCCCCGGCGATCCACCGTCCAACTGACATGTCCTAGACAGCGGGTTGTATCTCAATTCAATGTTGTCCGTACTAATGTGATTGATAATAACACCACGCCATTGCAAGTTGGCAATGGCAACTTCGCTTACAATGTGGATAACACAGGCATGCAGGTGGGAACTAAGTCCAACCACGCAACTTGTACCTCCCAATACTCTGGCTGAAGCAACAAACTCTTACAGACCTTCTTGCCCTTCAACACACTTTCAAGCTGGGCCTGGCACAACGATTCACTTCCAACCAATGGGTACGTTGATCGCCTTCCAAGATCCTGTCCATAAACGTCAAGTAAACTAACACAGCTCTTACAGCGAGAAGCTCAGCGACTACACAGGCGTTCCTATGCTGACCCATGGTCGAAACGTCTCCTACGATGTCCCCGATACGAAGCTTCCCCAAGTCTCACAATGGCTTATCAGTAATCCTAATCGCATCAATCTGGGCCGGATCGGTCTCAAGTTTAAGGGAGAAACGCTGTCGGCAGCGGCGATGACAGAACCAAGACAAGAGCTGGATCTGTGGAGCGGTATCATCACCTCAACTTTCAAAGTCAATGGTAAGGCCGTCAAGGTAGTCACACAAGGCGACTTCGCAACCGATGTCGTTACATTTCAGATCGAATCGGATCTCGTGTCCTCCGGCGACTTGAAAGTCGAGCTCGATTTCCCGTATCCGCCTATTCACACGACAAAGTATAAATACGAGGTCTTCGCCGGCGTTTACGACTTCCCGTTGAACCACACGACTCGAATCGTTAATACTTGCGGGCGATCCGACCTGGCGCACATTTACCACGAGTTGCAGGAGACGAGCTACTACGTGAACCTGCGCTGGCCTCACGAAGCCCCTCTCGATCTCTCCCGAGACGAGCCAGAGGGGTCTGATAAGATCAACGCTCATCGATACACGCTCTCTCTTGTCGGTGGCACTAACCAGACTTCAAGTTCTTTGACCTTTACTGCGGACTTTTCACCCCAGAAGCAGGATCCCCGGCCCCCGGCCGACGTTCAGGAGGAAAGCATCGCTGAGTGGCACGACTACTGGACCGAGGGCGGTTTCGTCGACCTGACATTGTCTTCGAACCCCAATGCCACAGCGTTGCAGAGACGCATTATTCTATCGCAGTATCATGTCCGCGTCAACAGCGCGGCATCCGGTCAATCGCCGCAGGAAAGTGGGCTGATGAACAATGGGTGGTACGGTGCGTACAAACACTTTTGCCGCGTGGTGAGAGATGTGCGAAAACTGATTCTGGCAGGCAAATTTCACATGGAAATGGTCATTTGGCACAATGCCCACTGGGTGACATGGGGTCGAAAAAAATATTTTGACAACATATTCCCAGAGATTTACGAGACGCTGCTTCCATCTTCTCTCGCCAGAGCAAAATCGCAAGGATGGGAGGGGGCCAGGTAGGCTCATTTCGATTGCAAAACTGGTGGGACTGCAATCTAACAGCACTCGCAGGTGGCCCAAGATGACGGAGCTAGAGACGGGTGCCAGTTCCCCTGGTGGAATTAATGGCCTTTTACTATGGCAACAGGTACTGTCTCCAATTCCCAGATGGCGCGTCAGTTCTCAGCGAAGTGTCTTCTTCTAACAAGACAGCCTCATCCCATGTATCTCGCAGAGCTTGCGTATCAGTCTTCGCCAGGCGACGAGACCCTGAAGTCATGGGATGCAGTCCTGACGGCGACTGCCGACTACATGGCATCGTACGCCTGGAAGAATGAAAGCTCGGGACACTATGATTTGGGTCCGCCGTGAGTCTGCCCCTTTTGCAGACTGAGACGCAGAAGTCTATGTGTGTGCTCATCATGGGACCTTAGATCATACGGTGTAACTGAGAATACACCACCATCACAAACATTGAATCTGGCCTATGAGGTAAGCTCAATCCAGTAAATCCGCCAATGCTCCCATCTTATACCGATGCAGATCGCATACTGGAGATACGGACTAGATCTCGCGCGCGAGTGGAAGAAGAGATTAGGCCAAGCGGTTCCCGAGAAATGGACAGAAGTGGCCGAGAACCTCGCCCCGCCACCACAAGTCGACGGTCTGTACGCGGTATATGAGGGATTGAATGACACATGGTGGCAAGATCCAGCTCTAAATGGGGACCCGCGCAGTCTTATCATGATGCAGGGGATACTACCAGACACACCAGCCGTCGACCCAATAGTTGCGCTGAAGACGGCGGACAAAGTGTGGGAGGTGTGGACGGACCAGAAGATCCGCGGCTGGGGACGGCCTGTGCTGGCTATCAACTCTGCGCGGATTGGGAATCCGGAGAGGGCTATTTACCACTTGACTGCGTATGATTACTGGAAGTTTGATGATGCTGGCTATGCTATTCGCGGTGGGGATGGTGAGTAAACTACACTCTTTGTGATATTGGTGTCGCCGCTCATCTTTAACTCAGGCGGTACCCCTCCTCCTTTCATGCCGGGAAATGCTGGCTTCCTATATGCAGGTAAGTTGTGACCCTGACATTAACATGAAGAAACTTGACAGGCTGATGATCGCTAGTGGCGTACATGGCTGCTGGCTGGCAAGGGTCAGAAGGTGATGCACCCGGCTTCCCACAAGGAGCGGGATGGGTGGTCAAGCAAGAAGGTTTACAGAAGGCACCCTGAGGAGGCTACGTAGTATCGGTAGCTTCGTATGATGAATAACATCTCAGACCGCTATACCTTGAAAGGGGGGTTTGAGACCTGGATATGATCTGAGAACAATGAATTTGGCTGTGTGATTTTGAACAGATGCTGGATTACTAGAGACGTATTGTGTGGTCTTCTACCACTCTCTAATCTCTCCGCCGGGTCCAATGAAGCCAGGACTGACCCAAGCCTTCGCATCCTTGGACAACTCACGAACTTGCGCCTCATCAATCTCAATACCCAAGCCAGGACCAGTAAGAAGGTCAATGTAGCCATCTGTCACCTTCCAGACCTCCGGGTTATGAGTATAACTCGTCAGATCCTGACCCGTGCTATTGTAATGAATACCCAAACTCATCTCCTGAATCACAAAATTCGGCGACGCAAAGTCAACCTGCGCATTCGCAGCCAACGCAATCGGTCCCAGCGGACAATGCGGCGCCAACGCAACATCATACGCCTCCGCCATGGCCGCGATTCTTCGCATCTCGGAAATCCCGCCGACGTGAGAGATATCAGGCTGGAGGATATCCACACAGCCGGCCTCGAGGAACGGCTTGACATCCCAGCGGCTGTGGAGGCGCTCACCGAGAGCAATGGGGATTGACGTGAGGCGGCTGATCTCCTTGATGCCGCCCAGGTGCTCAGATAGCAGGGGCTCCTCGATGAAGAGCGGGCGATGTGGCTCCAGGGCCTTTGCGAGCTGTTTTGCCATGGGCTTGTGCACGCGGCCGTGGAAGTCGACGCCGGCGTCCATGCCGAGGGCTTTTACGGCCTTGACGCGTTCAACGGCTGCGTCGAGGGCGTCGGGGGAGTCGAGCCAGCCAAGGTCTTCTGTGCCGTTCATCTTGACGGCTTTGAATCCCTGTTCTTTGCGCGCTCGTCTGTTGGTGGGGAAAGTTGTGATTAGAAAGGCTGTGTTGTCTGACAGGGCGATTGGTGGTTTTGTTCACTTACGCCTGCTCTTCCACGTCATTTGGCCGGTCACCTCCGATCCACGCGTAGACCTTGAGCTTGTCTCTGACCTTTCCTCCTAGGAGCTGCCAAATTGGGAGGTTCAGCTTTCTTGCTGTTGACTATTAGTTACGGCATCGAAGATATGGCTGCAGCGAGACTGCTCACCCTTGAGATCCCACAATGCAATGTCAATGCCTGCTAAAGCGCTCATGAAGACCGGCCCGCCGCGGTAAAAGGTTGTCCGCCATGACATTTGCCAAATATGCTCAATGTCGCTTCGTAGGATCAGCAACGTGACGCTCAAAGATTGAGTAGGTCAACATACTCAGCTTCCATGCCCGAATATCTCTCAAACCAGGCGTCAAGACAGCCTTCCACGGCTTGAGTGTGGCCTTCGAGGGATGCTTCACCCCAGCCGACGTTACCCGCCTCATCAGTGATCTTCACGAATAACCACCTGGGTGGCACTCGGAAGTACTCCATCTTTGCGATTTTGCCCATGATGAATTTTGTTTGATGACGTATGGGAAGGTTTGTAGGGAATCTGGAAAGTAGGGAGGGGTTACACGCAAAGGTAAGGTTGCTGGTCTCAGTTAACTTTGGTATGGAAGATGCTCTCGAACGACCAGCTTACTTGAGGCATTCGTGAGCTGATATTACCACCACGAAGCGGAGCTCGACGGAGTTGAACGACGGGAAAGTCGGCATGACGTCCGGAACCTCTCCGACCCGCCTCCCCAGCCGCCTCTCCTCGTCCGATCCGCCTCCGCATTGCATCTCCCTCCCCGTCGGAGAAGGGAGCATGGGTATTACCCGGCCACACGCAGTGGTGGAGAAGGGTGGGATGAGGTGTGCGGGGTTCGGTACACCCTCACCCGAGTCCATCACCAGGATATGGAGGGGTGGTGCGGGGTCTTCGGTGTACGCTTTTCCGTTCGGTGAGGAAACGTGATGGGTGAGTGACGGAAAAGGTTCACCGAGGCAGTTTACAAGTTCCGGTTGGTCTTATTGGTGGCTTGCAGAAACTCTCAAGGTCTATCTCCGACTCTACTAGAGATTACAACGCTACGGATACTGGTTTGTCCCCATGGGAATTCACACTTCTATTATTCCATGTCTATGCCTGGCCCGCTCTAATCTTCTTCTGTTGTGCTACCCAGGTCTCTACCGCCTTCTTCAGCGTCTCCGGGTCCGCCTCGCCAAAGATGTCTTGACCGAGGCGGGCTGGGAAGTTGTAGCGGTGCTTCTTGTCCAGGGCGTTGATCTTCTCAAATACGTCCTTGGGGAGCTCAAACACTAGTAAAAGTCAGTGCCTGTCATATTGAAGGTGTAAACACCAGCTTCCATGATCACGTACCTTCAAAGTTCTTCTCGATTCTCGAGGGAGTAACGGACTTGGGCAACACGACGGTGCCTCTCTGAACAGACCAACTGATGATGAGTTGCGCCGGCTCCTTACCGAGGGACTTGGCCAGCTCAGTGATGATGGAGTCGTCAACGGCACTGATGCGGATTAGTCCATGTACTTCACATAGTCCTCGGAAGAGAAGACGCGGGTATCTGCTGGGCGCTCACCGAGGCAGGTTGTAAATGTTGTTAGCGAGGGGGCTGTACGCCGTGACCACAATACCCTGCATTCACAAGCACACAGATTAGCGACATGGAGCCTACAACGGGAATGCAACATCGGAGATATTTTCCGCTCGGCTCGACTCACCTTTTCCTTGGACCAGGCCAAGAGGTCAGGCTGCTGCAGGTACGGGTGCGCCTCGATCTGGTTCACCGCCGGCTTGATCTCGGCCTTGTCCCAGAGATCCTCAATCTTCTCGCGGGTGAAGTTGGAGACGCCGATCGAACGGATCTTGCCCTTCTTGACGAGGGCCTCCATGGCCTTCCACGTCTCGATGACGGGGACGTCGATGACGTCGACGGCCTCGGTGACGGGGTGCAGGGGGAAGCGGGTGGCATCGTCCTTTTTGTTGAAGGATACAGGCCAGTGAATCTAATGCACGACATTCTTGCGTTTAGGATGGCAGATCAAGAGGGCCAAAGTGGGTGTAATGCAAGACAGAAAAGGTAAAGATGCTTACCAGGTACAAGTCGACGTAGTCGGTCTGCAGATCGCTGAGGGTGATGTCTAGTGCCGTCTCTACATCCTCTGCCTTGTGGTGAGTGTTCCAAAGCTTGCTGGTGACCTGAGTGACAGGGATCAGCCCTCTGATGCCCGATGCGGTTTCCAGGAGGATGAAGAACTTACAAAGATGTCTTTCCTTGGAACGCCAGAAGCCTTGAGGCCTTCGCCGACTTCCTTCTCGTTGTCGTAGACGGCTGCCGCATCAATGTGGCGGTACCCCGACTTGAGGGCATGGTCAACAGCGTTCTTGACCTCATTGGGCTTGGATTGCTACATTTGCATATGATCAATCAGATGGGAGTTCGATCGTAGCAGGCTGTTCTCGCAGTGCTCACCCAGGTGCCCAAGCCAACCGCTGGGATCTCATGTCCCGAAAGAAGCTTGAAAGACTGAGCTAACGACATTGTTGTAGAGCAAGTTGGTATCTGCGGTGATGCTTCCGTGATCGGATGTAATTTGTACAGATGAAAGTCAGATGAGGAGCAGTTATCCGCGTGCTTTATGTTGGTCTATCATATGTCACTCCCAACACAAATTACAAATTTCTCCAGAGCTCTTATATCCCCAGTTTGAGGCTGTCGTCACTCCCATCGAGCCTGCAAGATTTCCGCATCACACAATGAGGGGTGTCTACCACGGTCCGTTGGCACGGAATTGGCCTTATGTAAACCTCTTTTTCCGGTCTTTTCCTCCCGTTCCCCTCCTCCCCCCACTCAACTCTGCAAGGCTCAAGCAAGACGATGTCCGACAGCCGGGACTCGTCCGTGGGAAACCCCTTGAGGAGCTAGAGACGGTCCAGACGGGATGGTGTCGGGATGTTCCCCGCTCGATCGTTTCCTTTGGCACAACTTGACCCCACCCCCGCGTCATCACACCCCGAGAACGCCATCGAACAAGTCCTTCGCGGGATTGCCGAGGGGCACCGAGACCGGGTCTGACACGTTTTCCATCGTGAACGTAAATTCCAACGAGGGGTTGACAAAAACCTCACGACCAAAAGGAGAACATTGCAGCATCGTGATACCCAGAGTCGTCAATCTCAATTTCAATTCATTCCCAAGTGAAGCTCAGTATCTCATAGCGTCTTGCTAGTTCATCACCCTCTCTTTCTCGCTCCAATAAACACCTACACATCACAATGGCGGACGTCAGAGTACCACCCACGGGCGTCTTCGTCCCAGTCCCAACCTTCTTCCACTCGGCCTCCGACTCAGCCGGCGCCCTCCAGCCCAAGGTCGACATTGACACACAAGTCAAGCACAGCGTTTACCTCGCAAAGAATGGCATCCGCGGCCTAGTCCTCCTCGGCTCAACCGGCGAGGCCATCCACCTGAACAAGGCCGAGCGTCACGACCTCGTCGCCGGCGTCAAGAAGGGCCTCGAGGAGGCCGGTTTCCCCGACTACCCCATCATGGCTGGCGTCTTGACCAATGGCATTGACGAGACTCTCGAGTGGCTCGAGGACTACGCAAAGGCTGGCGCCCAATGGGGTCTGGTGCTCGTTCCTGGATACTTTGGAACCGCGGCGAACCAGGAGAACATCAAGGAGTGGTACACTGTCGTTGCTGACAAGAGCCCTCTGCCCATTCTTGTGTGAGTTTTTACCCGTCGAAATCCGCTGTGCACGCGCGAGAGACATTTATGCTGATATGGCATAGATACAACTACCCTGGCGTCACAAACAACGTCCTCGTCGAGCCCGACACGTACAAAGAACTCGCCCAGCACCCCAAGATTGTCGGTTGCAAGATGTAAGTTTCTCTCCCAAAGATGGCCCTCCCAGGCCCCAGGCATTCTAACGCAATCTCCCAAAAACCACCAGGTCCCACGGAAACGTCTCCCTCCACCTCCAAGTCTCCTCCGACCCGCGCATCGACCACGCCAAATTCCGCGTCTACAGCGGCTTCGGCCAACAGCTCGCGCCCATCGTCCTCTTCGGCGCCGCGGGCGTCATCGACGGCCTCGCCGCCTTCTACCCCAAGACGGTCTCGCGCCTCTTCAGCCTGGCGGAAAAGCGCCCCGTCGAGCAGAGCACCCTCGAGGAGGTGCAGAGCCTGCAGTACGCCGTCAGCCGCGCTGAGGACTTTATCGGCAAGACTGGCATCATTGGTATCCGTGAAGGTATCATCCGCAAGGCCGGCTTCGGCGCGCTCGAGGGCGGGCGGTTGCCGCTCAAGGGACGCTTGGATGAGGGGACTTTCAAGGCGTTGGATTCGCTCTTGTTTGCGGATATTCAAAAGATTGAGGACTCCTTGTAAAGACTTTGTCTTGAAGTAGTATAGACGAGTTGGAGCTGGGAGCTTACGAATTGCATGATTGGCTATGATACCAATATTGAGAGCTTGGCATAGCCGTACCGTGACTATATTGGTGTCACGGAAAAGCACACTGCTTGTTTCGCGTGCCCGTCTCTGTCCCATGGTAGTGTTACGCCATGTGGACCTTGATGCCGATTAACCCAGTGGCCGGTCTATTCCCCATGATCCTCCCTAGTAACGCCGTCCCTCCACATTTCCCCGCGTCTGCTCTGGCGCCGTCTATCCGAAATGTAAGAGGGCTGTGTAAGAGGGCTCCTGTAAACGTTTGTCTGTTTACGGATCAGGTCTGTGTAGATACGGTGCAGCTGGATAGAACGATGCGTGGACCTACCCGTGTATATATGGAATAGTAGTAACCGCTACATCAACTTGGAGATGCTGATCTCTCGTCCAACTTGATTAATACTTTGACCAAGTCAACACGCGCAATGTCTGCCAACCTTTCTTCCCAGAATACAGAGCTTCAGGCCTCTGGGCCTCAGGGCTCAGGACATGGCATCGACGAGTTCAAGCCGAGTGCGACCCAGTTCGAGACCATGGAAGAAGGTGACCCCCAGAATTTCAAGCTTTCCAGGACCGGTGGAGATGTCGCCTTGGCACTCTTCGACAACGTGGGCGAGGTGCAGGAACCCATCGACCCGGAAGAGGAGCGTCGACTAGTCCGCAAGGTAGACTGGATGATTCTCCCATACATTTCAGTCTGCTATGTCTTTTTCTATGTAAGTCAAAGTGCCTAGTCCTTTTGCCAAGCACCGCCCCCAAAAGGCTTGATTTCTGCTTGCCAAGATCCACGTCTAACAAGGGCAGATTGACAAAATCACCCTCTCGTACGCTGCCATTTTCGGCATCCAGAGTGATCTCGACCTCAAGGGCACCGAGTATAGCTGGCAATCGTCAATCTTTTACTTTGGATTCCTGGTATGGGCTCTTCCTACCAACTTCATGCTCCAGAAATTCCCCATTGCAAAGTATCTCGGCCTCAACATCTTCGCCTGGGGCACATTCCTCATGCTCCAAGCTGCTGCACCAAACTTTGGAGCCCTGGCTGCACTTCGTGCCATTAGCGGAGCAGCAGAAGCATGCGCCGACCCTGCCTTTATGATCATCACCAGGCCTGTAAGCCTCTGCCGTTATCATTTTGCACCACCGTCCAGATCACAGAAGGCTGACAGCTCCCAGCATGTGGTACACCCGCCGAGAGCAACCCATCAAAATCGGCCTCTGGTACACCGCCAACGGCATCGGCATCGCCCTAGGCGGCCTCCTAGGCTATGGCATCGGCAACATCAAAGGCGCGCTGGCGTCCTGGAAATACGAGTTCATCATCGTCGGCACCCTGTGCTGCGCGTGGGGCATCGTCATTGCCGTCTTCTTGCCGGATAACCCGATCACGAGCAACAAGCTCACGAACCGCGAGAAGAAGATTGTCGTTGAGCGGTTACGTGAGAATCAGACGGGTGTGGAGAATAAGACGCTGAAGCTCTATCAGGTGCGCGAGGCGTTTACGGACTATAAGTTGTACTTTTTCTTTATGATTGCCTTGTTGCAGGCGATTGTGAATGGAGGGACGTCTAATTTTGGGACTCTTATCATCAAGGGTTTCAAGTTTTTGACGTGTAAGTCCAAACCTTTAGTCTTCCCCGCTCAGTCATTTCTTGTCTCCTAACTTGTCGATGTGAAGTGATCACGGCTGTTCTTCAGATCCCATACGGTGCCATCATCTTTATCGCCATTCTAGCGTGCGTCTTCATCAACGACAGATTGCCGCCTAACAACCGATGCTTCGTATTGGTGCTCTTCTTGTTACCCAACGTCGCCGGGGCGTTTGGCCTCCGCTTCGTGCCTGATGACCAGCAGGTCGGCAGGCTGATTTGCTACTATGTGAGTTTTCGTGAATGCGTACCTCCCAACACGCACCATTCTAACAAGTCAATCTCAACTTCAGTTGACCGGATCCATCAATGCCTCATTCGTGCTACTCCTCTCACTCCAGACCGCCAACATCGCCGGACACACCAAAAAGGTTGTCACCTCGCCATGTCCATTTCTGGGATACTGCGTCGGCAATATCGCGGGTCCTTTTTTCTACAAGTCTGATCAGGCGCCCAAGTACGAGTTGGGCATCTGGAGCATGATTGTTGCCCACTTGCTTGAGGTTGTGGTTGTGATTGCCCTACGGTTTTTGCTCAAGTGGGAAAATGATAGACGGGACCGGATGCAGGGTGAAGTCGCCGAGGTTGATCTGGATGCGACGGCGTTTGGGGATCTGACAGATCGTGAGAACTTGAATTTTCGGTACATTTACTGAGTAAGAGTCAAGTCTGTTAAGCCAAAGACTTTCTGTGGTAGAATTTGCGCTGTATTAGCTGTGCGCTCTGGGAGAAATTCATACATGTATCTTAGATCATTGTAACGATTCCTGTTGGTCTCGAAGCCTAAGCTCTCTGTATCGCGCCTCTCCATGGCCTGTTGTCTACGGACACAGTAGAAAACAAACTCTTCAAGCTACGTAAATTAGAATTATAGCGTCTCCAAATAACTCGTGTGAGAGCTCGATCAACCTATCTGCATTGAGTGTGAGGTACATCGCGTGTCAAAGGGCAATATCGTGGACTTAATGCCCCCCCGGATAATGATCCGCAAAGACGCGGTTTTAATTCGGGCGTAGTGAAGGGCTGCCGACGCCGGTGCATTTTGCACCGATGGACAACCGCTAAGCTCAGTCAACTCGCGGAGCTTCACCCTCACCACACCTCATCCAATTCTCATTGCGCCCACAAAGACTCACCACGACATCGACTGCAACGCCCTATTGTGAATCCAGTATTCATCATGTCATCTTCTTCACCTCCCGCAAGGCCACCGTTCTCATCTCTCCCCCTGGACCCTACTGGACCTCCTGGAAACGCATGGGGTCTGTACGGCAAAGACGACCGCTTAGGGGCGCTGAACCTTCTCACCCCCGCAGTCGTGGCCGCCGCGGCAGCATCTGAGATTCAAACCGGCCAACGAGTATCGCTGGACTGGTCATTGAATAATCCCTCTCAGCCAAGCTTCGACCGGGCGCCGTTTGAGTCCAGACGCGTTAATCGAGCTCACCCGAGTGGTGAGAAGAGGACCGTCAATGATGATATCTTACACTTCAACACTCAATGTAGCAGCCAGTGGGACGGCTTCAGGCACTATGGTATTATTACCTGCGCAATTCAAGACTGCTAATAAGTGAGCCATGGCACTAACTGCAATGACGCAAGGTTACCAGAAAGCCAAACGATACTACAACAATACGACCCAAGACGATCTGGATAATCCAGAAAATATTGGCATAGACGGCAAGTCTACCTCTGAATTTGAGCATTCATTCTCACTCAATAACTAACTTACAGCGCAGCGTGGGTTGAAAAGGGCGGCATCGTCGGCCGCGGCGTCCTCCTCGACTACGTCAGCTTCTGTTCCCGCCACGCACTGCCCCTCGACGCCTTCACCAGCAGCGACATCTCCCTCGCCCATCTGCACCAGATCGCCGCCGAGCAAAACATCACCTTCCGGCCCGGCGACATCCTCTTCATCCGCTCCGGGTTCACGGCAGGCTACAATGCCAAAGACGACGCCGCGCAAAAGGCCGTCGCCGCGCGCGCCAGCCCGGACTTTCTCGGCCTCGAGCCCACGAAAAACGTGCTCCGTTGGATATGGGAGACGGGCTTCGCTGCCGTGGCGGGCGACGCGCCGAGTTTCGAGAGGGCGCCCATCGCGGGCCCGCATACGGCCGTCGGCGGCGTGTGGAAGGGCGAGGCGTGGGAGGAGGAGATGCAGGGAGGCGGTTTGTTGCATCAATGGCTGCTGGGAGGTTGGGGATTGCCCATTGGGGAAATGTTTGATCTCGAGGCTCTGAGTTCGACGTGTCAGGAGCTGGAAAGATGGACGTTCTTCGTGAGCAGCGTGCCGCTCAAGGTAAGTCTTGAAGTCTGATTCTCCCCCCATTCGTTCATTCTTCTCCATTACTCATGTTGGAGGGTATGTCGCCTTGAAAAAGTGTACTGATGATTTGTTTCCACGTTAGGTTCCGGGTGGTGTTGCCAGCCCTCCCAACGCCGTTGCCATCTTCTGATCCCGCCTGTCCGACAGCCTTGGGATGGTCATACTATTTAGAGTTTTGGCCACGTTTTGTGAGAACAATAGGGTTGCCTTGTGTGTTCTAGTCTTCTTCACCTCGGTGTATAGAGTGTAACTTATGTGCCAATGTTCCTTTTCTGGCCTTCCCCGGTGACGGGATATTGCTGGTTCGCTTGGCTTCGCTCGGACTTTGCGGCTGGTTGGCGTGTTTGTAGATCCCTGACAATTTTCAAATTAGTGGCCTGTCGTCTCTGGAACATAATTCTTCGTCTCTGTGTCTTTGAATGCTTGGCGAGTTGTCAGCACATCATCATTTAGAGAGTGTCCTATAGGTAATTCGAATTGGTCACTCGTCATCTCGTGTTACTCCCATCCCGCCTCCAGACCCCTAGCTTCAACGTTTGCTAGGATACATATGCCATGTAAGTTGGTAGCCCCAAAGAGTCACGACCATTTCCCCCAACCATCCAACTCAGTGTGCCAGTCTAGATAATTCGACTCGGGGGTACCAGGGGAGCCTAGCCGCCTAGGGTCACAAAGATACTAGGAGGACGGGGGTCGGCCGGGTACCCCGCATTGTCTTCCCCATTCCCAAAAGGATTAAGAATGAGGTGACATTTCCGTCTTTCCACGTCCGCCGCGCTGTGGTTCCCCTCTCTCTTCCCCCTTCCCTTCCATTCACTCGACCATGTTTCCGTGTGTCCAGCTCCAGCAGCAGGATCAGGGGAGTCTGCCGCCAAATTGCTGCCGCACTACGGAGTAAGCCCCCCCCCCCCCCCCAAGGGACACGGCAAATGGACCTGGACACCGACGAAGGAGACTCCGGTGTCGGCATCGGCACCGGCGGCAACGGCAACGGCAATGCCAATGCTCACGCCAACGCCATGGTGAATGGTATCCATCACCCCGGCGCTCGCCGCCATTCCCACTCACACCAGAATAAGGGAGGAAGAGGAGCAGGAGCAGGAGGAGGTCTTGGTAATCACAGTCACGGCAATGGAAATACATCGTCAAGCGGCAACGGAACCGGGAACGGCCGTCACAGCAGCACCAGCAGCGGCAGTATTCACGTCCACAACGAGAACGGCAATAGCAATGGAAATGGTAATCACAACCAACAGCAGCAGCAGCTGGCATCTCCGCCGCTCACACATCCGTCGAATCCGACCTCTCTGACGGAGAGCGGGAGACGTCGTCGGAACCGCGACAAGGAGCGCGTCCGCGTCACCCGCGCCTGCGACAGGTGCAAGAAGCGCAAGATCCGCTGCACAGGCATCCAGCCCTGCGAGTTGTGCATCCGTACCGAGTCCCACTGCACCTACAACGCATCTTATGCACGGGGTCGTCAGCCGCCGGTGGCCACTCGGGAGGATGTCGCCCGAATGGACCTCGATGGCCTCGACGTCTCTGTCTCGGATCATCCCAACGCTGCTGCTGGTGAAGATGCATTGATGGGCTCCTCTATCGTCGTGGACGTCTCTAACCCCGGTGACACTAACCATCAAGACGAGACCATCATGAACGGCACAAGTCTGGCCGTCGTTGGCAGTGTCGGCCCCGGGACCGCTGAGCCTCCCTCTCGGGCATCTCCTGAGCCAACTCAGACGGATCTCCAAGGCCACTATGTCGGTCCCTCGTCTGGTGTCTCGTTCCTGTTGAGAGTCCAGAAACGCCTTCACCAAGCCGTCTCCTTCTCGCAAGCCTCCTCCATATTTACCTTTGGCGATGCGCCGCTCCCAGATTTTGACCCCAGCGGCGCTTTTTGCGTCTTGTTGTCCAAGGAAGAGGCTACGATGCTCTTGAAGAGATACTTTGAGTTCGCCGTGCCAACCCACCGCTTCCTGCACCGCCCCACCGTGGAAGGCTGGCTGGAAGAGTTCTACGACACCATGGGTGCCATGAAGAGTCAGGAGGACGCACCGGCTCGGAGAGCCCTGCTATTTATGGTGTTTGCTCAGGCGCAGGAGTACATGGGCACCACACATTCGCGTGAGAACGCAGACGCAAGGTAAGTCTTGTCAGAAACCCCGCGGGGAATATATCTTCCGTCCCATGTCGTTTTGCATTGTTCATTGTCGCATGTCCAATGTCGGACTCTCCATCGTTACATTCCACTAACACGCGAGGACAGCGCTCGATACTTCTTGGCCGCAGATCACCAGCTTTCCAAGGAGAGAGGCGCCGTACGCCTGACCAGCGTCCAGGCCCGGCTATGCCAGTGTTTCTGGCTACTGTCACAGTCTCGCATTAACCACTGTTGGAGCTTGTTTGGCACCGCAGGACACCTTGCTCTCGCCATTGGTCTGAACAGGAATAGGCATGCGGACCCGGCAGGGGGATACAACTACGTTGAGCTCGAGTGTCGCCGTCGCACGTTTTGGTGCGCTTACAGTCTCGATAACTATCTCAGTGCCGCACTTGGACGTCCACGAACGTTTCATGATGAGGACATTGATCAGGAACTCCCATCGTGTTCAGAAGACGCGGATCTCCACGCAGACCATATCACACCCCGTATGGGACGGGGACAGTCCCTCATGCTGGCTCCGGTGGCTCATGTCAAGTAGGTGATCCACTGCGTTCCCTCTCTCATGCATGGTACTGACTTCAGTCAAGGCTCTCGAGGATAGTGAGCATGATCTTACGCGATCTTTACTCCATACGGCCATCATCGTTCTCAAATAGATGTGCTCTGGCGGCTAAATACTCTCAAAATCTGAAACACTGGAGGGCCGAAATGTCGCAGTTCTTGGATGACGGCGTCAACACGGCATTGCTCATCCCCATCTTCCAACGGCAACGCAACGTGTTGAACCTGGCGTACTGGCATGCCATGATTCTCACACATAGACCCTTCCTTCTGAGTAACTTTGCGCGATTGCAACGAAACGGAAAAAGCCGTCGGAAGAGCATACCTCACAAGGACCAAACGGAAGAAAGCGTAAACGCCTGCTTGGACGCTGCCATGCATGTTGTCGACACCGTCAATGATCTTATACAGGCAGGGCAACTATTCCGTGCTTTCTGGGTAAGCCTTCAACACTCTTTATTCGGCCCTCCTTTTAACTCTGGGTCACGCGCAGTTCACTTCGTATTTCGCCTTCTCAGCCGTGGTTGTTCTCTATGTATACACCATCCAGCAACGGACGGCCCCAACAGAGACATGGCAGGCCTACTTTAACGCGGCATGTCGCTGCCAGACGCAGCTGGCCTCGCTCGCCGACCACGAGTCAACGCTCGCGGCGCGATACTGCCTCGTCCTCGAAGAGCTGAGAACCGAGGCGCTCCGACAGACCGAGCGGCACCAGAGCCCTGCCGTAACCCATCAGGCCGGCCAGAATGGTGGGCAGATTTCCCGCACCGCCCTCGTTGCCGCTGGACACGAGGATGTTCAACCGCAGCATGAGCAGCATCACTTGGCAAACCTCAACTTCTCTGATGTGGGACACGCAGACGAGTTTGTTGGGTTTGATGCGAGCCCAAGTAGCTCTCTGGCTGACATGACGAGCTGGGGCCAATTTGACTCCATGGTATGTAGAAGTTTCCATGTCTCAAGGCACACTTTCTTGCCAGCGTATTGACAATTGTGTTAGGTCACTTCTGGATTTGGAGGACTCGAGGCTTTACTCAATGATGACTCTCTACGATTCTAACGACTATTGCTACCAATTTGCTCAAGTTCGGATCCGGACTAGTAGGCCAGCTATCTTTATTTGCATGTTGCAATCCCTGCGGCGTCTAGGAATGCACGGTGTTCATGCTTGTCTCCCTCACTGCCATAGTACTTTGTAGTTTAATCTGGTGAATTGCGATCAAAGCCCCAGGATTACCCTTTGTCTGTTCATGAAATGCGTTTATACAAGATACCGCTACCTACTAGCAACTGGATGATCTACGAAGTAGCCGCTTGAAGACCCTCAAGAATGGCCAAGACGCCCTCGGCACCCGGGTCCGGCACCTTGCCCCAAGCAGACTCCTCCACGTAAACCGCACGACCAAGAGAAGCCGCCATGCCCTTGGTAGCCTCAACCCCCTTCCTCGCAGCCTCAACAGCATTCCCCACGCTCCCCGAGCTCTCCAACGTCCTTACAAACGGCTCCAGCGCATCAATAAGCGTCCTGTCTCCTTGTCTAGCCGGCGTAGCCTGCTGCAACGTCTCGAGGGCCCTGACAGCGACCTTTGTCCACGCCTTCAGGTCGAGGACGCCTGTGCTGGCTTTGCGCAGCTCAGAGGCCAGCGCCGCGAAGAAGATGCTGTAGATGGCGCCGGAGGTGCCGTCCATGTTGTCCTCGATCACGTTGGTGAGGTCAATGGCCGTGCGGACAGCGTCGTCGGTGACGGAGGGGGAGTCGGCGTACTTTTGGACGGCCTTTGCGCCGCGGGCGAGGGTCACGCCGCAGTCGCCGTCGCCTACTTGGGTGTCGTGGGCTGTGATTTGGGGTTCGGTGGCGTTGATTCTCTTTGCTGCTTCGGAGACGACCTTTTTGAAGGTATCTACGTTGACTGTATGTCGACCAGGCTCTGGTCAGCAAACGGGAGACATTTGAAGGGTTTATCTTGAAAGGGTTTGGGACTTACATTGTACGCCGCTCTTGGTGGCGTCCTGGGAGCCATGTCCCGAGTCGCTGCTCTCGACGAGGCGCTGCTTTACGTCTCCGCTGGTCTCCTCGCGCGGGGAGTAAGCCCAGCCGATGGCATTTGTGCTGGCGTCAATGTGCTTCAAAATCTCGGGGTTGGCCTTCAGAAGAGTGATGCTGAAGCCGGGTCCGTTCAGACTCGTCATGTAAGTGCCAGAGATGACGCGGGCAAGCTTGATTCCACGGCCACCTACGTGTTTTTAGTATGGCGTTCTGAACATCCTCAGTCGAGTTTTATGCCTGGCGACATTCACTTACTCAGAGCATTTGTGAGCTTTGCCGTGATACCACCGAATTCAAGTGGCGAAACACCACCCAGGTTGTTCACCAGAAGAACGACATCCTTGGCGTCAGAGAAGTCGACGTATGCCCTGTCCGAATCCTCGGGATCAAGAAGCTGTGTGAGCATGGCATCAATGAGCTGGGAAAGCTGCGGCCGAGGCTTCAACACCTGACACCCAGGCTCATTGTGAATACCCATGCCCAACTCAACCTGATCATCAGTCGACGCCGCAGCAGCCTCTCGACCAGGGATATGAACATGCTCCAACGAGGCGCCAACAGTCACCAAGTTCTCCGTCACCGTCTTGCCCAACTTGACCACGTCCGCTAGCGAAGCGCCCGTCTCCTTGTACGCTCCCAAAATCTTGTGCACGAGCACGGTGCCAGCCAACCCGCGGCGCCCGACCTTACCGCTCTTCTTGCGGCCAACGGAGACGTCGTCGCCGACGATGAGAACCTCGACAGGAACGC